ACTGATTCGATTTGTGAAGAAGAAAAAAGTTTCAAAAGTTGAACTGAACTTTTTCGTGGAAATTGTTTCTCTCGCTCTGAACAATTGACTTAGAATTTAGTTCTAATTGTTTTACCCTCACTCGTTGTCCAATGGTTAATGGACGAGGCATCTCCACCATAAAGAGTTCGAAACCGGCTCGAGTTCAAAAAGGGTATATGTCCAATTGGACTTTCTTCCTCTCTAATGAGGATGTTTGAATAGATCTTTGGATGATCTTATTCAAGGTTCTGCAGAACCGGAGTTCAACTGACCGACGATCGGGTCACGTTGACTCCATTTTTTCTTCCTAATTCTCACGATTTTCGTAACAATTTCGAGATAAAATTATTTTATTCCACTTTTCTTCACTCTGATGATAAAATTATTAGTATTAATTGAACATATTCGATTGTCCGACTCCAAGTGAGTTTTTATTCTTGATCTCAAAGGTCAACTCGAACCTCACTTATGATTATCGATATTATCGTATGATAATAGTAAACCTAACATTTTTTTCTACGTTTTCACAATTTGCCTGAGACAATTTTTCCATTTTAAATACACTTTTGGATTTCAAATTCGTTTTTCAATAGAAATGATTACCTTACATAACATTGAATTAGAACAAGATGAAATTTTAAAAAGAATTGAAATGAATTGAAAGTTCTTAAAGCCAAAAGATGGCGCAAAATTCAATGAATGAAAGTTCACCAGCTGATTAACATACCTCAGAGTAGCAAGAAAAATTGTTCCTTAAAAAACAGCTACTAATCAAGTTCTTTGTCTTTATTAATTGTGCCCTATTTTCATCGAGATTCGTTATTAAAATGGTTTGAAAAGCATATTTACTCTATTAATTGTTCATTTCCGAAATGTTTTCTCGTTGTAATGGTACACATTGAAGTGAAATAAAAGAAATTTTACCTCCACTTGCTGACTCAGTGGTTAACTTCAGGACTTACCACCTGAGTTATCCGAGTTCGAACCTGGGTCGCGACGGCAGTGGAAGGTAACAATCAGCAACGTGAGTTGCGCCAAGTATCTACAAATGCAATTGTCATTAAGGTAGATCAAATCACTAAGTAACCAATTTTAAGTGGCAAGTTGTTAGAATTGGTTAAACTATCCCAATTCACATATATCCTAACGGAACAATTACATCCTAACGGAACAATGTGAAAGACTACTAATTTAGTAGTACTAAAGTCATTTGAGAGTGGCACTCAAGACAAATCGAAAAACTCGAGTAAAAGGCTCTGAGGTGGACTCCTCATCCTTTTGTTTTTTGATTAACCAATCAAATGAATTTATGGATAGACTAATCTTTTATTCACCAAGATGAAACTCGATCATTCAATCTAACGAATTGATTGATGGAAATATTTCTAATCCAATGAAACCGAATTCTCAAATTTGATTCTGTAAATTAAAGATATATTATCTTATTATTAACACATGAAGTTTTAAAATCGGTTGATATTAATTTAATTCTGTTATATTGTATCAGAGACCAGTTGAGACTCGATTTTTAATTAACCTGAAATTTGTTAATTACTTTTTCTAAGGGTTTTCAAGAAAATTAACCATTAATAATGAAATTGATTCGAGGACAATTCACTTTGAGGATCGATCATTGCAATCAATGAGAGATCGATCCTCAGATTGCAATGATTCTGGTAACAATTAACGATGACAATTTTTGGTAAAATTAAAATCTATTTTTAATATTCCCTTCAATCGGTTAATCGGTTGGATAAATTTAACTGAAACAATTGAATAATTAAGACCATGAAAAGTATTGGTAAGTATCATGATCAACAAACAAGGACATACAACAATTAACGTTAATTGTTTTGGTAAAATAGTGAGAAAATGAGTTTTTTAATTTAGAGTAAAAATTGAATCAACTTTTCATGTTTATTTTGTAGTTGTTATCATTGCAACAATTTCCTCTCAATTGTTTCAATTTTAATTGTGATCCCAACAAAAATAAATCAATAAGTTTATTATTGACAATTTGCTAGTCTCAATTGATAACCTAAAAATTGATATATTTAAATTGTTACCCAAACGTATTGGTGGCATTTAATTGAGATACAAATTTGACAAATCATCAACCAATTGAAAGTGTTAAGTGTTGTTAAACTTGATTGTTGACAATTTAATATCAATGGCCGGACAAGCATCTTGTTTGACCACTTTTAATGTTGCCAAATTAATACAACATTTACCAACAAACGTGGTATTGAAAAATTGATTCACTACAATTAGTTGATCTAAATTTAGTTGAAATCAATTTTTAATTGTTTCCCATCGTCAATAAATCAGTTAATTGCCTAGTTTTTAGAGTCCTTGACCCATTGGTGACCTACAACAATCATGATCACTGATGATGATTAACTTTTCCTGGTGCTTCATTATTCAAATAATTAACTATTTCCTACCTGTTTTTGATTTAATTGTGATTTAATTGTCGACTCTCCAATCAGGAAAAGAGACATTACCAAATGTCAATGAATTTAATTAAACGTTAATCTTTATGTACATTTATTATCTTTACAACATTGAAACAATTAAGTTAAACAATTTAAAATTAATCGGATTCTAGTGTAGTTATTATTTGATACTTTGATTGTTAAACTACAACAACAATTTAACAATCATGAGGTAACAATCAATTTAACTAAATGTGTTTTCTATTCAATGATCAGATCTTCATCATGATCAATTTTAATTGTAAATATTGTTTTCTTTTAATCATAATCTGTGCCTCGTTAATTAACTCAACTTACCAAGCTTGTGATCAATTGTTTGACGGGTTTGGTGTCCACTTGGGTCAATTAGGCAGTTTTAATCGGACGACTTTCGGTAATCAAAAGGCTGTTCTTGATCATCTCTATTATGATTTAGGTCTTCGACTTTATCGAACTGAATATTTGTCCAAATTCAGTCCCTCTGATGATGTTTATCGAATCCAATGTATCGACGCTCAAACCTGTACATGGATCACTATGCACTCGCTGATTTCGGCCTATCCGGACGTTTCGTTGTTCGCTTCGATCTGGTCACCGCCGAGTTATATGAAGGATCGATTTCATCAGTTACGGTCTTCATATGAATGGAAATATTATCATTACCTGAAGAATATCACTTCTCAGATAAAGTCCACTTTTGGTTTGGACATTGGACCAATTTCGTTGATCAATGAGCCTGAAAATGTTTTCGCTCCTTGGGAACACACGGTAATGGGACCTCGACAATTGTGCCGATTAATTGATATGTACAAAGATCCATTGGTTTCCGTTTGTCCGGAAAATTCATACTTTTGGATAACTAAATTGTATCTAAATTATCGTGACATTAGCACCAATTGTTACGATAGTTGTTCAATTGTGTCCACTCATGGCTATTATCTTAACGCTAACCTTTTGTCATCAAATCGAGGTCAAGTTTACTATGATACTGGTCAAAATAAACACTCTTACGAGAAACCCGTTTGGATGACCGAAATATGTTCAACTTTACCGAATACCAAGAATTCAATCCAAGAGGCCATTGATTTGGGTGTTTCCATGGTCAACTTTGTTGGCCACACTTGTGTCACCCGTTACTATTATTGGTTGGCCTTTACACTTTTCCCATCGGGTGAAAGTCTCATCTGGTTAACACCAAAGTCCAACATAACGGGAATCCCACAGACTCTATTTTTCCCGAAAAAGTATTTCGCCTTTAGACATTTTTCTCGTTCCGCTTTTCCCGGGGGACGAAAGGTTCGAGAATGTTCAACCGACGACTTGTACTGTTTAGCCTTTGATAATAATGTTGTTTTCATCAACAATCAACCCGAACAATCAGTCAATTTGAAACATCGAATTCCCTTATGTTGTACAACCTCTCAGGCCGATTGGGCTTGTGGTCAATTTATCGGTTTGATTCCACCAAAGTCCATTTGTAGTGTTGACAATTCTTATCGACGATTTAATAATGTTCATGTGCCACGTTAATCAATTGAACTGCTTTTAAATTAAGACAAATCGACTTTCTCATCAAGTACAATGTAATTTATTAATCAACAAAATCTCTTAACGGTTATAATTATTATTCCATTGAAAATTAAAGCTTCTTTTCTCTCCACAATTTGTATTATTCGAGTCGAATACAAAGAGTTAACATGATAAAATGATGAAAAGGTGACATTAACTGAGAATAAGATGAAATTTGAAAAGAATTGAAAGTTCTTAAAGCCAAGAGATGGCGCAAAGAGCTGAAAGTTCACCAGCTGATTAACTCAGAGTCTTAACTTAAGATTCTTAAGAAAACATTTAAAAATCTCACTATTCAAGTTCTTTCCCTTAAAATTTCTTCATGAAGATTGGTGTTTAGAAATTGCTTTCAAAAGAATAAGCAAATCATCATTTTATGATCTTCGAAATGTTCATTCGTTGTTTTGATTAACTTGCCAATGAAATTTGAAACTTTTACCTCCACTTGCTGGCCAGTCGGTTAGACGCAGGAAAGGAAACCTGTCGTGTCCGAGTTCGAACCTGGGTCCAGTCGGATAAGTGGAGGGTGTTGAATAGCCTCTGGTTAAGGATCCAAGCTATCGCTTCGTGGAAGCATTTAAAGTCCCTACATGAGGGTTAGGGCATTTGATCGTCCATGTGAGACATCTGAACCTTAGTTCGAAGGGGTGGGGATTGCTGACAGTTTGTCAACATCCTCATCCTTTTAAATTTTTTTTTGATTAGCTAATCAAATGAACATACGGATAGACTAATCTTTTATTCATCAAGATGAAACTCGATCATTCTATCTAACGGATTGATTGGTGAAAATACTTTTATTCATATGAAATCATTACGATTTCTGATCGATTCCCTTTTTGGTTTGGACATTGGTTCAATCTTGTTGATTAAAAAGTTTCGCTTATAGTATATATAGTATTTAGAATAAGAATTTAATAATGATTACATGGAAGAAAATTAGTTTAACAATTAAATCAATCGATATTTTTGCAAAAATTTAGCAATAGGCTTGTTAACCAATAGACCAATGTTATTATTGATAAAGTAGCTATAATGGGTAAATTTATCATCTCTAATTATGATCTGCTGAACGGAGGAACCTGAAAAATGTACAGAGAATTGAGCCAAGATTATGAACAATTAAATCAAATCAATAACTACCTTCAAGATGATCAATTAACTTTTTCACATCCTTTGGATTGGCCTTCTCATCACCAGTTGAATAGATGAGTAAAATATGTTTATTTTTTACGTTTTTCAAATTGTAAACTGGCGAGGATTTGGATCCATAGCGTTTCAGGTTGAACTCATCGCCCAGGTCGATGTGTGAGAAATTATCGTTTACCATTCGCTGAGCAAAATGAATAAAGTCCCAACATGATGAGCCCGATGGAATATGGGAAAGGTAGATTTCACGTCGAGAGCTGTTACCTGACGTTAAATCTGTGTACATCAAACTCATTCTTATAATGTCGCAAAAAGGTACAATCAATGGATCGAAGCACATTCCATATAAATGAGAAAGAGATCGATCGAAACAAGAACTTGGATTATCACGAACAAAATCATTGAAAAATTGGTTTTTCGCAAAGATTCTCGGTAGATTGTAATAGTTATTAAGATAAACTATCGGTGCAATTGCGATGAAGGGTTTAATTTTGTCACAATAATTCGGCTGATCGGATAATAAGCCAAACATGACCATAGACCCACGAGAATACCCAATGTAACCAAGGGAAGCTGTTAATAATAATTCCGTAGAAACGATGAATATATAAGTGAATATACATGAAACAGGTCGATAATCACTTGTGGTCAATCGTAATCACCTTACTTTGATTCGTTAAGCTTAACACATAGTCAATAATTGCAGGTAGATCGAGGTTCGCTATTTCGTCCAATGAAAATGACCAAAACTCTTTGGAATCTAATGAAATAAAATCAATTTTAAGTAATCTGCATGGAGATCACCATCATCTTACCTTTTTTAGGGTCAAGTTTCGTGTGATTAGTTGAATAGTAATTACCCCGAGGGTTAGTTAGCCAAACATCATAACCCAAATTGGCTAAGATGAAACCTAAATCACGTCCATCGAGGTCGAAGTCAATTGCGTCCAGGTCTTTATAACTTTCCAAAATTGACAAATTTGCGAATCCTCGAGGAGAGTTAATCAAGAAGTCAACACCCGATCCAAGGAAACCACTTTGGATTATAATTGGTTCCAATTTCTGATCAGCAAATGATGATTTTGATATCAGTGGATGAACAATACGATAATTGCCCAGAATATAACCATCGCTCGTTGTGATATAATGAGTCTCACAAATGAATCCACGAGCTTCAATTATCTGTACAATATCAGATTTATCGATTTCATCTAAATCAAGACAATTAGTTAACTGGATTAAGATGAAAACAATTAAAACTACAAGGTGATCACCAAATCTCATTGTAAAATATAACTAACTATTATTTCAGATGCAACTTCACTTGTAATGATATTTACAATCAACTGCAGACTTTGAAAGGTTAATTGAGTTCCAACATGGAAATTAAATTACTCTGATTAAACAAAGTAATTTCAACTGATGAACTTGTTGTTCAAATAATTGTCAACTCTTTTACAATTCAACTTGGAATCAATCTTGATCTTGGCTGGTGAGTATGGTGGATAGATTGTTAGTGAGAAAATAATTTAATTTAAATTAGATTACAATAAATAATTAATAAGATAAAAAATTATTAATAGTAATGATTTGATCGATAAGTTTCCAATAATCTAGCGATCGGCTTGTTGACCAATCGTCCGACATTATTGTCCAAAAAGAAATCGAGATGTGTAAATTTTTCGTCATCAATTGTGATCCGTTCAACAGGTAAAACTAAATAAGGGATAAAATAAAGAGTTAAATTGTTGGGATTTGATTTCTTTTCAACAAACTGATTAACTAATTACCTTCAAGTTGATCAATTAACTTTTTCACATCCTTGGGATTGGCTTTTGTATCACCAGTTGAGTGGATGATTGCAATGTGTTGATTAATTATGTATTTTAAATTGTAAGGCGGAGGCGATTTGGATCCATAGCGTTTCAAGTTGAGCTCATCGCCCAGGTCAATGTGTGAGAAATTGTCGTTGACCATTCGTTGAGCGAAATGAATAAGGTCCCAACACGACGATCCCGCTGGAAGATGGGAAAGATAAATATCGATTCGTGTCTTATTACCACTGGCCGAATCTATTTTAAGAACCGACGATTTAATCATATCACAAAAAGGCTTAATCAACACGTTAGAGCAAATTCCGGTCACTTTAGTTGCAGCGCGATTGAAGAATCCACTTGGATGATCACGAATATAACTAACGACAAACTTATTCTTCGCTAATAATCTCAAGGGTGTTTGAAAATCGTTCAAAAATACCGGCGGGGCCATAGCGATGAAAGGTCTCACTTTGTGAGAGTAATTTGGCTGATCAGATAAAAGTCCAAACATGACCAAAGATCCTCGAGAGAATCCAATATATCCGAGTGTTTCTAATAGTGATTGGCAATTTAGATTAGCGATCAACTTTGGTCAGTTCGAACTGTATTCTTACCTCGTCCAGTAACTTGTAAAACGTAATCAATCATTGCCGGTAAGTCAATATTTGCCATTTCGTCCAATGAAAATGACCAAAACTCTTTGGAATCTAACAAAAATTAGGTAATTAATTAAATCAATTATTATCAATTCGATTTTAAATCATAATCATCTTACCTTCTTTAGGGTCAAGTTTCGTGTGATTAGTTGAATAGTAATTACCCCGAGGGTTAGTTAGCCAAACATCATAACCCAAATTGGCTAAGATGAAACCTAAATCACGTCCATCGAGGTCGAAGTCAATTGCGTCCAGATCCTTATAACTTTCCAAAATTGACAAGTTAGCAAATCCTCGAGGAGAGTTAATCAAGAAATCAACGCCCGATCCAAGGAAACCACTTTGGATTATAATTGGTTCCAATTTCTGATCAGCAAATGATGATTGTGATATGAGTGGATTAACAATTCGGAAATTACCCAAGATATAACCATCACTCGTTGTGATATAATGAGTCTCACATTTGAATCCACGAGCTTCAATTATTTGAGGAATATCTCCCTTGTCAACTTCATCTAAATCAAGACAATTAGTCAACTGGATTAAGATGAAAACAATCAACACGTTGGAAAATTTAATCAACTTCATTTTGATAATTTTTATTTGGAAACTCGTTGAAACTAATCAACACAAATTTACAATCATCATTTGGCCATTCGAATGGTTTTTGTTTAATTACTAATCAGATAAACTTTTCAATTATCTGATTTGGTTAATCATTAATTGACATTTAATTGTAATTGATTTAAATGGGATGATCTTCATGGGACCACGTTAATCAATCTGATGACGGAAAGTAAAATATTATCATCAACAATCTAATCATTTGGTTTCTGGTTCAATAACAATCAACCTCGTTTGGAATCATGTTGATCAAGATGAAAATAAATTGTCATTAAATGAATTGATATTGATTGTTATTCTAATCAATGTTAATTGTCTCAGGGTCAGAAAATGTTTCAATCACAATTAGGTTTCAATATTAATAACATTCAGTGTTATTAATAAATAGTTAATTTGACCCGAAAATGACCTGAAATGTTTCAATCCAATTGTCTACTAATGATTATGATTAATATAATTGATTTGTGGTCGATCAATTTAGGTGCAATTTAATCACAAATATTAACAATTAAATCACTAATCACAATTGAATTTAATCAATTCTTTTCTAATAACCTTTGATATCTTCAGGTATTAAGTAAATTATCAATACAATTTATTTTTCATGGGCGTCTATAGATAATCAATCAGTGATTAAACAATTAACTGTAACTAAATTAGTAGATCATTTTCTTAGATTATCTCCTTAGGTAATTAACTGATTAAGATCTTTATTTTTTTTATTTTTCAAAGTAAATCAAATGTAAATCTTGAGTTTGTTGATTTTTTTTCAGTTTCACTTGACTGAATCTCTGGCGTTAATCAAGATTTGATTGCAATTTTGTATTATTAAGATTTTAGATTTAATTAGTTGCAATTATAATGATTATCTTGAAAGTAATTAAACATTAGCAATATGTTTAAATCTTGGATTTAGATTATTGTGTTTGATTAACTGTGGAAACTGTTGCCGTTGAACAGATGGATTTCGGTGGTAACTCGATTGGCTTTTGGTAACATTTATGATCCGTTTCGGGTTCCGTGCAACAAATGGCCTCAGGAAGTGGACGTTTACTGTCCAATTTAACTGATCGTCGTCTCTTATTAATGTAAACCAATTGATTGTCAAATGCAAGGCAAGTGTAGCTCCTGGTTGAACAGGTTGACACTTTTCGGTTACCTGGAGCAGAGGATCGGGTGAAATGACGGAAAGCGAAATATTTTTTGGGCTTAACTAAACTAGTACCATTATTTGACCAGATTAGTGACTCTCCTGATGGAGTTTGGGTATATGCTAACCAATGGTAAACCCTTTCAACACAAGTTGACCCTACAAAGTTAACCAAAGAGGTCGCAAGGTCAAAAGCAAAGTCCATCTGATTGGGTATCTCTGTTTCGGTTAATGTTGAGGCCATTTCTGTTATCCAAACTGGTTGATCTAAATCATTATCGTTAATATCAACATCATAATGAACTCTAAGTTGAGGTCCACCCGAAATGGGTGACCCTCTAATCCAAGGCGATAACCATGAGTGGCCACAACTGAACAAGCACCATTACATTGACCTTCAACTAGATACGATTTAGCCATCCAAAAGTAGGCAGTTTCGGGACAAACTTGCATTCGTTTATCGGACATCGATCGAGCCAATCGGCAAACTTGATCTGGTAACATGAAACAATGAGCCCAAGGTGCATCAAAATATTCTGGTTCATTGACAAACGAAACTCGGCTGATGGTTAAATTGTAATCCGATTCCGCAATTGAGGTTATATTACCCAAATAGTTAATATATTCAGTTTCAAATTCACGTTTCAAGATTGATGCATTGGTCATCATGTAATTTGGTGGTGTCCAAACTGAAATGAACATCTCAAAGTCCGGATAGGAAGATAAAAGATTGGCCATTGTTATCCAAGTGCAAGTCGCTTGGTCAACACAAGAGATTTTATAATTTCCACTTGAAGGACTGAAGGTTGGAGGATATTCCGAACGGAGTAAACGAATTCCAAGATCATGGTACAAAGATTTTAGAACATCTTCTCGAACGGAGGGCGAAGAGATATTGAACGCTTTCGCTTGGCCCAAGAAAACACCGAAACCTTGGAAAGGTTTTGTACAATTCCCAGAAACGGATATTAAGATGAACGAAAGACAAACAATTAACTTGAACAAAGTTTCACTCGACATTGGAAACAATAAACAAAAGTAAACAAAGTTATGAATCGAAAATAATTTTTCTTCAATTGAATTGATTTTTTTATCCTTCGAACACAAATTAAGAAAAAGAAAAACTTTCTCTCTCTCTCTCTGATGATGATTAAACTGAAATTTCAACAATTCTATTGATTTGATTTTCTTTTTCAGGGAAAGTTCAATAAGAAAGTGAATTTTTTTCTTCTTCTCTTCAAACCGGTAACACTGAAGGACTCAGTCCAAGCGTACAATGGACATCATCCCTTGGCTCACTTTCTCCCCCCTTTTCTTTATTCAATTCATCATGATTTCCTATCATCTTCATGATGATGATTGAAGATCAGCATGATCATCATCAATTCCATTCAATATTAATTATCAATTCAATAGATAACAGCTAATGATTGACAAGGAATTGCTGGTTTCCATTTCTGATCAATTGTTGCTCAATGTTTTTCTCCAAGATTATTATTATTAATATTATTTTTCTCTGTACAGGTAACATGTTAATACCATGAAGGACATTTCGTTAACTTTAATTAATTTTCTCTCTCTCTCAGGTAATCATTATTATCGCTATATAGTGACCCAAAAATGTTCCCACAGGGAGCCGTTGATCTGCCGTTGATGATTTATCAAGATATCACATTCGATTGTTTATCACAATCAACTTTCATGATTATCTTTGATTGGAAAATGGATAAACTTAATCATATTATCAATCTCTTCATAAATCATGATATTTAAGATGAGGTTTATGAGACGATTATTATTCAATTATCATGCTGAGATAAATTGAAAACAAAAGGAATCAAATCTGAATGACTGATGATTTGGTGATAACAATTGATGGAAATCAATTAAGTCAGAAATTGCCAATGATCATACTAGATATGGCTCTCAGAATTGAAAGTTTATCGAACTGAATTAATCCAACAATCAAGTGGATGTAACCAATTGATTAGTGATACTTTTCTTAGTCACGATCAAAATAATTCGGATAAATTATTTTATTTCGTGATTACTATTGATCGAAATTCATATTCATAAGCTTCGAATCCAATCAGCTTGAACCAATTCTCTTTCAATCATATAACATACGAATTTAGAACTATTATATCTTAGGATATTGTCGCAATTCTCATAGGTTATTGGCCAGAAATTCAGCGATTGGCCTATTGACCAATAGTCCAGCGTTATTATTAAACAGGAAATCGAGGTGAGAAAAGTTTTCATCTTCAATTTTAACCCTTTCAATGGGAGGAACTGTCAAAAGGAAAGAGATTAAATCAATTTAATTGTTATAATCAGCAATTGAAATGAATTGTAATTTACTATGGTACCTGGTAGCTCGTCAATCAAATGTTGCACATCAGTTGGATTCGTTGTTTTATCGCCGGTTGATTGTATGATCATAATGTTTGTACTGTTGACGTTTAATAAATTGTAAATTGGAGGTTTTTCGGACCCGTAATGTTTTAAATTGTAATCGGAGCCGAAATCAAGGTGCATAAAGTGGTTATTGGTTATTCGCTGAGCGAAATGTACAAAATCCCAACACGAGGATCCAGCGGGAAGATGAGAAAAGTAGATCTCCAGTCGTGATGAATTCGCTGTATATACATCAAGGCTAAGAAGATTCAATCTAATCATGTCACAAAGAGGTTTGATCAATATGTATGAACAAATTCCTTCTAATCTTAGTATAGATCGAGGGAAACATGACCTCGGATGGTCCCGAATAAACTTGGCCACCAACTCACTGCAGGCCAAAATTCTGAACGGACTATCGAAGTTCTTTAGGAAAATCGGTGGTGCAATCGAAACGAATGGATTTATTTTCTTTGAGTAATTTGGTTGATCAGCTAATAACCCAAACATAACCAAAGATCCTCGAGAGAACCCAATATACCCGATTGTTTCTAATAGTAATTGACAATTTAGATTAGCCATCACCTTCGAACTGTATTCTTACCTCGTCCAGTAACTTGTAAAACGTAATCAACCATTGCCGGTAAATCAATATTTGCCATTTGATCTAATGAAAATGACCAGAACTCTCTGGACTCTAATTCATTAATCAGTTTTTAGTAATTTTTTCAATCTTTGAAATTTGCTCAATAGTCATGATAATTTACCTGGGTCTAGTGTTGTGTGATTAGTTGAGTAGAAATTGCCCCGAGGGTTAGTTAACCAAACATCATAACCCAAATTGGCTAAGATGAAACCTAAATTACGTCCATCAAGGTCGAAGTCAATTAAGTCCAACTCATTTGCATTGAGTGCAATTGATTGATTAACAAATCCTCGAGGTGAGGCAATTATAAAATCAACACCCGATCCAAGGAATCCACTTTGCAGTATAATTGGTTTTAATTGTGGATAAGCAAATGATTTAGGCATCAATGGATTAACAATACGATAATTGCCCAAGATATAACCATCACTCGTTGTGATATAATGAGTCTCACAAATGAATCCACGAGCTTCAATTATATCGGGAATATTTTTTTTATCAACTTCATCTAAATCAAGACAATTATTAATAGTTAACTGTACCACGATTAGAACAATCAACAGATTAGTAAAGTTAATCAATGACATTTTCAATTGATGAATATAGATTAGTTTAATTGTCTATCGTAATCAAGTTTGATGATTATGTTTAATATCGTTCAGATTAGCCAATTTTAGGAATTGATGATTAAATCAAATTACTAACAATCACTTTGTAAATCTTTTATTCACTTGATTTATTGTTAAATTGTTATCATATTGAATCATGTTGATCATTTTTCTCCAACTAATTTTCTCAATTAATTGTAACAAAATCTCAATCATAACCATCAGGATGTCTAATTAAACTTAATTAGAGTAAATTTTTGCAGTGAAAGTTGATATTTTTTTTGAAAACTTCGTCAATAATAATAATCCAATATTTTTTATTCATCGGTAACAAGGACTCAGATTTGGTAATTTATCAGGTCAAAATCGAAAATTGTTCATTATGATTCTTTAATCAGTACATGAATCTGTCGATTCTGAGTAACTATGATCATAAAGATGTCGAAAATTCTGAACCTAAAAGGCAAAAAAACGGAAAGAAAACTTGATCTTTCGAACGACGAAGTTTTAATAGTTTTTAATAAAATCTATTTCGACGTAAGTTTTAAAGTCTTAGAAGTGAAGAAATAAAATTAATCATTAGAAATTAACGTTACAATCAAATAATTTAAGGCTAAGAAAATTAAAAAATTCAATAATTTAGTTCTCAAAATGAGTTATAAGGAACATCAGTTGATCCCCGTTTACAATTAGCTGATTGTTGATTTTATCGATAATTAGCCAAAAACTTAGCGATCGGCTTACTGACCAATTTTCCAACTTCATTGTTAAACAAGAAATCAAGATGAGAAAATCGTCATCTTCAATTTTGATCCTCTCAACGGGAGTAACTGTTGAAGGAGAAGAGATAAAATCAGTTTAATTGTAATTAAATTGTCATTGATTAGTGACTTGATCATCTTGAAATTTTACTCTACCTGGTAGACGGTCAATCAAATGTTGGACATCAATTGGATTTGCTGTTGTGTCCCCGGTTGATTGTAAGATCATAATGTTTGTATTGTTAACGTTTGATAGATTGTACTTTGGTGGTGTTTCGGTTCCGTAATGTTTTAAATTGTAATCGGAACCGAAATCAAGGTGCATAAAGTCCTCATTGATCATTCGCTGAGCGAAATGTACAAAGTCCCAACACGAGGATCCAGCGGGAAGATGAGCAGAGTAAATATCAAGTCTTGATGCATTCGCTGTTTCTGGTCAATGGCGAGAACGTTTAATCTAATCATATCACAAAGAGGTCTGATTAATATATTTGAACAAATTCCTTCCACTTTGATCGCTGATCGAGATAAACAGGAACTCGGATGATCACGAACATAATTGGCAACGAATTTGGTGGCAGCTAAAAATTTCAACGGAGTATTGTAGTTGTTCAGGAAAATCGGTGGTGCGATCGAAACAAATGGATCAACTTTCTTCGAGTAATTTGGTTGATCGGATAAAAGACCAAACATAAGAAGCGATCCTCGAGAAAAGCCAATATAACCAATCGATTCTAATAACAATCAACAATTGAGATTAGCGATTACTTTTGGTCAGTTTAAATTGTATTCTTACCTTGTCCAGTAACTTCAAAACGTGGTCAATCATCGCAGGTAAATCAATATTTGCCATTTGGTCCAATGAAAATGACCAGAACTCTTTAGAATCTGAATAAATCAAACCAATCATTAGCTAATTATCTCATTAATCAACCATAATATTCTTACCAGTATCAATTTAATTTTGAGTGATTAGTTGAGTAGTAATTACCACGAGGATTAGTTAGCCAAACATCATAACCCAAATTGGCTAAGATGAAACCTAAATTACGTCCATCGAGGTCGAAGTCAACTAAATCCAACTGATTGTATTTGTCCAAAATTGATTGATCAACGAATCCTTTTGGCGAGTTAATTATGAAATCAGCAGCCGATCCGAGGAAACCACTTTGAATTATGATCGGTTTCAATGGTTTATTATAAAATGGCGATGATGATTTAGACACCAGTGGATTAACAATACGGAAATTGCCCAGAATATAACCATCGCTCGTTGTGATATAATGTGGCTCACAAATGAATCCACGAGCTTCAATTATTTGAGGAATATCTCCCTTGTCAACTTCATCTAAATCAAGACAATTAGTCAACTGGATTAAGATGAAAACAATCAACACGTTGGAAAATTTAATCAACTTCATTGTTATTGTAGTTTAGTAATCGATTTGTTACAAATAAATCAATATAATCCAATTTAAATGTCATGTTTACATGGTATTTATACTAATCTGTTATCGTTAGTTAATTTCTTTGATAGTAATTAACCGAATCAGATCAACATGATTTGATTTAACACCTATGAATGGACTTGATTACAATTTAATTATCACAATTACCTTGATCGAAACCCTTAATATACCAGTAATAAAAGTCTATTGTTTAACTAATCTTTAATAACTCTTGATAATTGTTTGTTTTGGTTTAGTTAATTGTAACAAAATCACAATCAAAAACCTTCGGATATTAATAATTAAGCTTCTGATTTCGCAAATTGTTACAATTAAATTGCAACAAATTTATTAAATTTTTCTCAACTTTCATCTGATTTTTAATAATTACAATCAAACCAGCGATATTTGTTTATTTAATAATAACAATTCACTAACAACTTTAATTATTAGTAATTACTAGCAATTTAAAATGTCATCAGATTGTATTTTATTTGATTTAACCTTTTGATTAGAACGACAATCAGTTAATTCAGTATTTTAATTGTTTCCAGATACATGAAAACCAATTGATCCTAAATCAAGATGCACCGATTATTAATTAAACTTAAACAAACTGAAATCAATTTGGTATTAAATTCAACAAATATCAATCAACTGATTAGTTGATTCGGGGAAATTAGTTAAACAATTAACTAAATTGCGTCAAATTGTATTGACTGAACATCATAAGAGGTAAACATTTAATCTGAAAGTTGTTTAATTGTTTACAATTTAATTTGTATGTTTATTTATTTGTCAATCAATCAATCAATTAATAATTAATGCAACTTTCACTTTTGATTATACAAAATTAAACTAATTGTTGTGGTACATTGAAACTTACTTAATTATTATGATGGTAGTGATTAAGTTGAAAAGAGTCTGATTAAATAATAATAATTTAAATCAAAGTAATAAATTAAATTGATTGAATTAACTTAATTGTAATGGTAAAACCTTGAAATGCTCAACTGTGATTAAATAAAGTACCAATTACCAATTAGTAAATTGTTGATCATGAGTTCAGCGTAAGTACATCACGATAATCATATACGATCAAATTAATTGTAATCAAAGAAAATTGGTCACAATCAATTGATTTTATTGGTCAAGGAATATAATTAATATCGGTCAATATTTTTCTTTTCATGTTAAACCAATTAAATGAGATCATTGATTGTGTTGATTGTTTGTTTGATGTTCTAGATGAAATTAGATTAATTTAATTGGAAATTGATTGAAATTGACTTTGCACAATGTTAATTGTATTAGTAAATTATCATTGTTATATCTTGACTATTGTTAATTGTTGTTAAAAACAACCATTTCTTTGTCAAAGGGAAACTCAAACAATTAAAATAAACTGAAATGTTATTTGTTTTTGTACATTTGTTTTTACAACAATTAAATTAATTCAACCATCACTATACAAAATTGTATTAATTGTGATTAGTTTACAAAAAGAAAAAAATTTGGCAACAATTGTTGATTTAATTTGATTTCTGCTTTTTACGATTGAGATGAGAATCAAATTTGTTAATCAATGTACATCATCAACATATGATCATTTGTAATTACAGAGTAAATAATTACAGTCAATCATGGTTAATAATATAATGATTATAATTCATGTTAAAACATAACAATTTAAAGGTTGATTGTCTGTTGATGATAAATCACAAGTCAAACCAACAACAACAATCAACAGAAACGATGTTTTTGTTTCTTAGTTAAATTGTCACCGTTGCATCAATAATAATGATGATGATAAATATTAAGTATAAGATTAAGCTAAATTGTAGGAGTTTAGAGGCAATGAAGATGAATGAGTGAGAGAGAAGATGATAATGAAGATGAGGATGAAAGGGAAGAGATTCCTTAATGTAGCATCACATATTCATTGATGGTTGGATGATTACTTCTGGTCCGTATCCGGATTCAAATGCACCATGAAAAAAACAGATAACAGGTTTGAATGAATCTTTTAACCAGTAAATTGTTGCTATTAACTTGGTTACTTTTTAGTTAATGACCGTTCAACTAAATTAAGGTGAGTTAATTTGTTTCTTCGTAATCATGGTAGTAACTAAGCTACCAAGTGTGATCATTATCATCATCATCTTGTTAATTGTTCTAAGTGGAAATAGTTGATTCTAAATTTACAATAAAACATTTTCCTTTGTTAATTGTTGTCCATTGATTTGCTTCCTTGGGCCTTTGATTGTTGTTTATTTCCCGATCCGTTGAGTATTTTGGCTTGGATTTAGTTTAAATTGTTGTCTTCTCTTTTGATTGATTGTTTTACATTTTCCTTGGTTTTTTTTTCTGTAATTGGTTGAATTTAGAAATTAGCAATTAGTAATTTGATATGTAAATTCAACTTTTTTATTTTCCTTTTCTTATTGTTATATTGTTTGGTTGAGCATCTTAATTGTAGATTAACACAATTAAGAATTAACTACATCTCTATATTACCTTATAGATGAATGTTCAATTGTGGTTTGTTTAATAGCCTTGGTCAGTTGATTATCTCTTGAGTAAATAAGCAATTTAGAAAGAAAAATAGTTCTAATTGCTTGAGTTGTAATTATTTAATTATCTCCATCATCAACGAGACAAGCCTTTGGTGAATTGTTAAGATTGTTTACAATTTAGGACAATTAACAAGAGAGAAACCAGTTTGTACCAATTAAGACCATACCTTAATTGTCCTTTGATTGATTGTAATTGTTTGTAAGACTAAATAGTTAAAGAAAACAAAATCAAGAGATGAACAAAAATAATTAAACGTTGATAAATTATACTTGCAGTAATTAAAGATCATATTTCATATAATTTACCTTTCAATGTTTCATTGTTAATTGCTCATCTTAAATACCTAGAATCAAATATGATTAGGATTATCCGATAATGATGGACACATAGCAATTTGTTGAAAGGGTTAATTGTTAATTTATAAATAGAATTGGAAAGTTGTTGATGTTTGTATCACAAAATTTGTCATTTTACAAAAAAAAATTTTACAAATTGTCAAAATTAAGATTGTAATACATCACAATTCAAAAAATTAACTGTAATTATCTTTCTTATTAACGTTCATGCAAAAACAATTAAAAGATGAAAGATATTAAATCAGCTGAATCATTAATGTTTTAAAAGATTCCTTGGGTTTCTTGTTTATGTTGTTTTCTTTGTTGTTGATGTTAATTGTCATCCAAATAAATAATGAGACTTATTTCAGGTAAAAGTTATCAACCATGATGAGTGGATGCTGGTTACTGATTAAATTTGAATTAATTACGATGATGATCAAGACTTTTAAACGCATCCATATTCATACCAGGTTGAATTGCTTCCATTGAGCTTACTATCTGTCTCATGATTTTGCCTTTGATTACGTTGAGAGTCATGATTAACTTCATCATTATTTGTATATGGTTGAAGGTGTAGGCGTGTATGAGGAAGAGCATGAGAATGAGGATGATGGTGGAGAAGGTGATGATGATGATGATGACTATAAATTTCTGAAGATCCAGGGACACCAAGACTCTGATGATCAGAGGGTTTTAAAGTTTGTTGTAGGTAAAGTTGCTGATTTAATTTAATATTACAGTTAACTAGTGTTTCATTGTGACGTTCAATTGTTGCTTGTGGTAGAAGTTGTTGTTGTTGTTGCTGTGGTGGTTGTTGCGGTGGTGGTGACACGACATGATCATTAGTAGTCCATTGACTTCTTATATTATGAAGTTCACCCTGTACCTGAGTTAGTTTCTCAATAGCAGCTTTCTTTTCAATCTGTAGATTGGTGATTTCCTCTATTAGAGAAACGATTCTATCTTTATCCATGTCCTGTTGGAATCGTAACTCTTCAGAATATGATTGTAATTGGATGAATTCATTTTCCAATTCGGACATTTGTTCAACTGTTTTCCGACTTAGGTCAAGCTTTTCCTCGAGTAATGACCTTGTCTCATCAAGTCGACGATTCTCGTCTCTTAATTCATCAACTCTCGATTTGTAGAAAGTTAATTCATTTATTTTATCTCGATAACTTTCAACTTCTCTCTCCAGGCTATCTATTTTTCGAACTCGCTCATTAAGACGTTCGATCTCTTCACGATAAACTTTTACTGCTTTGGCCTCTTGTTGTAACTTTAAATTCTCGGTTCGAAGTTTGTTACAAGTCTCATCGTTTTTCATATTCTCAATAAGCGAATGTAACTTTTGATTTTCCAGCTCAAGTTTTAATACTCTTTTAGATGCATCGTTGTTCAATTGTTCAAGTAAATTCGACTCGAGGCCATTTGGTGATCCATTGGATTGATTAGCGGCATATTGATTTCGAAGATTATTCAATTCTTTCTGTACTTGAGCAAGTTCATCGATCACAGCTTTCTTTTCAACCTGAAGTGAGGTCACTTCTTCCATGAGAGATTCAATCTTTTCTCTGTCCATTTCTTGTTGGAATTTTAATTCATTCGAACAAGCCTTTAATTGTAACAATTGAGTCTCCAATTCGGGTATTTGTTCTGACTTTTTTCGACTTACTTCCAATTGTTCTTCCAACATCGATTTGGTCTCATCGAGAATTCGATTATCTTCTCTCAGTTCTTCTACCCTTGACTTGTAGAAAGTTAATTCGTTTATTTTATCTCGATAACTTTGCACTTCCTTTTCAAGGCGATCAACTTTTCGAACGCGTTCATTTAGAACATCAATTTCGTCTCGATATGCTTTAACTGATCGTGTTTCTTGAATCAATTCCAAATTCTCTGAACGAAGTTTATTGCAAGTCTCTTTACTTTGTTCTAATGTTTCTTTCAATTCATTAATTAGTTCAGTTTTCTCTTCCAATTCAGCGATCGCTTTACGATATTTTGATTTGGCCTCATCTAATTCATAAAGATGAGACCGAGATTCTGTGTTATTCAGTGTAAGTAAACTGGACACTGAAGAGGAAGAGTATGATTTGTACAAGGGTGATGATGGATTTGGCGTTGTTGAAGGTCCAACTTGTCCGTTATGAGGAGAAGAGGCTAATAAGGTTCCATTACTGGAAGTTGAGGTTGGTATTGATGTGGGAGTTGAATGATGATGGTGATGGTGATGGTGGGAATGAGATGAAGAAGATACAACGGAACAAGATTCTTTGGATTTGAGATTTTCAATTTCAAGGGCCAGGTCAACTACTCGTTGGGCCAGGTCATCACGCTCTTTAACCAATTTATTAACATTACTGACAAGAGTTGAATACATTCGGACTTGATCAACTTCAGGGATTAGTGAAAGTTCACCCCAATCAGAGTTACTCCATACAGATGATGGATTATCGGTTATCTGTTGAATACATTCAACAATTGAATGTTGAACAGTTAAATCGAGTGCGGTTATGGCTTCAATGAAACGCTCTTTAGACTCACATTGAACCGCTGAGCCAAGTAAGAGAAGGAGAAAAGTTTCCAAATCTTCTTGGTTAACCTCATCTTCGGGATCTTTGCCAATGTTGACCACATCGGGCAATTTAAGAACCAAAAGTTGACCCAAAGATTCTGAATAAAATGTCCGAATCTTATCAAGAAGTAAATTTAAACTACGAATTCGGTAAACAATTGAATCATTTGTTTCCTCAATGGTATCTGAATGACTTAGAGATGAACCATTTGTTTCAATTCGCTGCCAAACCGAATTTAAAAAGACACCATCAAAAAGTTTATAACAATCAACTAAATCACAATTAACCAAACAAGTACCATTAGTACCATTGGTGGTCACAATATCACTACAATTTTCCTGTTGGAAAGTTTTAATCCAGGTAACCAATGGAGATTTAAGAAAGGAAATCACTTTGGTCGAACCCATTTGGCAGAGATTTTAGAAAGTCGATTAAGGTAAATATCCAACGACAGAAAACACCAACTCACCAAAACACCAACAACGATCAAACCAAACGCACAAACAACAACAAATAGGAAACACAAGAGAAAGAAGGAAAACAAAAACTATGATGATGATGATTTACAATTTTGATCTTCTCAAGTTGTTGGCGTGAATGTTTTTAAATGTTGTTGTTGATGAAGAGATGATGAAAACGATGATGATGATGATGATGATGAAAAAAAGAGGTCAAAAGGACCAAACAATAAAAAGAGTTGCGAGCAGAGATTCTGAGCATCTGGCTCACACTAACCAAGAACAACCAGTTTTCTGTATACTTAAGACGCGAGTCGAGGTAACCGGTTTTTTGAATTTGGTCCTGAGTCCGTTTGTTGTTGTGTTTCCTTCCTAATCACTTGTTTACTCCTCAACTGAGAACTGAAAGACAATGAGAGAGAGAGAGAGAGAATTAATTTAAATACGATAATAATTAGGATTAACTAATAATCTGGATGATATTTAATATGGGTTTGGTATCGATATGTTTACTTGGTCAGAGAAAATTAAAAGGAAAGTGGAGAGAAAAAAAGAAGCAAAAAAAAAAGTGAAAAGATTTTGTTAATTGTTGTTGTTGATTGTTAATCATGTTTAACCATGAAATTTTCTGTATACTGAGTTATGAATGAAACAATCAGGTAATGAGAATGAGTCAGTTAGATGAATGAATATTTAAAGAATGGTAATTATTAATTAAGTAGTTAGAGATAATTGTAATTATCTGTGATACTTGATGATTCCCATTAAGACAATAGGAGATTCTCATAGTTATTAACAGAAACAATTAACTAATCGAAAGTTGTTGTTGTTATTGTTATTGTTTTCCAGAATTTTGATTGTGATTAAAAGGGAAAATAAATTGCTGGGAGATTTTGTTAACTTTAATTAATTGAAAGTTTTTCTCAATTAATCATAACAGTATTAATTTAATACACTTTGGTGTTAGTTGATAATGATAGTTTATTAATCAGCTAACAATTAACTAATTCTTGTTTATGGTCAGATTAATTGGGCTTTCAGATGGTTAAATTGTTAATCCTGCTGACAATTTAAATTTCATAATTTATTGGTTAGTTGATTTAATAACATTTAACTTCAATGTATTCAACGGGATTAAATACAATTTACGTGACTCTTAGTAGGTTTTTTTTTTGAAATAAGTTAAATTGTCAACAATTAACATCATGATTATCTCAAGTAATTGTAAATTTAAATTACAATGAGAGGTTGAAATTTTGTATTTACTACAAAAGTCATACCTTTTATTATTATTATTGAATTACTGTATTGATGAATTAATCTTAATCACAATTAAATGAACGGTCAAACTGGTTAACCATTGAATTAAGAAATGATTACTTGATAATCGTGATGAAACATAATTCATTTGGGTGATTGTTGAGTAAATTGTTGTTACTAAATCATGAATAATCAGGATTATGTTTACCCAGAATGCAAGATAATAATATTATTTAGGAAAAAAAGAATCAAGAATTGTAACAATTAACAGGTCAATTAGGGCGTAATCAGCCTTAATCGCATTGGGTTACAAGGATTAAATCATAAATTAGATGTAATAATTTACCAATTGTTAAGATAATCAATTGGGAGATTGTTTAATGGTAAGAGAAGCAAATTATTTTTCTCATCTTATTCTAAACAATTAACTTCCAATAAATCATTGGGATTATTATCTTGGCAATGGTAATATACTAATCGGAAAACAGGGGAAAAGGTTAATCGTAATTCTGTACCAAGGGTTCATGTATGAAATTAATAGTAGGTTAAGAATGTGATTTAGTAATTGTAACAAAAAAATTACGAGTTTATTTTTAAGCTTCATCAGAATATCAATTATCTTAATTTGATAATCTGCCAGGTTCACAATTAAGATTGAATATGTAATAAGTGGCACCGAATTAGAAGAGTAACAAAAAAATTGTTACAGTTTTCTCAAAGGTTATAAGAAATGATGAGAAAATGAGAAGAAAACAAGAAATCAATCTGAAGAATCAATTGGAATGCAATTAAATTACTGATGGTGATTAAATTTAAATTGTTAGTTAATTTTTTTTTTTGTATCGGTGTATCAAGAATACACATAACTAATTGAATGATCATCATTCACAAATCGCTGAGCTATTAAGAAGATGATGACTTATGAATTTTAAATAAGAGGTTAATCAGTTAATTATTTAAGTTAATAGAAGATTAAATTGAGATGATTAAAGCATAATGAGGATAAAATTGCTTGGGAATTACTAGTTGTGGGTATTCATTGTCTTCATGATCAAGGTGGACACACCTTGGTAACTTTTTTAGTGGAAAACTAATCAATAATTAATCATTGCGTGAGCTTATCCATTGATGGGCTTTTGTTATCATGTCCACATAACATTAACCCAAACAATGAATCATCATCATCATCATCAACAAGGAAACCATCAAGGGCAAGTTATCATTAAAAAAGATTTTCAAATGATAGAAGGTAAAATCAATCTGTGAATTTGGATTAGCATCAAATTGGGTGATGAGAAAAAAAAATCACCATGAAAACTTTGGGTGAAGAAAAGTCAATTAATCAAATTGGTTTTGGGTTAATTGAATGTGTTTAATAAGTGAAGTTAGTTGACATTGTAGTCAATTAGCTTTGGGTGGATTAAGATGAGCTTTCTAAATTGACTTCTAAACATGGTGCTTGTTTGTAAGGTGGAAAAAGAGAACTGATTTAGAGAGAAAACTTTAAATTCTATTTAGAAAGAGAGATATGAGATTTGGAGAGAAAAAAAAATAAAGGAAAAGGTTAAACAGGCAAAGCGAAACAACTTAATTAGCAGACAAATTGAGATTGAAGTGAAAAGATTGATTGGATCTAATTAAATGATTTGTTAACTGGAGGATTTACCATAGAAAGAGAAAGCGACTAAATATCCATTTGAATGGTCAGTCTATTAGAAACGAATTTTTTTTCTTCTTCTTTTCTTTGTGAAAAAAAAGAGAAAAGAGTCACCTAGGTAAAGGAGAGAAAGGGACAAACATACACACCTATCGACACAGGAAAGGAGAGGAAGATAGAATATTGTGTATCTCTTCATCACCAAGTAGCAAAAGGAAATTGTAAGAGAATGGAAAAGAGTAGGAGGGGGAGGGCTTACCGTTAATTATGGTTCAAGTGGGAATCGGGCGGAGGTTTGACCACTTTCTGTCTCTCTCAATAGTTGACAAGTCTTAAGAAAAATTGGTAATAACTGTAATTTCGGGTCAATTTAGCTTGTTAACAACAATCAATTTCTTTGTTTTAACCAAAGTCTAAAGAGAAGTTTAAAACAACTGCAGAACACAAAAGAGAATTTTTGAATTTTAGAAAAGAAAAAAAAACTCTTTTTGTTGATTCTTCTGCTGGTGGATTAACATGATCACCATTCAATCAACACAATCAAACGTTTGAAAGGTAAAAAAAAAACTTTGAAAGAATATTAAACTATCAAAAAGAGAATATTCAATTGTTTGAGGTTTAAATTAATAAAGAGAAAACTAGAAAATGATTGTGATTATTTTAATTACAATTAACAAACAAACAAAGTGATTAACAATATGAAAAGAAAACAAGTTTTCCCAAGAAAGGAAACAGATGCAATGAGAAAAAATCTCTTTCTTTTTCTCTCTTTCAAAAACGAACTTTTATTCCACAACCGATAGATGTCGCCAGGGGAACGAAAACTTTTTCGATGACAATTAATTATGAGTTAGAATTTAAATTATTAATGAACTTTGATGAATATATAATGGAAAGGAAAGATTTTGAAGATCTTTGTAAATTAAGACAGAGAGTGAGAGAGAGAGGGAGAGAAAATTTTCCAGAGAATTGGTTGTCTGGCATTAGAGTAATTTGATCCGTTCCATTTTGTGACCTCATCTATTGATGACCTTAGTTGATCTCAAGTGTTGAGGTCAAATTGTGCTTGACCACAACTGGACGGTGTGAGAAAGTATTTAAATGGAAACCAAATTGACCAAACATTTAAATTATTCAATAGAATCTTAATTGTAAATCAAGGAAAATTGAGATTGAACATATTGAAATTGATTCTTCGGATAACTGATCTGTTGACCTGACAATCGTAAATGCTAATCAAAGGGATACAAATGATTGATTAATAGAAGTTACAACTTTTATTAGAAGAGATTAAAGAAATGTATTAATAACTAAGAAATTGAACAATATTAATTCAGTTGGTAATAACAATTATTATCTCGAGTATATTGTTAATTATAAAGCCTTTTGTGAAATTTAAATTGTTCCCACTGGATCGGTGGTCGATCCGATAAGTCATGTCGGGAGTTCGTGGCTCTATTCGGATCGATCCCGTGATGGTGCGGATTTACCTTTACCTTTACTTTTAACTCCCACTTGATGAGATTAACTTTAATCGGTTAATCTCATCATTTTTTGTTTCTAATCCGTTTGTTTAGCTTCCCAGTTAAAATCCCCTTCTATTTTGGATTTTCCTTTTATTCGAGCCAAAAGGTCACTTTTCGTGTTTTTTTTTCCATCTCATCTCAAGTTATAAATTTAATCGAATTCGAATGGATTAATGATAAAGATTAAAATCGCAAGTTTTGGATTAGAATTTGAATTTGGCGCATTTTTTTTTTCTTTCTAAAATTTCGGTAACCAAGAAAAAAAGCTTATTCATTTGGTTATTGTTTCGGTTTGTCATCTGACTTTTTGTTTCTTTTTTCTTCCTGGCAATTAGTTAATTGTTCTTAATTTTTTACTCTTTATTTTGAATAAAATGGCTTCTATTCAATTGGCATTAGACTGGGAAAAAGATGATTATGGTTTAGAGAAAAATTCATGTCCAAGTCACTTGGACAGTTTAATTCCCGATTGGATAAAAACACCTTTATCTACTGGTGTAAGTATAGCTTTTTCTTAATTGCTTTTCTAATTTATTTTTATATTTCTAATTACTAATTTGGTTTTTTTTGCTTCCTTTCTCCTGCTTATTTATAGACTACGTTATTGGCTGCAGAATATGACGGTGGGGTTTACATTGGTGCTGATACTAGAACTTCAACTGGGTATTTAGTTTGATTCTTTAACTACATATTTTTTTTTATTTATAAGCATGTTCAGTTAGGAATTAATTTTTTTGCTTACTGTATTTAAATCCTATTAGAGCTTATGTTGCTGCTCGGTATTCTGATAAGTTAACCTACATCACTGATCAAATTTACTGCTGTCGATCTGGTTCTGCTGCAGACACTCAAGCGATCGCTGAGATCGTCAAATATCATCTTTCATTCTATGAGTAAGTCTATCTTTGTACAACATGAAACCATTGAACGGAATTCTAACAAAATTTGTCTCTCTACAATTAGAATGGAGGTTGGAGAGCCTGCACCCGTCAAAGTTGCCGCTAACATTTTCAGAGATCTTTGCTATCAATATCGAGATCAATTAACGGCTGGTATCATCGTTGCTGGTTGGGATAAGAGAGAAAAGGGCCAGGTAAACGAAATTGGCAACAATCAATCATATTTAATGCTAACCTAATGGTATTCTCATTTTTCTCAATTTCTTTAAAAAGATTTACATGGTTCCTTTGGGTGGTATGTTATTGCGATTACCCGTAGCAATGGGTGGATCTGGTAGTTCTTACATTGTTGGACATGTTGATGGTACTTACAAACCCAAAATGTCCAAAGAAGAATGTCGCAAATTCATCATTGAAAGTAAGCCGAAAGTGAACCTAAAGTTTAATTGTTGATGATCTAATTTCTTCAATTTATCACTACAGGTATTACCCATGCGATCAACAGAGATGGTTCCAGTGGTGGATGTGTACGTTTGGCTAATATTTCTGAGAGTGGAGTTGAGCGTGAAGATATTGAATTCAATAATTTACCTCGTTTCCAAGATATTTAATATTTTCTAAGTGTTTAATCAAAATTTCAAGTAAATCCAACTACTTGGATGAATAAATGATAATTACTTATGAGCATTTATTAACAAAAAAAAAGTCACACGGGCTAATCGGGCTTTGCATTCAAACAGAATAATTTTAATTTTTGAATTAATATTAGTAGAATGAAGCAATTTCCTATCAAATCAACTTCCAGTTTTAAAATTGGATTAAAATCTAATCTCTTTTTCTCTTGTTTCGAGATGGAGATTTCTTTTCAGAGAGTTGATGTTTTCGGTTGTGAACGCGATTTGAATTCTTATTCTGATCTGTTTTCACGGGTTCCTGTCGATTTGCTGGCGATGATGATGACGATGGACGATTGTTGTCAGATTCTGAGGTTGTGACTTTCTTTTCATCAGAATTTACCTCAGGAGGTGTTGGTGATCCACTCGGTGAAGGAGAAGATGAGATGTTGGGATTTTGGGTTTCATTACTTTTCGAAATTAATCTTGGTCTTCTTTTTCGTCTTCTATCCTTTGATACTCTTCGCCATCGGTGTAAATTCTCATTTTCTGTTCTAACTGTTGTTTCACTTTCACGTCGATTGGGAATTTCACAAACTCTATTAGACGAATTTCTTGTATTATTTGTCGCTTCGGGGTTAACCCTTTCTCGATTTGGTGATGCTTCTGGAATTGATGATCTTCTATCATTTTCAGGATTAGAATTTGCCTCTGGTATACTTCGTGTAATCTCACTGATAATTAAATCAAGTAAATTCTCCAATGCTAATTGCTGTTGACCCATCGGTGGATTTGGTTGAATCGGAATAGTTTCATAATCAGAATCTGATTTAACGTTGATTATCAAATTTTCAAATGTTGTCCGACAAACTGGACACTGATCCGAAGATTTTGACCATTCCAGTAAACAATTAGTACAAAATTGATGAAGACAATTATCAGCGTAACAAGGATTAATTCTTGTAGTTAAACAAATATAACATTGAGACTCATCGTTTCCAATTTGTTGATTGTTTTCATTTGATTTCTCATCATCAAGCTTTGAATTGTTTTCTTTTTCACTATTATTAGAATGTTGATTAGTTGATTGTCTATCGGATTTCGATTTTTGTTCTTTATCATCATCATCATTAGAAGGCATTGGAACTTTTTTGTTAATTGCTTTGAAAATCCTTCGATTTGTTAATATAAAACACTAATCACTTTGAAAGAGCTTCAAATAACATCGATCGTCTTTAATATGATTACTGTGAGTAACCCAAAGATATTTAGAGTCACTGTTTTATTTGTGAATACTTGTGGAGAGGATTGATTATTTTAGTTATTTACTTAGATTGATTGATAATAACTTTCTAAATCAGTTGTTAATTAGATAGTAATCAAAAAATAGAGTTTTAAGGATAGTGATATTTATAGACATTGAAGAAAGAAAGAAGATGAAAAGTTAATTATGATTTATATCCTAAATTATTGATTAAAAGGATATAATTGTGGAAAGAGATTAAAGAGAAAGAAGAAGCGATAAAGTGAAGATAAAGAAGATAGAAAGAAAAAAAAGAAACAGGGAATTGTTTCTTCTTTTGTTTGGTTTTTGTTTTTGTTTTCTCTAAATTCATGTTTGACCACAGTAATTGGATCAATGAGGGATAAGAGGAACATAGATTAACAGTCCAAAAAGTTAGCAGCCATCAGAAGTTCCAAGGCAACTTCAGGGGCGATCGGAAATTCTGGAATCTCAGTTGCGCTGTTAGTGTAACGTACTTTGTAAATGAAGTATTGGCAAACCTTCTGAAGAACATGAGAAGGAATCTCCTTGAAATGCACCTCGTTAGTTTCGTTTTCCGCGAACTGACCTGAAAATATGGAGAAAAGAATAATATGTAAAAAGAAAAAGAAAAGTATATTAGTAAAGTGAAGATAAAATTGTGATGGCAAAGAAATAAAAATGCAGATCAAGATAGACAATGAACCCGACAAAATGAAAAGAAATCAAAGATCAGTAACTATTAAGAAACATTTCTAAAGGTTGAATAACCCCTTTTACTCATTGAAGTAACATGAGAAAGAGAATTGGAATAAGAGGTTTTATATTCAACTAGAAATTTGTTAAAATAGGCAATTAATTAAATTGAAGAAAATTGTCTCACCTGGACCACTTAACATGGCTTTAATTGTTCCAGAGGTTAAAGCATAATCTCTTTTAATTATAAATTCATGTCCATCGGATGAAAGTAATTTAACATACATCGCATTGGGACCTTCACATCCGCCATAGACACTTTCGGTTGTTCCTTCACCCATTTTAGATTATAATTTATGGTACAAGAGTGAGAGAGAGAAAGAACAAATTAACTAACAATGAAGAAACGAAGAAAATTAAATAAATAAATTAACTAACAATCAATACAATTAACAACAAAAAATTAAAAAACAAATAACAAAACCGATTGATGATTTCAGCTGAAGGTTGGGTTTATTTCTGTCCAAAGAGGTCGCCACTGAGCGAAGAGACTGTAACTCCATCTATCGGGGGAGTTAAACTAATATTCGGAAATTTTTTGTTTGATGAAAAGTTTTTTTTTTGTCAAAACAAATTGAAAGTTTCAGTTGTTTGTAGCTTCATCATTGTAATTTTTGTTTTTCATCGTTAAGATTTTAATTGTTTCCAATTGAGTTTTGGTTATAATTTTTTCCATTGAAGTTTATTTTAATTGAAAGTTTTTTCTTTCACCGGTAAATACATACGAACATGTTGCTTGAGGCCATAAGCGGAAAAGTTACCGAGTTCTAACCGGTTCTTAAGAAGTGATTTCAAGTTTCCGAACGTCGTTTGTGCTCATCATTTTATCACATTCTTTTCATGATTTAACTTGAGCGAAGATAAACTTTTCTCTTTCTCTTTCTCTTTCTCTCTTTTTGTAATTTAGCTTTTTTCCTCTAATTTTTTACTTAAATTTTTTACCGTTTTGTTAATTGTTCATCTCCATTGGATTATCGTCTCACCTACAATATCAACCATAGGAAAATGGCTTCCACCACCAATGGTCCTCTCTTTGATTTACAATATTTGGTAAGTGTGATTGTGAATACATGCTTTTAGTTACTACAACTCCTTTCTTAAGGTATTGAGAAGATGAGGATGCTGATGATGGTTAAATGATGAAGATGAAGATGAAGATGAAGATGAAACTGATTACTATGGTAAACAAATTTGTGCTCGGGTATCAGCTCGAAGCAATGTAACGCCTCATCTTATGCGATCCAATTAAATAGATTTCCTTTTTCTTTTTTCTTAACTAATGTTTTTCTTAAAGAGAAAAATGTTTCTATCAACAATCTGTCAAGGTGAGTCGATGGAAGGTAAAAAAATGAGGCTTGTTTTTTTTTCTTGTGCTCCCTCTTTTACGCTCCTACTGTTGTTCTGTAAGAAGTTAACTTGAAGAAGATGATGAAGATCAATTTATCTACTTCTTCTTTTTTCTTCTCCTCCCTATTTCATTTTGGTCAATGATTAGTTAGAGAAGAGAGAGAGAGAGAGAGAGAGAGAGAGAGAGAGAGAGAGAGAGAGAGAGAGAGAGATGTTAATGATGATGATGATAAACTTTTCAAGGTATGAAAAAAAGATGAGGAGGAAAAATATCTTACCTGGTATTTTGTGGCTTCTGTTGAATATTTCTGGTTATCATTGGAGAAATTTTCAATTATCTGTCATATTTGATTGTTGTTGAGAAATTTAAGTTTAATCAATAAACGGTATTAACGATGTTTATCCTCATCTTTATTAACTTGATTGTCTCCTGATTATTATTGGTGCCTCTTCATCTTCATCCTCATCTTTTCAAAGGGTTTCCTCAGGTTCTTCGTATTAGTTTGGTGATTTTTTTTTCTTATTCGGATTTGATGAAATTTTTCTTCCTTCTTATTGATTATTGTTTATATTAATAGTTAATATTTCGGCAACAAAACAGGTTAACTTAATTTCACTATCTTTCATCCATCTTTTGATTCATCTTTTTTTACAATTAACTTGTCGCACCTTAATTTGATTCCTCAATTTGATTCATGATTCTGATTGGAAACAGATTCCCAATTTCTAGAAGCAAATTTAACTTTGTTGTTGTTTCTCAAACTAAATTCAATTGCATATTTTTCTTGCTCACCAATCAAATTTAATTACACTTAATTACAGTTATTCCAGCCTATTAAAATCTTATTCAATTTAGCTAATCAAGTTAACCATCAACGAAATTGAATCGATTTTGTGATTAAAGGAAAACTTATTTAATTTCGATAATCTAACAATTTAAAAAAAACAAAGAAATAAAAAGTATCAAATTAGTTAATCAGTAACACTTTTCGTTAATTATTATCATCATTGTGGCTGCTTTTAATTGGCTGGTAGAATGTTTCTCTTGCAAATGATTAAGAAACTTACAATTTAATTGTTATCATAGTTAATTGACATTAGATTGTTACTATTGATAATTGAGAATTCAATTTGCTTCCAGCAATTTAAAAACTAGTAATCAAATGGTAACAATTTGTTGTTTGTAATAACTTAAAGACATTGGAAAGGGAATAATAATAAAAAAAGAGATGAGAGTAATTTAGTTGATTCGTTAATTGTTACTCTTAATTGTTTACCAACAGAGTTACATTGGTGATCTTAAGGCTAGAAACAAAATGTGCCTTCGTCCAATTGACATCGCCAAGATGCACGGATATAAGGACTGCGTTAATTACTTGGCGACACTTGAAGCTTGTCTTTCATTAGCCGAGCAAAATGTTGCCCTGGAAACTGAATTGTTACAGTGAGTAATTAATTGATAATATTTTGATATTCCAATATCAATTAATCACTTTATAAATATTTGTATTTGCTTCTGTTCATCTTAATCATTAGTTATGGAGCTGAATTATCAGAATTGGAAAAGTGTTTCAATGAGCTTTTACAGTTGACAAAATCTGAGCGACTTCAGGCTCAAAGTTCATATTTTAATTCAGTCGTTGAGGCCATTGAACGGAAATGGAAACGATGTAAATCTAAAAGCCTTGGTTCTCATGGATTACCCGATCAAAGTGCTTACAATTTATTTCAATCACATTTTTCACGAGTTCTCACCGACGATGTCCTTTCAGAACTTTCGTTTTCATCTTCACCCAGTAATCATCTTCATCATCAATCTTTTTTTCAACAACATTTACACAATCGTTTCTCAAATCATCGTCATCACAATCATCCAACGATTGATGCTCATCGATTGAAAAGTAATCCCGGTGCCGATAATTTGACCAGCCTTTTGACTGGCGATCGAACTACAGTTAAAAACAAATGCAATTCCAGTGGTTACACACCAACTTATTCTGATCCCTTTCTCGAACTGAGTAACGGTCACTATTCACTTTTCTCGTCCGATACTGATTACGCTGTTCCTTATAAATTAAAAACCGGTCCGAAAAACAAGGCGGGTGTGAAAAAAAGTGACAATCCTGTTATTTTAGGTCGAAGAGGATTAAAACAACAACGCGATCAACCCGAAGGGTCTTCGGTCCCATCTTACCCTAAATCATCATCAAGTTTATATGAATCTTATAAAGATCATCATAATCATCACCGTGAACCCTCATCATCGGCATCTTCACCACCCTCAGCTTCACGTCATGGAAAAGGTGATTTTGAAGATATCGATCTTGACCTTGATCTGGATGATGAAGATGATGATGAATTATCTGGATATTCTAGCCCATCGGTGGATTTGGTTGAATCGGAATAGTTTCATAATCAGAATCTGATTTAACGTTGATTATCAAATTTTCAAATGTTGTCCGACAAACTGGACACTGATCCGAAGATTTTGACCATTCCAGTAAACAATTAGTACAAAATTGATGAAGACAATTATCAGCGTAACAAGGATTAATTCTTGTAGTTAAACAAATATAACATTGAGACTCATCGTTTCCAATTTGTTGATTGTTTTCATTTGATTTCTCATCATCAAGCTTTGAATTGTTTTCTTTTTCACTATTATTAGAATGTTGATTAGTTGATTGTCTATCGGATTTCGATTTTCTTTATCATCATCATCATTAGAAGGCATTGGAACTTTTTGTTAATTGCTTTGAAAATCCTTCGATTTGTTAATATAAAACACTAATCACTTTGAAAGAGCTTCAAATAACATCGATCGTCTTTAATATGATTACTGTGAGTAACCCAAAGATATTTAGAGTCACTGTTTTGTGAATACTTGTGGAGGATTGATTATTTTAGTTATTTACTTAGATTGATTGATAATAACTTTCTAAATCAGTTGTTAATTAGATAGTAATCAAAAATAGAGTTTTAAGGATAGTGATATTTATAGACATTGAAGAAAGAAAGAAGATGAAAAGTTAATTATGATTTATATCCTAAATTATTGATTAAAAGGATATAATTGTGGAAAGAGATTAAAGAGAAGAAGAAGATAAAGTGAAGATAAAGAAGATAGAAAGAAAAAAGAAACAGGAATTGTTTCTTCTTTTGTTTAGTTTTGTTTTGTTTTCTAAATTCATGTTTGACCACAGTAATTGGATCAATGAGGATAAGAGGAACATAGATTAACAGTCCAAAAGTTAGCAATCAGAAGTTCCAAGGCAACTTCAGGGGCGATCGGAATTCTGGAATCTCAGTTGCGCTGTTAGTGTAACGTACTTTGTAAATGAAGTATTGGCAAACCTTCTGAAGAACATGAGAGGAATCTCCTTGAAATGCACCTCGTTAGTTTCGTTTTCCGCGAACTGACCTGAAAATATGGAGAAAAATAATATGTAAAGAAAAAGAAAAGTATATTAGTAAAGTGAAGATAAAATTGTGATGGCAAAGAAATAAAAATGCAGATCAAGATAGACAATGAACCCGACAAAATGAAAAGAAATCAAAGATCAGTAACTATTAAGAAACATTTCTAAAGGTTGAATAACCCCTTTTACTCATTGAAGTAACATGAGAAAGAGAATTGGAATAAGAGGTTTTATATTCAACTAGAAATTTGTTACAATAGGCAATTAATTAAATTGAAGAAAATTGTCTCACCTGGACCACTTAACATGGCTTTAATTGTTCCAGAGGTTAAAGCATAATCTCTTTTAATTATAAATTCATGTCCATCGGATGAAAGTAATTTAACATACATCGCATTGGGACCTTCACATCCGCCATAGACACTTTCGGTTGTTCCTTCACCCATTTTAGATTATAATTTATGGTACAAGAGTGAGAGAGAGAAAGAACAAATTAACTAACAATGAAGAAACGAAGAAAATTAAATAAATAAATTAACTAACAATCAATACAATTAACAAAAAAATTAAAAACAAATAACAAAACCGATTGATGATTTCAGCTGAAGGTTGGGTTTATTTCTGTCCAAAGAGGTCGCCACTGAGCGAAGAGAAATTCTAATAGACTGTAACTCCATCTATCGGGGGAGTTTAACTAATATTCGGAAATTTTTTTTTTTTGATGAAAAGTTTTTTTTTTGTCAAAACAAATTGAAAGTTTCAGTTGTTTGTAGCTTCATCATTTTAATTTTTGTTTTTCATCATTAAGATTTTAATTGTTTCCAATTGAGTTTTGGTTATAATTTTTTCCATTGAAGTTTATTTTAATTGAAAGTTTTTTCTTTCACCGGTAAATACATACGAACATGTTGCTTGAGGCCATAAGCGGAAAAGTTACCGAGTTCTAACCGGTTCTTAAGAAGTGATTTCAAGTTTCCGAACGTCGTTTGTGCTCATCATTTTATCACATTCTTTTCATGATTTAACTTGAGCGAAGATAAACTTTTCTCTTTCTCTTTCTCTTTCTCTCTTTTTGTAATTTAGCTTTTTTCCTCTAATTTTTTACTTAAATTTTTTACCGTTTTGTTAATTGTTCATCTCCATTGGATTATCGTCTCACCTACAATATCAACCATAGGAAGGCTAACCACCAATGGTCCTCTCTTTGATTTACAATATTTGGTAAGTGTGATTGTGAATACATGCTTTTAGTTACTACAACTCCTTTCTTAAGGTATTGAGAAGATGAGGATGCTGATGATGGTTAAATGATGAAGATGAAGATGAAGATGAAGATGAAACTGATTACTATGGTAAACAAATTTGTGCTCGGGTATCAGCTCGAAGCAATGTAACGCCTCATCTTATGCGATCCAATTAAATAGATTTCCTTTTTCCTTTTTCTTAACTAATGTTTTTCTTAAAGAGAAAAATGTTTCTATCAACAATCTGTCAAGGTGAGTCGATGGAAGGTAAAAAAATGAGGCTTGTTTTTTTTTCTTGTGCTCCCTCTTTTACGCTCCTACTGTTGTTCTGTAAGAAGTTAACTTGAAGAAGATGATGAAGATCAATTTATCTACTTCTTCTTTTTTCTTCTCCTCCCTATTTCATTTTGGTCAATGATTAGTTAGAGAAGAGAGAGAGAGAGAGAGAGAGAGAGAGATGTTAATGATGATGATAAACTTTCAAGGTATGAAAAAAAGATGAGGAGGAAAAATATCTTACCTGGTATTTTGTGGCTTCTGTTGAATATTTCTGGTTATCATTGGAGAAATTTTCAATTATCTGTCATATTTGATTGTTGTTGAGAAATTTAAGTTTAATCAATAAACGGTATTAACGATGTTTATCCTCATCTTTATTAACTTGATTGTCTCCTGATTATTATTGGTGCCTCTTCATCTTCATCCTCATCTTTTCAAAGGGTTTCCTCAGGTTCTTCGTATTAGTTTGGTGATTTTTTTTTCTTATTCGGATTTGATGAAATTTTTCTTCCTTCTTATTGATTATTGTTTATATTAATAGTTAATATTTCGGCAACAAGGTTAACTTAATTTCACTATCTTTCATCCATCTTTTGATTCATCTTTTTTTACAATTAACTTGTCGCACCTTAATTTGATTCCTCAATTTGATTCATGATTCTGATTGGAAACAGATTCCCAATTTCTAGAAGCAAATTTAACTTTGTTGTTGTTTCTCAAACTAAATTCAATTGCATATTTTTCTTGCTCACCAATCAAATTTAATTACACTTAATTACAGTTATTCCAGCCTATTAAAATCTCATTCAATTTAGCTAATCAAGTTAACCATCAACGAAATTGAATCGATTGTGATTAAAGGAAAACTTATTTAATTTCGATAATCTAACAATTTAAAAAAAAACAAAGAAATAAAAAGTATCAAATTAGTTAATCAGTAACACTTTTTCGTTAATTATCATCATTGTATGCTTTTAATTGGCTGGTAGAATGTTTCTCTGCAAATGATTAAGAAACTTACAATTTAATTGTTATCATAGTTAATTGACATTAGATTGTTACTATTGATAATTGAGAATTCAATTTGCTTCAAGCAATTTAAACTAGTAATCAAATGGTAACAATTTGTTGTTTGTAATAACTTAAAGACATTGGAAAGAATAATAAAAAAGAGATGAGAGTAATTTAGTTGATTCGTTAATTGTTACTCTTAATTGTTTACCAACAGAGTTACATTGGTGATCTTAAGGCTAGAAACAAAATGCCTTCGTCCAATTGACATCGCCAAGATGCACGGATATGGTAACAAACCATTAACCCGAATTGAACCCGATTCTAGTCTACAGGAATGGTTTGCAACTCTTGCTAATCAAATTAAATCTCTTGATCCTGATCAGATAAAAAGTTCCAATCGTAAAACAATTCAGATGATTAAAGCTCTTGATGAGATTCAAGATTTTCACCAATTAGAGGGCAACATTCAAGTTAAACAACATCTAATTGATGCGAGGAAATTTCTTTGTTGTATGTTGAAAACTTCCGATGTTAAGGAACATATTTTAATTACTTTACAATTAATTGGTGATCTTTCGTATGCCTGGTTAATTATTGACTCTTTTACCAAATATATGCAACAAGGGATTCAAAAAGATCCAACATTGGTCATCAAATTACGAGCCACTTTCTTGAAACTCGCTTCCGCCTTAGATATGCCACTTTTACGTATTAATCAAGCAACTTCACCCGATTTAGTTCCAGTCTCCCAATATTATTCAAGTGAATTAGTTTCTTACGTAAGAAAAGTGTTACATATAATTCCAGATTCACTTTTCCGTCTCATGTCTCGAATAATTGAATTGCAAACAAATCAAATTCAAGAGCTTCCAACACATTTAGCAAAAGATCAACTAAGATCTTATGCTTTTCTCGAGGAAAGATACGAAGTGTCCAAGTTAACACATTCCATTTCAGTATTCACGGAGGGTATGCTCATGATGAAAACCACTCTGGTTGGAATAATTCAAATTGACCCGAAAAAACTACTCGAAGATGGTATTCGTAAAGAGCTTGTCATCCAAGTGGCCAAAGCCCTTCACCATGGATTAGTTTTCAATCCAAGAGTTAAACCCAGTGAATTAGTACCAAAGCTAAAGTCCATTTTTAACACAATGGATGGACTTAGACGATCATTCGAGTACATTCAAGACTATGTTTGTATATATGGACTGAAGATTTGGCAGGAAGAGGTTTCTCGAATTGTTAGTTACAATGTGGAACAAGAGTGTAACGCTTTCATGCGACACAAAGTCCTCGAATGGGAAAGTATCTATCAATCGAAGACAATACCTGTTCCCAAATTTCCACCGATCGACCAATTCTCTGTTAATTTTATCGGTCGATTGACTCGTGAAATTTTACGAATCACTGATCCAAGGTTAGCTCTATCGATCGTAATTATTTTTCTATTACATATTAATCATAATCAATCCTCATCAAAGAAGATTAATTTCTCAAAATAATCTCTCCTCTAAATAGACTCACAATCTATGTTAATTCATCGCGTACTTGGTATGATAATAAATCTCATGGTGAAATTATCGATCCCAAATTATTTAAACTTCTACTGGTAAGAATCTTTGGTGTTCCCATTGATTGAAAAGACTGAATTATTAGTTTGTTTCAACCGATTTATTAATTTGATTGAGCTAATAATTTTTTCTCTCTTTCTCTGTCCACAATCTAATCTAAATTGTTACAGAAAAGCACTGGAACCGCAGGAATCAATGGTCTTGATCGATTGCTTTCCTTCATGATTGTCAGTGAATTAGGAAAAATTGAATCACTGATTGAGAAACAATTACTAAATGAAAAATGGTGGCACGAGACTGTGATTAATGTTAATAATTTTCTATCAAAAAATGATTGTGATGTAACAACTAGTAAGTATTGATGATTAGTAATAATCTTTGACAGTTGTAACAATCAATTTCTGTATGTTTAATTGTCAGATCAAACTGTTAAATTACAATCACCAGTAGCTACAAGAGCACCAAGGACATTACCAATTATAACGGAATCATTGATGAAAATTGGACAAATGCAATTGATTAAATCAAATATCGCCTTTGAATTGCGAGATAGTTGTAATTACCAATCGAGGAGTTTAAGATCTGCTTATGAGACATTCAATGAGTACGAATTTATTTTATCAACAATCAACTGCTATTGATTAATAATATTAATTTCTTTCTCTCAGAGCTTTATTGACAGAACTCAAAAGAGATCCAGAAAAATATTTAGCTAAAGAGGAAAGTGCTCTTGTCTATGAATTAACTAATTACTTGGAATGGTCTGGAATTACTGATCCTTATTCAAAGGTAATTAATTTCGATTTGTGTTAATTATTTTATTTAAACTAATTGAATGAAATTATTTCTTCTTTTCGAATAGATTTATGTTGGATCTAATCTACCACCTTACATGGATTTGGTTTGTCTCGTAATTGTAATCACTTGCAACTCGAAATTTGCTTATCTTGATCCAATTCACGGATTAACGGCTAAAAGGCCAATCGATGGAGTCGATGGTTTACCTTTTGTCGCTGGACTATTGACCTTATTAAGACAATATCGCAGTGATATGGTCAAGCGATTTATATCTTTACTTTGTCGTTATATCAAATCAACGATTGATGCACAATACTCAAGGTATTAAGATCAAAATAACGATTGATTTTTTATTGATGATTAATTGATTGTTTATTCTTGTCATTAGTATTAACAGGTCCAATGATTTCCCGGTTGAGATGTTCAACGATTTAGCGATTCTTGAGCAGCTAATTGGACTTGGAGGTTTACCGAAAACTTTTATAACAGAATACATTCCTAATTATGTGATAGATCAATTCCATTCTTTTCATCGTTGATTAACAAATTTTTTTGTATCAATTAATTATAAAATTATCATCGAAATGATTATCAATCAATTTAAATCAACTAACGAAAAAAATGATTAATCATTTTCAGTGTTTTCCATCTCTATCTCTCGATTCCATTGCCTTTTATGTCTAAATATAAATTATTTATGAGTCAAGTTGATAAATAATCTTTTAATTTAGTTACAATTAGTAAGTTAATTTGGTGATTAGATTTTGATAATTAACGAAAAGGAAAAATTGAGATTTTTCGATGTATCGATTGGGATACGATCGATATATCGAAGATTCTCCTATCTAACAATTGAAGAAGAAAAAATTTTGTTGACAAATTTTGTTTCGTTTTCATTTTGATTGTCTCTTGATGAGAATCATGATCTAATTTAATTGCTCCAGTTGATTTATTTTTATCTTTTCTCTATTACATTTAATACTTTTAACTCTTTTAGTTTGTTTTTCTTTTCTCTCTTCATTCATTTCTAAGTTCTAACTTTTACTTAGGTGTGTGAATCTTATTCATTTTTCTCAATTTACAAAAAAAAACCTTCATCTTTTTGTTTATGTTTCTCGTTAAAGTGTAAATTAAATTCTGTATAAATTAACTTGTGTTAGTGTTACTCAAGTGACTTATTTTTAGCTATGGAAAAAGTGTCCTTACAGTCAAAGTCAAATACATCTCTTGATCCATCCAGTTACCCTAAAGACTTGGATCCTTTCGGTGAAGATGAAGAGGATCAATCAGGTCAAACGAAATTATCTTGTGAAGTAATTAAACCGTCTGCTCCTGATGAACCTTCTTATCCCGGTACCCTTGATCCTTTTGCCGAAGAAGATGAAGCAATTAAAGACGAAACCAATGGTGATATCAAATCTTTAAACCATTCAAATAGGTCTAGTAAAAGAGTCTCAACTAATTTTAACCAAGAAAAAGATTCTAATGTTTCTAATTCAAATGGTGGTGTTAGCTTGGAAACTTCAATTACATCACGTGCATCTGATTATGATGAATCGTTGGATCCATTTGGTGGTGACGATGATAATTCAATTACAAGTAAAACCAAAGCAGATGATAGGAAATCAATTGTTGATACTTCATTCAAAGAATTGCGGAAATCTGGTAATAATATTTTAGGTGAAACTTCAGGAGGTGGAAATAGAGTAACAACAACAACAACAACAAACGATAATTTGAGTATCAAAAGTGAAACTGAATCATCCTCATCTGGAGAATTAATTAAAAGAGGTGTTGAAGAGAGAAACAGTTATAGTAATCAAAATTCACCGGTTCCAGTTCCTCCTCGACGTAAACATCGTAATGTTTCACCGTCAACTAAAAGCTTAAATCGAGCATCATATTCAGCTTCGTCTCTTGAACGTGATGCTTCAAATGTAATTTCAAGTCCAAGTAGCCCGGATCCTAATCGATTGTCAACCGTTGAGGCAGATTCTTATTTAAGCCATTCCACAAGTAACTTATCTATTCGTTCAATTTCACCTAATACCAGTGTGCGATCTCCTATTCGTTCAAGAAAAAAACGCCGGGCACCCGATCCACCAGGTTTCCCTCCCACCGTTCCTTCAAACTTAACATCACCAGTCACTCCAGATACCAGTCTAACACTAGATCAAGACACTACCATTGAAACAACGATGGACTCTACCAATGAAACCATAAACGACTCTATCAATGAGCTGAAAAAGGAGATTACAACTGAGACACCTTGTGAAGTGACTCCTACACCCACCCCGGAGCCAGTGAGTGAGCCAAACACTATTACTGATGAAACAAATAGTGAACCCATCAAAGAATCAAACAAAGAAACTCCCATTGAATGCAACCCTGAACCTGAAATAAAAGTAGAAAAAGAGATAGAAAAAGAAACTGAGAACGAAAAAGATGAATCAAACGAACCTGAAATCGATCATGTCTCTGAATCAACCATTGACCAAAAACAAATACCCTCCGATGAGATCATTCCTAGTGAATCAACCAGTGAGAAAACAAACCAACCCGAAAGCCAAACCTCTACTACTATTACCGCAACAACGATACCAAGTGACTTAACTGCCGATCCAATTGAACAAGTCGATCAAAATCAATCGAAAACTCATCAAGACTCTTCCAGCAATTTGTGATTCTAAATCCAGGATTGTCTGGAAATATCTTTTCACTTTTTTCGCTTACTCTGACTATATTACCTATTCGAGATAAACAATTGACATGCTTTTATCAGGATTACTTAAAGTGTGCCAAAAATTAATCACCACTCGACTTTTAATGGTTTAAACTGCTCCAGATAAGAAATCAATCAATATATAAGATAAATTTAAACTAATGTTAATTTTCAGTTACTCTACTGGTTGAGTGGTTTAATTATTGGTACTCTTTTAATTACATTCATGCCTTTCCAAAAATAATTGTTTACTCATGGATTAATTTTGATTTAATTCATTTTCATTGAAAAATCACCTTATCAGCCTTGAATCTCCCACCTCCTCCTCTTCCTTCCTCCTTCTCTCCCACTCTCTCCCTTTTTTTCTTGCCAATCATCAAACATACACACAAATCAAGAACAATCAGGAAAAAAATATAAACACAATTAAGAGTGACAACATTCAATTTCAATCAAAATCAAGAACAATCTACTCAACAATTAACTACGAAGTGTTTACACTTATCTGCCATCTAGTGTTCCTTTATGAATGAGATCAATTTTCTCTGGTTAAATCGACAATTGGATGAGGATAATTGTTTCCTCTGGTGAAACAATTAACTTGAAGCTCGTTAAAAAGTCAAGTGTCAGTGATCAATTGTAGATGAGACATGATTTACTTGAACATGAATAAATTAACTTATTTAATTTACATCGTTTTTTTCCCAGAGAATCAATTTATTAATTTAGTGATTATCAACTATTAATAAATATTAAACTCATCTTACAGTAAAGTGATTTAGTAATTTGGTTTGCTTGATTATCTTTCGACGTCACTAATTAGCTTCATGATTTGCCTTTCATCATGTTAATTGTTGAGAGATTTTGTTTTCTCTTGATTGTTTTCCTTGTGTAGAAAATTGTTGCTACAAAGCTGAGATTTTACTCCAATTTTTTGATTGTTGTTAAATTCATCTCTCATTGATAATATCAATGATAACAAGCAATTAACACACAAGTCATAAAGACAAAGTTGACAATTTAACTACTAATTGTGATGAAAATAAAATATTTACTGTTGAGATGAATGAAAGTTAATCGATTGAACAATTTATTTGAAAACATGAAAAGATCTGAAAGTGTAACGATTAACTACTAATTTGTTTTCTTCTCATGTTCCTTAATTTGAAAAATCCTAAATCAAAAGAAGAGACAATTTCAGTGAGATTATTAAATAACAATTAAAAGAAAAATTAAAAACTCTCATCCTCATCTTCCCATCAACAATCAACATTAATCTTCATGATCAAAAACACCAAGGACATTATCTAATTGTACAATTAATCTTATTGTTTAAATTTTTTCAAGTCTGACGATTAAATCGATGAATTAATTAATCATCAACCAAATGAAGAAGAAAAAAAAATTCCTAAATTGCTTCTTAATTAGAGGATAAATCCAGTCGTAATTGAAATTATCACAATTTTAATCATCTCCCATCTGAGTGACTCTCGCTTGTAAACTGTTAATTTGCAAATGTGCTAATTAAACAAACTCTTGTGATAATTAAGCTGATTACTGTTCACCAATAAAACAAATTGTAATTCTAATTTTAATTGTAAAAAGAAATAAAAATTAACGAAAATGAAAAAAATCGAAAGAAATGAAAAATTATCTCAATTCAAGACTCGAGAAAAGACTTGAACCTAATGCCCTCTGGAGAGAATCTTTCAAGACTCTCAGTCAATGGAAGAGAAATGATTCAACGTGAATGAAACAATCTCTGAATGAGCTCCATGCATTTACTTAAATCCTCAAAGAGAATCAGTTTTAATCTTGTTCTATCGTAATTATATCTCACCAAATCTCACCAAATTGTTCCTCAAAAAGCAAATTAATCAACTAAATTTCTCTCTTACTGTATGTGTCCAACAATCTCTATTCTTAAAACGGTTTTGCTCTTCCAAGTGATTTACGATTGTTAATCAAACAATTTCCTTCTTGTTCCATTAATTTTTGCTCTTCTTTTTCTATTTATCCTGCTACTGGATTAGAATTTACTACACAAGGTGATTCAGGGTTAACTCCGTTATGAGATATGTATGCTTTACCCAAAGGTAATACTAAAGAGATATTAGCAAAGACACGACGAGGTAAGCATTGTTTTCCATTGACATTGATTCTCATCTTCATCTTACTTGTTTCCTTGATATTTTTCTCTTTCTCTCTCTTTCTTTTCCATCCTGAACTTCCTGTGTCTCTTAAATGTAAATTACTTGGTGTACTCTCTTTGCACTCAGGATGCATCTCATTGTCAGCAATTGAGCCAATTTGTAGTGTTTCCTTGCTAGTGTACATAGAGAGAGAGGGTCACCTTAATTTTCATTTTCTTTTTTCGCTCTCACTAATTGATTTTTATTTTTTTTATTCTATTCTCTTTTTCCCATTTACAGGAATCTCTCAGAAATATGAATCCTTTGGAAATCAGAAAGTATCTAAGAATAAACGTGATTCAGATCATCTTCCTGTTAATGAGATAAGGTTCGGTTCCAGCGTGTATCACAATTTCCATATTCCCGTTAGGAAAAAGAAACTACCTCATCATCATTCACAATCTTTTCACCTTTTCAATCAAAATTAACTGTTTTCTATCTATTCTATTATAACACCTAATCCATCTACTTTTTTTTCTATTCTCGTTCATCTCAGAACAAACCTTGAAATTCTAGTAATTAACTTGTTCTAACATTTTTTTTCTTCTTCCATCTCTCTTTTTTACTCTCTCTCTCTCTCCTTTTTGATTCCACCGGTTTTTCCTCATCATCAGTAGCACTTGTAAACCGATTTTCCATAATAATAGAACTAAGAAAATATGTATCTCCAAAGATGTCGAAGAAATTACTCCGCAGCATCTCGAGATGATTAAATACGTTCGTGAAGGTGAGAAAATGCTCTTTATCCCCTAATGTGTCTGTCTACCGTTGCCATCAAATTCCCCATGCTTTTGATTTAAATATCAAGAGATATTGAAGGTTGGCGGTTGAATTGTTTTTCCAATTTATCCTCATTATCTTCCGTTGATCATCAGATTAGCTAATCGATCTGATAAAATCATCAAGTATTACAAAGTACAATAATCTTTAATCTAAATGTTAATTTCTCTCCCTCTCTATCATCTTACTTCAGGTTGGCTTATTGTATTGAGAGACTTTGAAAATAGCAATAAAACTAATTGCAGCAATAACGATATGGCAACAAATGGAACCAATAATTACACTTCAAATCAGAATCAAAACCAATCGACACCGAAAGTTTCTTACTACAAAAATAGAAGTGCCTCTGTACCCAGTGAGTTCACTTTCGATAATAATCTTTGGGCCATTTTGGTTGTTTTCATTTTCTCTTTACTAATTTGATTGGTTTTCTTTTTTTTTGTCTCTTATAGAATTTGAACCTTTTGATCTTGAAACATTCTGGGGTCAAAGGTTGTACCAAAATCTGACCAGATCTACATGATGAAACAGAAATGTAGTGACTAGTATTTAATAGAAAGTGTTAAAACTTTCATCATCATGACCAGTTCTTTTTTCGTAGCAGAATTAAAAGTAAATTACAAATAGCGTCTTGATCGACGATCGGAGATTAACAAGAATTTTGTGTGTGGCACAATTTGACGGTTTCGAAATACGATAAAACAACAAGACTAATTTATCATCACAAAACAGTTTTATATTAATTAAACTGTGTCTCTAATCAACTTATAAAAAAAACAAACAAACAATTTACATGGAAAAGTAAACGCTCTCAGCGATTTTGAGAGATAAACATTATTATCACCACGATGCAATGATTGAAATCACGAAAACAAATGGAATTGAATCAACAATTTAGCCTTTTTAAATATTCTATTATATAACTCGACGAAAAGCCTTCACTTCGCATGGCCAAGCTCACTTATTTATGTACTTTTTTTTGGATCAAACAAAAGAAAACACCAACAATTAACCCACTTTATCATGAGTATATCGAAATTTGGACGGATGTTTGGTAAATATCGAAGCCAATGGAACAGTTTTCATTTTCATCTTTATCAAATTTATTAATCATTATCAATGTTCCCGAGATAATCAAACACAAACTCCGGCGATAATCATGATAAACAACATGAAAAATGGGAAAAAGCTCAAGGTACAATCTTTTGATTGGAAGAGGATAATCAAAGATTTTTTCTCACAAAAAAATCATCAAGCAAGAAAAGGATGGAATCATTTTATCAACATGGTTCGAAACTTCAGCACAAATCGAATGGTTCAATATTTGGACTGATTGCAATCAACTAATCACAAAGCACATAAATGCAAATTCTAGTACAGTAGTGTGTCTACAATTAACGAAATTATATTTTTCATAGTCGCCATCTAGTGTTCCTTCATTAATTAGATACAATTTTGTTTGGTTAATTTGACACTCGGAGAAACAATCGATCTAATTGTTGATAATTATTCCTCTGGTGAAACAATTAACTTGAAGCTCGTTAAAAAGTCAAGTGTCAGTGATCAATTGTAGATGAGACATGATTTACTTGAACATGAATAAATTAACTTATTTAATTTACATCATTTTTTCCCAGAGAATCAATTTATTAATTTAGTGATTATCAACTATTAATAATATTAAACTCATCTTACAGTAAAGTGATTTAGTAATTTGGTTTGCTTGATTATCTTTCGACGTCACTAATTAGCTTCATGATTTGCCTTTCATCATGTTAATTGTTGAGAGATTTTGTTTTCTCTTGATTGTTTTCCTTGTGTAGAAAATTGTTGCTACAAAGCTGAGATTTTACTCCAATTTTTTGATTGTTGTTAAATTCATCTCTCATTGATAATATCAATGATAACAAGCAATTAACACACAAGTCATAAAGACAAAGTTGACAATTTAACTACTAATTGTGATGAAAATAAAAAATTTACTGTTAAGATGAATGAAAGTTAATCGATTGAACAATTTATTTGAAAACATGAAAAGATCTGAAAGTGTAACGATTAACTACTAATTTGTTTTCTTCTCATGTTCCTTAATTTGAAAAATCCTAAATCAAAAGAAGAGACAATTTCAGTGAGATTATTAAATAACAATTAAAAGAAAAATTAAAAACTCTCATCCTCATCTTCCCATCAACAATCAACAATCAACAACCAACATTAATCTTCATGATCAAAAACACCAAGGACATTATCTAATTGTACAATTAATCTTATTGTTTAAATTTTTTCAAGTCTGACGATTAAATCGATGAATTAATTAATCATCAACCAAATGAAGAAGAAAAAAAATTCCTAAATTGCTTCTTAATTAGAGGATAAATCCAGTCGTAATTGAAATTATCACAACTTTAATTGTCCACAATTTGGTTGATTTTCGTACTATAGTAAATTAATATTTGCCAATTTTCTAATTACTTAATCAGATTAATTTCTTTCGTTTATTATTTTCTATTTTATTAAACTAATTCTAATTGTTAAGTAAACTAATCGAAAAAATATTCTACCCTTGATTATACAAAATCACAGTTATCAAAGTTTTCTCAACAATTAGTTTATTATAAATTTTAATTACAACCTTAGATTATAATAGAAACTAAATCCAGTTCGTTATCATAATTGTTGATTATCTAAATTGAGTTAATCTGGTTCAGTAAAAACAATTAAATGGATCCAATTAATTTTCTTGACACGTTCACCTTAATGTTTATGATGCTAATTTAATAATAATTATTTGATAATTATGTTGACAATATAATAATTAAGATTTACTATCTAATTATAATCATCGATGACTTTTAATGTTAATTGTTGCCATTATGCGATGATTTATTAATTGCTCCTGTTGAGAGTAGTAAAAGCCAAAGGTTTAATTGTTTACAATTAGTAAATTTTTGTTTCGTTGGAAAATTTATCAAGAAATCAAATCGTATACAATTAGGTACGAGTTCCTATTAATTGTAATTGATTAAAAGGAAATGATTAGGAGATGATGAAGATGAGGAAGAGAGAGAAGGAAATTTATGATGATGATGAGAGAGGAAGTTGTTGATGAAAAATGAAGATGATTAGTTTTAAATCGTAATCGTCGATTAATTAATTGTCTAGTAACTTTAATTCTTTTGATTTCTTTGTCACAATCAATCATTTTTCTTTAATTATTACAATCGATTGAGTGAAGATAAATTAAAAGGGGATTAGGAACATAGAGAAATTAATTACATGGGTTTGGGATCAAATCGAGTTAAATTATTTAATTGATTAACATTAATTAACAATGAGTATGTTTTAATTGTTAACAAATATCAATTGACTTTGTTAATACTAATTCAATAATCAAGATAATTTTAATTAACATGGAAATGGTTGAATCATCATCAAATCAGCAAGAGATGTTAATTGTTACAATGACTGATTGTTTACTCTTGAATTAGTCCGAGTTAATTGTTGTTTGGAAATGTTGTTACAATTTAAATCATGTTGTATTGCTAATAAAATCGCTAGTTAATCAATTAATATTTTTTGATTTGAAAATGATGTTTACAATTAAACTTGATCAAAAGTAATGATGACTTACAACAATAGTCAGAATTGGCTCTGATTTATAGTAATCAGTTACTTGGAGGTGACAATCAATTGTTACAATTTAGGAAAGTGTTACAAATGATTTATCATGAGCGAGAAAGTGTTTACAAGTAGAAAAAATAAATTACAATTAATTAATTAAATGGACCCACAATCAAGTAGACGAATGATAATTAGTCTTGATATTATCAAATACGAAAAAAAAAACAAAGTTGCAAAAAATTAAATCTCATCTAATTGTTGATGTTAACTGATGAAATTAAGTTTTTTGTTGTTGTAATTGTGATTAACCCTATCATCATAATTGAATTAACATTAATAATTAGAATTGAAAATTTGAGTCTCTAATTAATATATTTTTTATATTGAGCTATCACATTTAGCCTTTTCAACAATTAATTTTGCTTTTTAATTGTTTCAATCAAACAATCACAGACATTGATGGTTGAGTAACTAATTGAAAATCTAATTAAACTGTCTTTTGATTATATTATCAAATTGTGCAATCAGGTCAACAAAACCATAATCAGTTATCATTTGCTAATTGTGATTTCTCAATCCTTTTGATTTGTTGTCCATTGATGATCAGTTTTGCTTTTTTACTTGAATATTAATTCAGGTGCACAATTAATTTATAGAAGTTGAAGAAAAAAATAACAATTATCATGATTAAATTAACGATGATAATTTAACATCTCTCATTATCCAGTGAGTCCTTCTTTTGATCACCGTTTTCCCGATACTTGGTGAATGATAATTCTGATGTTACTTGGAAAGTTGATGCTGATGGTGATTTATTTGATGATTTATTCTGAATTAACGAGAGTCGCTGTTCGTTGAGTGGTGGACCAATTATACTCAATAATACTGGAAGGAAAATTAAACTATGTAGAGTACCGAAGACAATGATTCCAAGGTACATCCGGAAATAGAAGACTTGGAAAATTTTCGATTTAGCAAAGGCTAAAACTAAGATACCACAATCGGTTAATGTGATACCGGAAAGAATCTGTTGTGGTGAGAAAGAGAGAAGAATTAATTGTCTGATGAACTCGTCATTTAAATAGAAGAACAATTAAATTAGATACTTACAGAGCTTCCCATTATTGATAATGATTCGTGCGCTCGTTGTATTCTTGTTGATGCTGGAGAAATTGTAAGTTCTGACTAAATGAGAACAGAATTCAACTGATATTCCAACGCCCTGAAAAAGAATCAAAATTAAATTGAGTTAACGAAAATTACATAGAAAATAAATAATCACAATTCGTAAAGAGGATAAACAACTTACCACAACTAAATTAACAAGTGAAATTGCATTTAATGATATATCCCACCAATACATCATACCCATTAAGTTAATTATTATCATGAGAATTGTAAATGCTACGATAATTGCTGAATAAAAGTCAAGGCCAAAAAATAGATAAGTAACTATGAAAACTGCTCCGATCGAAAGGCTTAAACTTCGAGCGGTATCTCCCCACATAGTTAAATATTGTTCGTAAAAAACGTCAGTGAAACTGTAGGTTCGTACGCTCGCCTTTGTGAAGCCTCCTTTCTGCAATTTCTTGGTTAATTTGTCGGCAATTTGACGAGAAATTCGCAGAGATTCGTAAAAATCTTTTGACGTTTTAAGTGGTTTACGATAAATCATCATATGAGATGGACCAGCTTTAGAGTTTCCCTTTTGATCTGTAACTACTCTAACAGTGTTTGCGAATTGTGCTTTTCCACCAAGGAAACAATCGATTCCGGGATTATGGTTCAAAAAGAAAGGCAAATAAGAATCAAACTCTTTGCCCATCGGACGGACTCTTAAATCATCAAGACATGTTTCACATTCGATATCATTTCCTAGGCACTGAGAACCATTTTCATATTTTTTACAACAAGTATCGCCTCGTAGGTATTGAGTATAATCGGTTAACCAAAATGAAGGACGTGAAGCAAGAAAACTGGAAGGTTGAGTCGCAAAGTAATTAAGTATTTTTAGGACAGAATCTCGATCACAGGTTGAATCGCCGCATAAACGATTTTGAGCCACTGGATTCGAATAGTTGTAACCGTCGCTGATAATAAAATAGACTGGAGGGCCGACTTGTAAGTAGTCTTTGTAGAAAGCAAAATAGTCCATCATGTAAGAATCATCGGGCATTGAGACTTCTTGTTCTAGACCAATATGAATTTGATCGAGACAAATGATAGATGAACAAAACCAACCGCCGAAGATGAGTAGTACGATAAATCGAGTTGCGTCTTTGAGCAGGAATGGAGAGTAAATTTCTCGGAAAAAACTATGGATTACACCGTTGTTTAAATCTTTTGAGTTAGACTTTGTCGACTTGGGCGCTTTTATACAACAGAAAACATCTAAACGATTAGATGTTTGTCGACGAGTGTCAAGAACAAATATCGACAAGAAACAAGTCATTTGAAGGACGAAATTTATCACCAAAGCGACAGCAGCATAAAGAGCAAAGATACGAACTGCCGGCATTGGTGTTAATGCACCAATAAAGAAACAACTTGACATTGATAGAGATGATAGTAACATACTTGGTGCGATTTCACCAACAACACGTCCGATTTGTTCATTAATTGTTTCATCTTGTCTCCGTTCATCTCGTTGAAATGTTTGTACCAATATGAAAATATTGTCAACACCAACAGCCAATACCAAGAATGGAATGACCTCAACGATGATCAGTGTCGCTGAAACACCCAAGAAGAAAAAGAAACCAAGTGATGATAAGACCGAAAGTAACACAATCAACACTCCAACAAAACCCAAAGTGAATCGAGCGTCAACAAGTAAAGTGCTGATATTTGAATTTTCCCCGAGTGCAAGTAAAATATAAACAAACATAATTATATAAGAAATAGCGATTGTAACAATATCCGATTGACTTTGCCGATCGATTTCATCTTCGATTGACTTTTCAGCCTTAAATGCAATTTTCATTCCAGAATTTGAATAGTTTTTTACTAAATCGAGGAAACCTTGTTCCCAAGCAATAGCATCAGACGATCTCAATGAGTCGTTAAAGTTATTAACAGGGAAAGTGATCACTAATGCTTGAGCTTCCCTGTAAGTATTATCAGAAAATCCACCAAGAGCTGCTTCGGGATAAATCAACGGTATTGATCCATTTTTGACACATAAAAATTTGTCATCAGTCATTGCCGTTGGATTGCTCGGACAAGTAGCTACTTTGTAAAGATAATTTTCATCGTCAATTTCTTGAGGATCGTCAAAAAAGTAGGTGAAAATACTCTGAGTGGCACAACTTGTTCCTAAAGGTTTAACACAAATATCTTGTAAGGTCACATCATGATCTCCATTGGTCACTTTTAAATTTTCTATCTCCTTTTGCAAAACAAGAACATCTTTTAAAAATTGTCTCCTAAATGCTGGACCAAAAAGATCAGATTTTGTTTTCCCATTGTTGGAATAATTTCCTTGGAAAAATGTTTTATCCGTTGGAGAAACAATTATCATCTCGATTCGGAAAAACTTTCCAAAATTTGATTGAAATATTCCAGGTCAGATCGAGCTTGACTTCCAGAGGCGACCCATAGATCAACTGGATCGGTGGTCACTTTAATTGTTGACAAACCAGAGGCTAAAATTAGAGATGCGATCAAAGAGATGATCATAATTGGAATAGGTCGGTCGGCGACATATTTTCCCCAAATTGTGAACCATTTCTCGAAAAATAACTCGAAACGTAATCCAAGACTCAATTTTTCTCCTTGACTCGATTTACCATCAGAGCTCATCGATGCCAGATCGCGGGTCGGACTTGAACGTGGAGTGATCGCAGATATGGGACCCGTGAATTCAGCTACAAAATATACAAAAAAAAACATAGACATTAATAGTGGTAATTTAATAAATTATAAGAAACAGTTAAGCTCATGCAGGTAAAATGTAAGAGCACAGGCAAAGCATTTGGAACTACAATTAAATTAGAAAACAGAAATACAAATAAGACAAAAGTTTGCAACAAACATTAAGAATATTAATTAAATCTAATGACCAAGAATACCGTTAATCAAAATACAATTGACTGTATTAATTATGATTCTCAGATTGATTAAATAATCAAATGGTCCTTGAAAATATTACTAATTCTCATTTCTAATCAAAATGAGTTCTGAAAGCTTTCAATGGTTATTGTTTTTGACAACAATTAAAGTCAAATTGTACTTGCGTAACTTATAATACAATTGAATTAGATTGTGAAGTGAAATTCATTTTTTTATTGCTTAATCATAGACAATTATTAGGTCAACAATCAAAAAGTTTAAGGTAAATTTATTTAAATATCAAGTATTCAAATGGTGATTTTTAACTTTGATGATTTAAGAGACGATATAATCTCAACAATTAATTGCTAATATTTACAAGCAGATATAATTTAAGTTGATTGGTTCAATTAAAATTGATGGAACTGGAAATTGTCCAATTGATTTTCCAGATACAACAATCATAAATAAATAACATTGTAATCATTACATTAATTGTAACAATTTGAATCATCTTCCATTTAATGAAATAACAATTCAACAATAAAGGTTAATCAAGAAATAATTTTTATATCAATCAGGCCATGGACATTTATATAAATTAGTTTAAATGATAATTGAAGGACAATTAAAACAAGGTTTACATAAAACGGAAGTGTGATTGACGTAACAATCAATGGTTAATTAGCAATCAATCAGACAATTGAGGTAAAATAAGAAACGTTGATTGATAATTGCAGACTAATCAATAGAAATTAAATAAAAGTCTCTGCTAATTGTTGATTGACAAAGATTAAAAAACAATTTTTCCTTAAATGTAATAACAGATGATTAATTATTAATGATAAATACAATTAGGTTTCATGATGCATTTAAAATCAAGGGAATTTCAAGTTTCTCTGTAAATATTATCTAATTATAAACAAGTAATCAACAATTAAGAACGTTATTTTATCATATTAATGAGAAACCGGTTCAACAGGTAATTGTTGGGATTTTTTTGCTCTCAGGTAAAATATAAGGTTTGCTTTCACCTGAGATAATTTGAAAGTAATAAAAGTTTACAGGTAAAGTCAAAGGCCCACAAAAAGTTCAGTAATCAGTTGATTGTAAATGGGAAAAGAAAATTTAACTATCAAAAAATGATTGTAATGGTTAATTGTGATAACAATTGTCTCTCAGTATTATCGTTGATTGATGATAAATGATTGAGTATCTACGCAATTGTATTTCCTTAGCTACGTTAATGTAACTTTCTAATTGTGTTTATCTCATTGAAATATGTGAATATAAATAGACAATAAAATGTTGATTGTAAGAATATGAGAAATTACTGATTATATTGGTTGATCATGGTAACAATCAAAACTGATAAAATAAAGTATCTAATGTTTATAACTTTTAATTGCAATCAATGGTGGTTGTTGTTGTTGCTTTTTAAATATTAATACTATCATTTATTAAACATAATCAAGGTTATAATGTAAATGTTAATTAAACAGTAATGATAAACTATCATGATAATTATAAATTAAATTGGTAAGTTGATTTGTGATAATCAGCTTGAAATTTACAGAAATTGAGAAAAGTTTCAGATCTTTTCAAGCTGAACAATATTACCACCACCATCATCATCATCATCATCATCATCATCATCATTTTCATCATCGTTTTGATGAATGAATGAGACGAAAAAACAATCAGACTAATGAAATGATCATCATGAACTCAGGATACACATGGAACTTGTTTCAAATAACTTGATCTCGTTACTTTTACTGAAAAACAAGTTTATCGTCATCATTAGTAGCTTAAGGTCAGAATAATCCTTTCATTTAATGGTCAGTTTGATTGTTATTAAATTGATGGTGGATAATAATCTTCATGAAAGTAGTTGTTACCTAACATATTATCAACATTGGATTAAACCCATTGCATGTGATATTTTTTTTCTCTGCAATTAGTTTAATCAATAAGTAAAAGAAATAGATTAAAACTTATCATGAAACATTAACTTGTTTTCAATGTCAAGGTAATGATGAATAATAAACAAGAAGTTAGAAGAATTAACAATGGAAATTCAAGTAATTAATTATTCATTTTTTTCTTTCATCAAGATTAAAACTTTAATCTGCAACCATTGATATCAGTTCAATAAAGATAATCCTTATAATTTAAGAATCAAGTAATTAGTGAGTGTGATAAACGCGATAACCAATGAATTGGTAACAATTGGAAATATATAAAATCAATCAAACTAATTTCACTTTTAGATAGAAAATAAATCAAATTAGTTTTGGAGAAATTTCAAAAACTTGTTTGGAATACTTAGTTACTGAATTCATCATGAAAATGAAAGTTGAAAATGATGATTAAGATGATAAGATGATAAAAGAAAGAGTAAAATGATGATCAAGTTTAAGTGAATCTTCATCAAGGCCAAACATTTCATCAATATTGAAGATTCCTGGTTGTGTATCAGTGATGTTCATCATCATGAATATAACAATTTAAATTAGAGATTAGTAAGAATCTGTCAATCAAATTAATCCTTATTGAATAGTAAATAAGTTTCTATTTTGGATTAGATTTTGGAAACTTAAATTAAGGGGCTGACATCATAAGAGTACTTGAAATGATCAAGCATCATTTACATGAGATTTTCCTGGTTTATTAAACTTAATTGTTACCTGTTCGTTTTTTTTTTCATTAAGGTAAATAAAGTAACTGTTTAATAACACTGAATGTATTGGTGATGATAATGGTAAGAGGATGATTAGAGATGATAACAAGATCATCCGATCAATTAGAAAAGGTAAAAATGGTAAATGAATTAGTGTTTCATCAATTATTTCTCGGGTATTAGTTAATCGTAACTTGAGTACAAACAAACAACAATTAACGATTTAATCAGTGTAAATCAAACAAGTTGTATCTGATTTCATTTGTTTTCGTTCAAGTGACTAATTAATCATTGAAGGAATTAACTGTTATTGATGAAACTTATTGTTTTTTTTTCTTCTCCGATTAAAAAATCAATTGATTAGGAATCTTCTGCTGGTGGAAGTTAATTGTTACTCTTTTTATGGGAAAATAACAAATATTTATGGAAATCAGGATTATCGATAAATTTTAACAACTTCCAATTAAACATTATGAGTAAATTGACTCTTTTTCCCAGGTAATTCATAACAACACAGGAAGTTGTAATACATGTAATAACAATCAAAATGATCACAACAATTAAGGGTAATAAGCAAACTAGTATGCACAATAATAGCAAACAATTAGCTGGCTTTGGATTAATCACTTTCATGGGAACAGAGAACCTACTTTGAGTTAATCCACCTCTTTCAAGAGGTTCATTTTCATCTGAAGATCCATCGTTAAGAATTGATGACAATTGACGATTGTCATTAATTTCGAGTTTCAAAAAGTCTGTGCGATTTTTACCTATGTTTTTATCCATTCATGAAAATGGAACCGTTGAGAATTGAAAAGAGAAAGTAACAGGAAATTCGAGCATGAAATAGATTCAAGTTGTTCAATGGGAGAGATAAAATGATGAATAATAATTGTAAAGGGTAGAGAGTGAAAGAGAAATGAAAAAGGAGATTAATTTATTACTTACGACTAAATGATTTGTTTCTCTTGAAAAATAGATTAGTGAAATAGGCTGAGGTGATGATTAAAATGATAGCGTAAAGTAAATAACCAATAACAGCGGCTCCTCTTTGACCTAAGATGGTGAAAGGTTCGGGTGGTGGTGGTAATTTACGAGCACTTCGAGGTAGAATGTCAATAGCACAGGTTTGTTCACAATCGGCGCAACTACATGGATCAAATCCTAAGCCGATACTCTTGTGACAAGGTGTGGCTTGAGCTGACATTGGGTAAAAGGATTGACCATCAGGTGATTTAATCTCAGTGTCAGAGGTTAAAGTAAAATTTATCTGGACGGGTGAATGGCCACCATGGCGATGAGATAATCCCATGAAGCTTAACCACTTTCGATAGGTACAATCACCGTCATCAGTGATACCACACATAAGGGTTAAAGCGGGTAAATTTAGAGGCGTTTGGACGGATTTACATGACTGGTGAAGATCTTTGGCAAATGATTCGGATAAGAAATAAGTTGTATTGTGAACTTGAAGTTTTTCAGGTGATGATTCTAATGGAACCCATTTGGTTATGTTGATAAATTCACTTTGACGAGAAGAACATGTCATTTCACAGAAAATTCTTTTCCAATTAAAGAAACAAGATGGACATCGACCAAGAAATTGAGCTGGTGTTTCATATGATTTTTCTAGTGCGTCTATTTGTTCAGTTGAACAACACACTAAAGGATTATCGGTTTTCTCAAATAAACTTGGACACAAATCTTTCAATAAAATTCTGTAAGATTCATTTGCTAAAGGTGAAGGTGAATGAGGCTCATAACAAGGTATTGGCGATTGAAATGTTCCACCATGACCACAAATACCACCGAGAACACATTTACCCTGAGAAGATGATTCACCGGTTACAATCTAAAGGAACACATAAATCCCCCCATAGGTAATGAGATAAACAAGGAAAGAAACAAAAAGGAAATAGGATAATTAGAAAAGGTTAATTAGAAAGATAAACACACTAATCATAAAAAAAAATGCGAACATCAATTAACAATCAACAAAAGAGAAATGGAAATGGAAAAGCCATTTGAACTATATAATTATAAACCCACCTTGCAGATGAAAATTATCACCAATAATATAGTGAGAGTGGTAAATTTGGCATCCATATTGAGACACTTTCTTTAATTTACTTTGAAAATTAATCCGATTTTAATCTGTCCATTAACAACAATTGAGATAGAAAACAGTTTGATTAACAATCAATCCAACCAAAAGGTAAATCGCATGTAGAACAAAAAAAAAGAAGAAACTGAAAGGCTTTTATTCCTGGTTGATATTCTTGAGTTGACGAAATTGGGCAAGAAAAACTAATCAAATTGACTCCCAAGATTTAAAAGTAATCACCAAAATTAGAGGAAAAAAACTAATCAAAAAAAGAATAGAATTTAATTAGAAACAATTAACAGTCACAAGGAGTCACAACATGGAAAGAAAAGCAACTAAACTAACCGACAATCAGAATCCAAAACAGAAAATGGTAGTAACTCAATTCGCCGCTAGAACTCAAGTTACTTTTTCCTCTTTCGTTTTGTTGATTCTCTTTCTTTTCAAATTTTATCTTCTCTTTCTTTTATCTTCATCTTTTATCTTCTTCTTCCAAATCAAGTGCAATTCTACAAGCAACAATATCTACAATTAGTCCATCAATTAGCCCAGTGGTTTTCTATTCTCCAACCATAATTAGTCAACAGAAATTGGAATCGACCAAGCAAACATCATGTCCGCCATTTTTTTCCTTTGTTGATTTCATCCTTGATTAGTGATTTTAATTGTGATTAAATTAGTTACTCATGGTTATTATTGTAGTTTAACCCTTGGGGAAGCTTCAAATTATCGGCTAAACACCAATTCGTAAGTAAACAATTAGTTGATTCTTTTTTGTTTTCTATCTTCTATAATTCAATTTGATTCTTATTCTTTGTTATTTTTTTCTCTTTTTCTTTCTCTTCCATTTTATTTGTTTACCTTTAATTAGATTGATTTTTTTATGCAATATAAATGTACCCAAAGGAGGAAAATATTTATCTTTTTTACCACCATAATCATGTAAATGTTGAATGATTATTCAATTCTATTCTATGGAATTACCCATATTATCATGGTTACATTATTGGACAACAATCAATGGATCCACAGGGTTCAATCAAATTCATCACACATGTAACACATTATGAGAAAGGAGGAAAATCACCTGATAATTTCTTTGGGTATTTAATCATTTCTGTAAATCTTAATTTGATTGATTTTCTCACATTTGTGACAATTTTTCATTCTAACAATTTAGTTTCATTACATACAGTACAAACTATTACAATTAAGAAATAAGGTAATCTATTATTATAGTTTAATGATTTCACTATTATGATCAATTGATTTTCTGATTGTAATGTATAAAGTCAAGGACAATTTGTATTATTAGGATTAAGTTTACCTTTGTTAATCAATAGACTGTTGTTACTAAACACAAGCTAGAAAAAGACAATGAAAATTGGAGGGAAAATTGATAATCAAATTTTACTTTTCTTTTATTCATTAATAATTGTTTACTGTTAATTAATTGCCTTTTTATTATTACTATCAGGTAACCAGAATGATTGTAATTATGGCTCAACTCATATCGGACGATAGCCTTGAAACTTTTTCTAATACTTCAGCGGTTCAATTACCTGGAATTTATATTTGGATAAAATCTATGAGATAGAGAGAAAGAGAGAGTTAAGGAAACAAATTACTTTCCATTTTGTTTTGAATTTGATGAACCTGAAGATACTTAGTAACTGTAACAATTTACTGATTACTCTCTTCCTGATGAATCTAATGTTATGGTTAATGATGGTGATGACGAGCTGATGGTTGTCATTGATTGACAAATGAACGCATCTTTAATGTTTATTGAACTTGAATAACAATCATATCAAAGTGCTCAAAGAGAGAGAGAGAGATGATCAAAAATCAGAATCAAGAATTGATGACAGGAAGATTATGTCATTTAAAGTTAAGGTGGAAACAAGAAATGAGGGACTGATGAAGATACAGTCAGATTTGTACTAAGAACTTGAATTTTTACCTGATTTCTTGTGATCAAGATGTCGACAAGATTCAAGTATGGTGACCGCGCTCTCAATAACCATTATCATCCAACACCAACATCATCATCATCATCAACCAAAACATCGTTGACTCTTCATTACTAACTTGTAACTCTTACTTTCTCTTCAATTGGATTTGAATCAAAGTTTTTTTTTCTCTTTCAAGACTTCATTTTCTCCTTTCTTCCGGTTTCACTGGCCGATATAACTAAATTGTTGATTACTTTCAACTTATTAATTCAGTTATACAGTTTAACTGTTTACAAGTCTGATCTGTATAAACAATAGTATTTAAATGTTAATCCTGATACCTGAACATTGAGAATGACCAGAAACTTGATTACAGATTTACCTTTGATTGCTGCTACTTTAGTTCCCATCAAATTTGATTAACCTTTGATTACTTCATGTTACAATTTGATAAAATTTGTTAAATCGAAGGTTAATTTACTCATTTAATTAGCTGATTGTTACCTGTTCTTAAACCATGACCCTCAAAGTTTAACGGCATTGAAATCGATCAGCATTAATCTCTAATCAAATCAAAATGACCAAGAAACCTGATGATGATGATTTAAACTTAAATCAGCTTCTTGCTAACAATCAACGGGTGATAATTAAATTCAACATGAAAGGAGCAACAATTTAGCTGAACAATAATCCCGAAAAACAAAACTTAAAATTACAGTTATTAAAGTGACAATTTCCAATCAATTCACAAAAAAAGACTGAATTAAAAATCATTGGCCATGATTTAAAGTGATTGTTAAAAATTAAGTGTAACAATTAAGTCTAGACTCTCATGATATTCATTTAATTGTTATACCGATATTATTGATTATTCATCAATTAGATTCATTTTTTTAAACTCAATTGTTTTATCAGAAAAATAATCAATTACAAATGATATTGAAGGTTGTTAAATTTGATTAACTAAAAATTGCCCAATAAACAAATTGTTACAATACAATTGATCAAGGTAAACGTTTATAGCAATTAACTTAGCGATAAACTTTACACAATCAAATGGACAAAAAAAGAGATATTAAAATGTAACTAAAATGGTGATTAGTTTTCACTTAATCAAATATGATTGAGAAACAATTAACTAATCAGTATGAAGATAAATTTTCAAGGAAAAACGAAACCTTGAATTGTCAAATTGATACGGAATTAAATTTAATAAGATGCCTCTGATTAGAAGGTGAATCCCCAAGGTTTAACAATTAAAGGTTGTTAATCAGCTCTTATAATCAACACTAATCTAAATTAATATTAATTATCGACATTAATTAATCACAAATGACAAATTCAAATCCAAATGAAGCTTTTTAATAAAAAAAAACTCAAAAAGATAAACAAAAACAAATTAAGTTTCGTTAATTACTTCGGTACGGAGATTGACGGTCAATGGACGGAAAGTTAATTAACAGTTAATCGAGTTAATTGTTGAGTATTAGAGGTAAACCATATAATAATAAATTGTGTGTGTTCACATTGATTGTTGATTAAATTATAAAGGATTTAAATTGTTGCCTATGGCCTTCAAATGACACCGATAGATATTTACTAATTTATAACTAATTAACTAATCTTGAAGGCTAATTGTTTGTAAATCAATAAATCTCATCAAATGATAAACATACATATTAGTTTATCAACTGTTTATGATTATGATTGCGATTCACGATTTGTAATAATTTACAATCAAGAAAACATAAAAATAAGAACGAAGTTGATTAACTATTTAAACTATTCATTAAATTGCGACCTTCTTAATACTTTGGCTAATCAACAATTAATCGTCTTCATGATCAACTATTAAATTGTTGTTGATCATGATTAGTGTTTTTGTTTTGTGTGTTTTTCAAGAACACGCACTTATTACAATCAGTAAATTGTTTCTTCCGGATTTAATGATGATTAAGGAATCACCATGCAATTAGGTCAACTTTTCATTGGTTAAATTGTTGTTTCTTTTTGTATTAAATTAACTCTTAATTTCACCTTGATATGTTTTATATATTAAATTAAAAGGTTAACCAGGTAAAAGGTTACTTGATGATAATCAGGAAATGATTTAGTTAATTGTTTAGAAAGTAAAAAACTAAAAAGAGTCAAAAAGCTTAATCACTTGTTAAGATTAATTTAAATTGTACAATTAACCAAAAAAAAACAAAAATTAAAAAACTTTTCACTTTCCATCAAAATCTTGACAATTTTTTTTACATTCATTTGTTTTTGTTTGTATTTAATTGTTGTTAATCAAATATTATTTATTATTATTATTCATTTATCATTTAATAATCATGTTAAATAGGGTCAACTTTTTGATTCAGTGTCAAGACCACAGGTCAATTGATTTTAAACAATTAAAGGTCAAAATTGATACAAAATACTGAAAAATTTTATCCCAATTTTTGATTTCATGTTGGAAATATTTAATTGTTAATTATATTGTTAAATTGTTCAGTTATTAACTTACTTGATCAATCTGATAGACCATAAAGTTAACTATTATTTAATGAATACTTCAATTAAATTATTGTTGTTGATTAGACTCAAGGTTAAGGTTATTACAATCATATTTTATTATATTTGATTAAGATTATTTAATAGCTAAATTGATACTAATTCATATTAATAATTCATTATTCTGAATTACTATCATTTCAGATCAGAGATGAAGATCAAATGAATCAGTCAAATCTTGTTATACTGGACTGGAACTCATTGGAATACCCTGTATTAGTTGATTTGGTTCTAATGACCAAACGTTTTAATTGTAATTGAATATCAATTGTAAAAGTAATTGTAACGTTGGTTAACCAATCAAGATATAAATTCAGTTTTAATCATGAAGAAACCGCCACAAGAAAATGCAACATCCTTTTTATCAATTCGTTGGGTGAACAATTTAATTTAATCAAAAGACAATTGAAAGGTAATCACAATTAACTTTTTAGATACAAATATTATCCTTTTACTATCCAATGTTAATTGTGGTTCCATCGTTGATTGATTCATTCAATTTCAAGAGCTGCTATCATGTAATTTTCATATCATGACTAGAAATGAACTAATTATCAATTAGATCATTTTAAATTGAAACAAACGAATTGAATTTTGTCCCGATTGATGTGAATGTAACAATAAGTGGATTAGTTGATTGTTGAATGTCACTATAATTGTTATATCGGTGTTGTTAATATCTGTTCATTGTTGCAATTTGCCAATAACTTCAACTTTCAGATTAAACTTTTCTCGAAGTTGAACAAAAAGTTTTTACAATTTCTTATATTGTAAACACGATTGAAACGATCCAACGTTTAAATTGTTCAATATTTAGAAAAATTAATCTGAAAACTTTTACAACTGATTAACTTGTTGATTAAGAAATAGTCGGAAATGATTTAGTTAAATTTAAATATATAATTGTTAACAATTAATTGCGTTTAAAAATAAATAAAAGCTATGGGGTTGGTTACATTATAAAAAGATTTAGATTTAACTTGTGAATTAATTGTTGATTGCAATTACAAGAGACAAGTAGCTGGAAATTTTGATGATAAAAGTTAGTTAATTGTTATCATCAAAATTGAGATTCTCAAGAATTTTCTTTGCTTATTTACAATAAATGCATGATGACGATGATGATGATGATCTACATACACAATTAATTTAAATTGCTCGTAAGTCTTTGTGTCTATTGCAAAATGGAAAAACAAAATTAACAAAAAAAAACTAAACATTTAAAAGTCTACAAATTAAATTGCTGATAAACAATTAGGTTGATTGTGCATTCTGGTTATCAGATGAATCTGTCTGTTGGTATTTGATTGCTTTGAGTTGGTAAGATGATGAAGATGATTTAATGTCAACCAATGAAAGTCGCTGTTCGTCAAATGGTGGACCAATTATGCTCAATAATACCGGAAGGAAAATTAGACTATGTAATGTACCCAAGACGATAATTCCAAGGTACATTCGGAAATAGAATATTTGGAAAATTTTCGATTTAGCAAAGGCTAAAACCAAGATACCACAATCGGTTAATGTGATACCGGAAAGAATCTGTTACATGGGATAGAAAAGAAGAAGGAAAAAAGTGTCTCGTTAGTAATTAAAATTAATTGTATCATAATCATTGATAAAATGAACAAGTATTCAGTTAACTTCGTGTACTATCAATATTAATGAAAGGGTGTGACACCTTAGGAGTTTACACAGGAAGAGGAGGAGCAGATGAAGAGTGGGGAAAATGGATTCATTAATGTTAACAATTTGATCGATAAATTTTTTCATCTTATTTGATAACTGAATGTCTATGATACAATTGTAGTAAATTGTTGTACATTGACGTGTAGTAATAGCGAGTTACACCCTTAATTGGATTAAGGGTGTACTCTTAATTTGGTTTATTTGATTGTCTGATTAATAGATGAGACTAATTACTCTTAAATTGACCAACTGGTTAAAAGAAGAGACAAAAAAAACAAAAAAGTTGTGGTTCTAATTAAATTAGTTAATTAAGATGTGATCAGGGTATTGAAGAAAATCAATTTAACAAATAACCTTTTCATTGTTTACTATTATTAATAATATGATTGTGACAAGAACGAAGATAAGTTGATCAATTATCAATTAAATTTGATATCTCAGGTGAATTAGATTGTTAGTAACCTTGACATGTTTGATGATTAGTAAATCAATTTATCGATCAAATGGAATAAACAATTTTAATAATTATTGTCTATCAAGTGAAGATGTTATTTATTAATACTTACAGAACTGCCCATTGTTGATAAGGCTTCATGAGCTCTTTGCATTCGAGTTGCTGCCGGAGAGATGATATAAGATCTTACAAGATGAGAACAAAATTCAACCGATATTCCAACGCCCTAGATGATTAAAGATAATTAAAGTTGATTGTTTAAAATATTATTACTCCTTCTTCTTTATAATGGTAAAATTAAGGCTGATTAACTATCTGAAAACTTACCACAACTAAATTAACAAGTGAGATTGCATTTAATGATATATCCCACCAATACATCATACCCATTAAGTTAATTATTATCATGAGAATTGTAAATGCTACGATAATTGCTGAATAAAAGTCAAGGCCAAAAAATAGATAAGTAACTATGAAAACTGCTCCGATCGAAAGGCTTAAACTTCGAGCGGTATCTCCCCACATAGTTAAATATTGTTCGTAAAAAACATCGGCAAAACTATAAGTTCGTACTGACGAAGTTGTCATACCATCCGTTTGTAGCTTTTCGGTCAATTTAGCGGCAATTTGACGGGAAACCCGAAGAGATTCATAGAAATCTTTCGATGTTTTCAAAGGTTTAAGATATAACATTAAATAAGATGGACCAGGTTTAATATAACCTCTGTGATCGGTGGTTAATTTGACTGAATTTGAGAATTGAGCTTTACCAGCGAGTAAACAATCCTCATTTGGAATGTGGTTCAAAAAGAAAGGTAAATATTTATCGAACTCTTCACCCATGGGACGAATTCTAGTATTACTGAGACATGATTCACATTCGATATTATTACCCAGGCACTGAGAACCATTTTCGTATTTTTTACAACAAGTATCACCTCGCAGATATTGATTATAATCTGTTAACCAAAATGAGGGACGTGAAGCAAGATAACTCGTTTGGGTTTCGCTTGCAAAGTGGCTCAATATTTTGAGAATAGAATCACGATCACATGTTGAATCACCACACAGACGATTTTGAGCCACTGGGTTTGAATAGTTGTAACCATCGGTAATCATGAAGTAGACTGGAGGGCCAACGTGTAAGTAGTCTTTGTAGAAGGCGAAAAAGTCATTCATATAAGAATCGTCAGGTAATAGTACCTCTTGCTCTAGGCCAATGTGAATACGATCAAGGCAGATGATTGATGAGCAAAACCAGCCACCGAAGATGAGCAACACAATGTAACGTGAAGTGTCTTTCAGGAGTAATGGTGAGTATATCTCATGAAAGAAACTATGGATTACACCACCATTTATAACTTGAGATGTTGATTTCGTCGATTTGGGCGCTTTTATACAACAGAAAACATCTAGACGATTAGATGTTTGTCGACGAGTGTCAAGAACAAATATCGACAAGAAACAAGTCATTTGAAGGACGAAATTTATCACCAAAGCGACAGCAGCATAAAGAGCGAAGATACGAACTGCTGGCATTGGTGTTAATGCACCAATAAAGAAACAACTTGACATTGATAGAGATGATAGTAACATACTTGGTGCGATTTCACCAACAACACGTCCGATTTGTTCATTAATTGTTTCATCTTGTCGCCGTTCATCTCGTTGAAATGTTTGTACCAATATGAAAATATTGTCAACACCAACAGCCAATACCAAGAATGGAATGACCTCAACGATAATCAGTGTCGCTGAAACACCCAAGAAGAAAAAGAAACCAAGTGATGATAAAACCGAAAGTAACACAATCAACACTCCAACAAAACCCAAAGTGAATCGAGCGTCAACAAGTAAAGTGCTGATATTTGAATTTTCCCCGAGAGCAAGAAGAATATAAATAAACATAATTATATAAGAAACTGCGATTGTAACAATATCCGATTGACTTTGCCGGTCGATTTCATCTTCGATTGACTTTTCAGCCTTAAAGGCGATTTTCATACTAGAATTTGAATAATTTCTAACCAAATTGATGAAACCTTCTTCCCAAGCAATCGTGTCAGAGGTAAGTTGTGAATCGTTAAAGTTATTTACAGGGAAAGTGATTACTAATGCTTGAGCTTTTCTGAAGTCTTCATCAGAAAAACCACCGAGAGTTGCTTCAGGATATAGCAAAGGTATTGAGCCTTTTTTCATACACAAAAATTTTCCATTATTCTCAGCCGTTGGATTGCTCGGACAAGTAGCTACTTTGTAAAGATAATTTTCATCGTCAATTTCTTGAGGATCGTCAAAAAAGTAGGTGAAAATACTCTGAGTGGCACAACTTGTTCCTAACGGTTTAACACAAATATCTTGTAAGGTCACATCATGATCTCCATTGGTCACTTTTAAATTTTCTATCTCCTTTTGCAAAACAAGAACATCTTTTAAAAATTGTCTCCTAAATGCTGGACCAAAAAGATCAGATTTTGTTTTCCCATTGTTGAAATAATTTCCTTGGAAAAATGTTTTATCCGTTGGAGAAACAATTATCATCTCGATTCGGAAAAACTTTCCGAAATTTGATTGGAAATATTCCAGATCAGATCGAGCTTGACTTCCAGAGGCGACCCATAGATCAACTGGATCGGTGGTCACTTTAATTGTTGACAAACCAGAGGCTAAAATTAGAGATGCGATCAAAGAGATGATCATGATTGGAATAGGTCGGTCGGCGACATATTTTCCCCAAATTGTGAACCATTTCTCGAAAAATAACTCGAAACGTAATCCAAGACTCAATTTTTCACTTTGTGTTGATTTAGCACTAAGAAGTAACTCAGGCAATTGAGACGATGAGTTGACGGAGGGTAAAGGGCCAGTGTAATTATCTTATTAAGAAAAAAGAGAAATTAGTAAGAGGAAAGGAAGAGTTAAAAAAGAGATTGATTTGAATTAATTATTACTTACGATCAAATGATTTGTTTTTCTTGAAAAATAGATTAGTGAAATAGGCTGAGGTGATGATTAAAATGATAGCGTAAAGTAAATAACCAATAACAGCGGCTCCTCTTTGACCTAAGATGGTGAAAGGTTCGGGTGGTGGTGGTAATTTACGAGCACTTCGAGGTAGAATGTCAATAGCACAGGTTTGTTCACAATCGGCGCAACTACATGGATCAAATCCTAAGCCGATACTCTTGTGACAAGGTGTGGCTTGAGCTGACATTGGGTAAAAGGATTGACCATCAGGTGATTTAATCTCAGTGTCAGAGGTTAAAGTAAAATTTATCTGGACGGGTGAATGGCCTCCCGAAAGAAATGAAGTTCCCATGAAATCTAACCACTTTCTGTAGGTACACTCATCCCCATCATCCACAACTCCACACATGAGTGAAAGTGCTGTCAACCCAAGAGGTGTTTGGACGGATTTACATGACTTTTGAAGGCCTTCAGCAAATGATTGAGACATAAAATAGGTGGCATTTTGTACCTGAAGCTTTGCCGGTTTTGAAGAAACCTTGAGAGTTTTAGTCACATTTAAAAATTCACTCTGACGAGGTGAACATGTCATTTGACAGAAAATTTGCTTCCAATTTTCAAAACACGATGGACATCGGGAGAGTAACTGTGTAGGCGTTTCGTAAGATTTTTCTAGTGCATCAATTTGCTCTGGTGTACAACAAACTGATGGATTTTCATTTTCAATGAAAAATGAAGGACACAAATCTTTCAAAAGACTTCTATAGTTTAAGTCTACCAGAGGTTCTGGTACATGAGGTTTATAACAAGGAATCGGTGATTGAAATGTTCCACCATGACCACAAATACCACCGAGAACACATTTGCCCTGAGAAGATGTTGGCGGTAACTTAGTGACAGGAACAACTTGACTAAACTCACCGGTAACAAGCTAAGAACCACCAATCATTAAAAGAACAGAGAAAGAATAAAAATCATGAGTAATTAAGAAAGATGAAGAATAAAAATAGAATAGAATGTAAAATGTAAATAAAATGTCTTACCTTGAAAATTACAAGAATATATGTAATAATAGAAACGATAGATTTTGAGTCCATATTGAACAACCAACATGAAGCAATAGTTCTTTATTAAATGGTTATGAAAACAGTTCCATTAACAGCTCTCAAATCGAAGGCAATAAAACAATTAAACCAAATGAGTGAAGAACAGAAAAAGAAACAACTAAATCATCAAATAAAAAGAGAGTAACAATTAACCATCAAGACTCATCTTCCCACAGACAATGACTAATCTTCAGCTGCTCTCAATGCAACTTCGTTTTAGTTGGCGAATTTGCCACCAGGGGAAATTCTTTACTTTGATTGACCCTCTTTCTTTTTTCTCTTTCGCAGTTTCAACCTGAATTAACTGAACTTCTTTCAGGATGATGAATATAAACACCAAGTACCAGTAAGAAGAAGGAAAATGAAAATTTATAAGCAAATTGAATTGAAGAATAGAAAATTTTACACAAAGAAAATATCGATTTTGTTTTAGAATTTGAAGAAAAATATTGATCGAACTTCTATCCAACATATTAAATAACGTTTGGAACGCATTTTTTATATCGAGGCCTGATGGTCTAGGGGTATGATTCTCGCTTTGGGTGCGAGAGGTCCCGGGTTCAAATCCCGGTCAGGCCCGGACTCTTTTTGTTGATCATCGATTTGATGGAATTGAAAATTTTATCAAATGAGAATTTTATTTTGTAGTTATTTTTGTTTATACTTTTTAAAAAGGCTTACAAGGAGAGAGAAATATTTTTTTGAAAGAAAAGAAGATAAAGTTGTGTGTGAGAGAGAAATTGGATAGATATTGAGAGAGAGAGAGAGATTTGAAATAAAGAACAAGGAGTGAAGTGGAAAAAAAGAGAATGCGAAAAAAGGAGAGAAAAAAGAGATGAAGAGAGAGAGAGAGATAGATAGAGAAAAGTAGATTTGACATTATGGACAATAAATACTAACCAAGATACAATCTATGGAAATCATTTGCACCGAAAAGCGCATTACATTTAGGACATTTCCTTTGTCTAGTTTCGTACCTGGTTTTTAGACATTCGTAACAAAATACATGGAAACACTTTGTTAACACGGCATCTTTACGATTGGTCTTACAAGATGGACAGGTCAACTGTGATTTATATTCTTTTATTTCCTCTTGAAGAACTTCATCTGCGGTTGTTGCTAATTCGAACTTTTTCGCTCTTTCGTATAATCTTCGCCAGGTCATTACTTCTTCTTGAAGTCGTTGGTTTTTAAATGCTTCTTGTTGTAGGGTAGATGTTTTATCGGCAACCGTTGCTTGTGCTTCTTTTAATTGACTTAAATATTTGTCCAAATGTAATTTAAGATCTGCCGCTGATTGTGCCGATTCGATGGCTTTCCGGCGATTTTGTTCCATCGCCTGTTGGGTTAAACTTAACTCCTTTTCCACGGTCGATAAATTATTTTGTAATAGTCTTTCTTTTTCTTCCAATTTTCTAACCACTTGATTTTGTGCTTCAACTTGAGCTTTCAAATTAATCACTTGAAGATTAAGATTTTCTTTCTCCTCTTTTAGCAGGTTTAAAATACCTTGAGATTTAATCCGTTCGGACATTAATTTGAAATTGGCTTCATCTCTTTCTCTTAATTGTTGCATTAAACGTAAATTTTGCTCTTGCATATCTTCAAACGCATTACCGGTCACTTCCATTTCATTTAGGAGAGCTTCATCTTCTTGCTTTTGAGAAGCTAAAAGTTTCTGTAATTGTTGAATGTTTTCCTTGTACTTGGCGATTTCTCTTTGAGTTTCTTCATCAGCGTATTTACGTCTATCACGCCGATCAGATTCTTGATGTTTAGCTAATTGTTTCTTTAAATCTTCTACCTCCATTCGACTTTTCTTTTCCGCTGTCATCAGGGCAACTTTATCCCTCTGATCTCGTTGGCTTGTTTTGTACGAATCAATAACCATTCTCATTTCCTTGTTCTGTTGACTCATTGCTCTCAATTGTTTCTGTAAGTCTTTGATTACTAATTCAGGTTCGAGTTTCCTACTGCCACTAGAAAGACTATTACTACTAATACTAATAGTTCCACTGGTTCCACCACCGCTAGTACCTTTATTTTCATCGTGACTAACACCAGAGAAACGAACAGCATTTGGTCTTTCACTTGTTTCTCCAGAATCTTCTTCCTTTTTAAGATGATGATTAGACCGGTGAGTATGGCTTGATGGATGAGAATGACTTGGATAGGGAATGTTACCAGATGATGTAGTTGTCGCTGTCGTTGTGGTTACTGTGGTTGTTGTTGTGGTGGTGGTTGTGTTTGTTGATGATGATGATGATGAAGGAGGTGGTATGAATGTTAGTCTGACTTGAATCTTCACGTTCTTTTTTGATAATTACCCGCGAATTATCATTGATTACACTTAAATCACCAGGTTTCTTTTCATCAATTTCTTTGTTGCCGCCATCTTTAATAAGATTAACATCAGTTCCAGAGTCAGTTCTTTGTCTTTTTGTAGGTGGATCATCAATATTTTCAACTCCTGGTTCAATCTTTATGTTTGATTTGATATTTGCATGTACAACAGGCTGACTATTAATGGAGCTGTTGTTGGGAACATTATTATTTGTGTTACTATTGTTATTAACAGAATTACTGTTGGCGTTGGATGTTATCAAATTTTGATGTTGAGTCTCACAAATATGTTTTATCTTATTGTAATCATGTTGTAAATCTTTAAGACGACGCTTATATCTGGCTGCTTCACCTTTTAATTGGACATTATGATTTTGAAGGCTTGTAATCAAATGTCTCATCTCTTTGTTAATAGGACCTGTTTGTTCATTGGCAGCGATTGCTTGTTCAAATTCAATCCGTAACATTTCATACTCTTTTTTAACCTGCTCCAATTGATCTTCTAATTGAATTACCTCGGTCCTGAGTCTTTTCTGCATTTCCAATTCCTCCGATTCCATGTGTTCAATTTGCCTAAGATGAGCAGTCTTTGAATTAACCATCATACTTCTCGCCTCTTCTAATTGTGTTTTTAGATGCATTGATTCATTATAAAGAACAGAGAAATGTGATTGAAGACATTTGTATTCGACAGTCTCAACAACAACGGCTTCAGGTAATGTTTGAAGATCCATTTTTAATTTCTCGATGAGGGTTAGAGCTTCTTTGTGAGCTGAATTTAGCGTTTCAAGTTCGTTTAATCGTTTATTGGACAGTTCTTTGTATTCTTCAAGTTCCTTTTGAAGATCTTCAAACTTGGCATGATTAACATTATCACTACGGTTTTTGGCACTTTTACCATTGGTACCAAAATCATAATCACCACCCGACATTTGAATTGTTTGTAATTTTTCACGGGCATCTTGAAGATTGTCTTGTAACCTAATCTCTTTAGATCGTGTCCGATTAAGATCAAATTCAAGATCATCAATACGAGCTTTAAGCTCATCATTTCTTGTCTCCATTGATTCCAAGCTATCCTTCATCTCACTGAACTTGAGGCTCATCTTATGATGTTTCTCATGTAAAGAAGTAACCAAAGAATTGAGATTTTTATTCTCATTTTGTAATTCTTGGTTAGCCTTTTTAACAGCCTCATCAAGACTAGGATTACTCTCACCATTATCAGTATCACCTAAAGAGAAAAGGAAGAAAATAAATAATAATAGATTAAAATACTAAATATAAATATAGAAGAAAGAAAAAGAAAAAGAAAAATATATTGAGAGAATAAGTTAAATAACAACAAGAATGACAGCCTTCAGCACTTTGCCGGTAATATAGTTGATTAAAACAATCAAGCAAAAGTTGTCAGTCAAATTTTACCTCAACATTAGGTTGATCATCATATGTTATCACATATTATATAAAAATAAGAGAAGATGATCAACTGGCTAATGGTCAAGAGTCTAAGTAAAATAAAGACCAATACAAAGAGAAACAAAAATGGTTAAAAGCAACATCATCATCTCCACTGTTCATAAAGATGGGGAAAAATAACATACAAGAGAATAGAATGTAAATGATTGTAATTAAATTCTCTTCTACAGAGATTAACCTACCGTCACCAAGCGTTGTACCTTTTAGGGCAAAGGTTATTTTCTCATTTCTTTGTACAATCCTATCGAATGTGGCAATTACCTTGCTCACTGCTCTCTTTGACACTTCAACCCGTTGTCGCAGATTCTCCTCCAATTCATCCTTATCCCAAGTGGATAATTGTGAAATAAATGAGGTGGTTGCCTCATTTTCATTATCATTCTCTTGTTGATCAGAAGTTTCCGCATCAAACCTTTGTAATAAGATCCTTAAATCTTCATTTAATTGATTCCAATATCGGTTAATAACGTAAACAATGGCTTCTGCTGATGTTTGTTTCTTTTCCAATTGTTCAATCCTTTGTCTTAAATCAGATTCAACCTTTGCTTTAACCTCCAATCGTTCACCGAGCTTCTTATTCTGAAATTTAAGAATATTAATGTCAAACTGTTCCATAATAATAAGCCAACACTAGTTAAATCAATTAACTTAAACATTTGATGAGATCAAACAAAAAAAAAATAAATTAAAATTATTGAACAGACAAGATGAAGACAAAAAACCAAAGCAAAACCAAAAGAAAGAGAAAAGAAAGAGACAAAATGTAGATTAGTAGACTAGCCCCGAATTCGAGGGACCAGCAACACATTTACAACTTTCATTTTCTAATCTTTTAAACAATAAGATAAAAAAAGCGAAAAAAATAATTAGTAATCAATGATGATTATCTAAATTGTGGAAAACAATTAATTAATAATTTGATCCAATCATTTGCTAGAATCAAATCAAGATGGAAAAACAAAAGCTAAAGTAACGAAACGAAACTTTCTCAATAAAATTTCCCTTTGACTTTTAAAAGCTTTAAAAATTTACTAATCATAATCAACGAATCAACGAATCAACGATTAAACAACTTCAATCTACTTAATCACTTAATCAATACACAATCAATTCTCACACTAATTAAACAAAAAAAAAACTTTCTCTTCAAAAGTAATTATAAGAAAAACATTAATAGAATTTTAATTATTCACAATCAACCCTTTTTCTTTGAATTTTCTCATCCAAATCAATCTTAATTCTAATGTAAATCTTTCAAGTTTTTCATCTAATTTTTTGCAGAATTAATTGTCTCATTCTAATTTAAATTGTTCTTTCATTAATTGATGAAAATGGAGAAAAGTTGTCAAGTCGAATTTCGAAAACGAGATGGAGCCACTTATAGAAACCACTCCCAGAGAGAGATTTGGATTGAGAAAAATTCATTTGGTTAAAGAACAAGCGAAGCTCAAGTCATGATAACTTTTTCTATTCTTTATTAGTTAGTTAATTGTGATTAATAAATTTCGTGTTTCTTTTTTAATTTAGTGTTTAATTAATTGTTTTTCTTCTCAACTTCTTTTCTAATTAATCACTTGTTGACATTTCTTATTTGTCTTTTCACCGATCATGAATTCCAATTGATGTAATTTCTTCTCTTTTTTTTGGAGAATATTTTTTCTTTTTTTTATTCTCTTCTATTATCTCTCCATTTCTCTTAACCAGTAAAATCTTTTCTCTTTGTGTATACAAGTCTTTTTACCTTTCATTTTTTCTCTTCACGCTGTGACCAAATATTTTGTTCTCTTGTGTCAAATGTCTTGGTAAGTTTAGTTCTCTGTTTCTAATTTTCAAATTCTATTCTATTTCTTTCTCTTACTCTTCTTCTCTCTCTTACCCTCCTACTCCTCCTCCTCTTCCTTTTCCATTTCTCTTGTTTTTTTTTCTTCTTCTTTCATCATCTTATTCATTACTTGATGTTTTTTTATTAACATTGTTTTCTATCAATTGATCGAGAGAAAATTTACTCTGTTACATTTTTCTCTTCTTATTTTCTATTCTCTATATTTAATAAGTAATTTTCTTCTGCTCTAAACCTTCACTCGTCACTTGTTAAACTTGATGATTTGGTTAATTGATCATCATCTTCATTAATTGTACATCAATTGTAATTTTATCTCATTAGCAATCATCATCTTGACTATCTAAATGGTTTTTACTAATTTATGCTTGTCTTTGAATTTCTCTCTCTCTCTATCTTTCCTTTTGCTTTTCTAGTTCTCTTTATTCTGTTTTAAATGATTAACTGCGTTGTTTTGTTCGCATTTTCAATAATCCCATCAAAGCTCATTCTAATCTGGTTTAGACTTTAAACTATCGCATCTCATCTATTGACCATCTTTTTCTGTTTATCTTGATTCTTTATCATCTCTTATTTTACTATTGCTTTTTACTCTCCTATTTCTGTATCTCTCATTTTCTTCTCTACTCTCTTTTGTATCATTTCTTTCATTTTGTTTCTCTTCTTCTCTCTCTCTTACCCATTTCTCCTTTACTGGTCTCTCGAAAGCTTTCCTCTCTCTCTCTCTCGCATCTCTATCATTTCCAATCTTCTTTTGTTTTACTATTCTTATCCTGATTTGAGCAAATCATTGTGTTTGTCTCCTAAAAATTTATTATTTTGTATTGGTTTCCTCGTTTTCTTATCTTTTTTTCTGTTCTTTTGTTCTTCCTTCATTCCAGGCACTTTTAAAAGCTCATTCATTCGTATAAAAATCACATTATTTCATCATCATCATTCACCATCATGGATCTTATGGATCAATTTATAAACTCATCAATAGCCAGCCCTGGTGGAGATTATAAAATATCATTGGCTGCCAAATATTTTCACCAAGTTCCCCACAAAGATATTCACTTTAATTGGGTTAATGCAACATTTGATTTAAATGATAACCAATATCAAGAAGCCCTCGGCATTATTGTGGCCATTCCTGGTTTTTGGTTAATCTTAACCCTTCTTTTCTTTCTCATCTTCTTCCTTTGTCGATGCTGTGATGTCAATTCAAAGAAGAAGAAAAAGTTGACCTGCTGTAAATGCTTCCTTTTCCTTTTTACTATTCTTTCAATTGCAGTAATCACTGTGGGCCTCTATGGTAATTATGTGACCCATGAAGGAATGGTGAAAGTACAAAATTCAACATCAAAAATTGCTCAAGATATAAATGATTTAAATTCATTAACTGCAATAGTTGATACCAGCCTGGAAAAGGATATCCATGACAATTTAAATCTTTCACTAAATCGGGTTACTGGACCCATAATGAAAAATTATACTCTTGTCAATTTTATTCATAGTAAAATTGAGGAAATGAAGCGTAATACCAACTCGGCAAGCTCAATTATCACCGAGATGCGAGGTAAAGTTTTCAATGAAGCAAATTTTGACCAAATTGAAAATCTCAATGTTCCCGAGAAAGAGATGATTCGTACCATGGCTACTTGGGCAACCCTCATATCACTTCTTTTCATTGGTTTGATTCTCATGTGTGGTGTTTGTCGACATTCACGATGCATGTTAATCTTATTTTCCGTCCTTGGTTTACTTTCACTTGTAATCTGTTGGGTTTTAACATCAATCTACATTGGTTTTTGTGTTGCTGTTTCTGATTTCTGTATGGACCCAAAACCTTTCATTTACAAATATCTTCCAAGGGAAACACTTTTACTCAATTATTACATAAAATGTGATCCAAGAACAACTGAAAATATTTACTTCAAACAATCAAATGAGATTTTAATGCATTTGGACAAAGTTGCCAGCAACTATGAAGAAATAATGTCTCAATGTAAATCAAATTGTACTGATTCAATGTTCAAACAATATATGGGTAATATTCAAAAAGGTATGAGCAATATACGGAATAAAACGGATATCTTTAATAAACACTCACACTGCCAAGGAATCCATGAAAGTTATAAACACACCATGAACCATTCATGTAAAGATGTGCTGGAAGGTGTTTCCCTTATGTTGGCCTCTTCTTCAGTGACTGGCCTAATATTTACCCTCCTTGTCCTCTGTGCTTCCCATACTTGGATTAACATTCGTATCAAAAGAAACAAGACAATGACCGGAGATGCTTCCGAGGAAACAGCGCCATTCTTAGCTCCAGCCTCAGCATCGTCCACCGTATCCTCATCAACTGGAAATATCAAACGCACCAGAGATAATTATGCTGCTGCTAGTGGCCCATCATCAAGACCAAGGTGATTATCATTAATTAAAGGACATTGCCCTTTACCTGTTTTGTCCTACTATTCAATGAATCATAATTCAATTTAATATTTTCAAATCACAATGAGAATATAATTTCTGATGAGTGTGTGTGTGTGTGCGATGTTGTCAAATTAATACTTCCTTATCTCTCCCTCTATTTGTTCCCTTTTACTATTACCAACCTTAACCTTAACCTACCAACAACTAGTTTGACTGTTTCTTCCTGGATTTCAAGCATTAGTTTCATCTCACTATTATCTTGTTCACTTACCTTACCTATTCAGTTTTCTTTCTATTTCTCCATGTCAGTCATTACTTTGAGCTGAAAAAAAAAGAAAAGCGATAAAATGTAATGAAGAGAAAGAGAAAATGTTGATGCTTGAAACAAGTTTGTTAAGAAACAACTTTAGTGAAGGGAATCAATCAATTGATCATTGGTCAACCTAATTCACTGGGTTTTCATGTGATATCAAAAGAAAGCATGTATCAGGAAGCAAAGTGACTACTCATTTCATTTCTTTCCCTCTTTTTTTTTCTATTCTCTTTTTTTACTTTATTCTTTTCTCTCCGTAAACTCTTTTTTCTTGCCAATTATTGCAACTAACATGATACAATAGATTTTCAATATCTCTTTTAGCCATTTTACTTCAAGTTGAAGGGATTTACAAGCCAAATATTAGACAACAAATCTCTCCTTAAGGTTTGATGCGAAAATTGTTGATGGACGTGATTAAATCTGACTTGGAAAGGGTATTAACAGAAATACATTAGCAGCTAAAATCCAATAGCTCATAAGTGTTTCACACCATTACTGTTATTCACTTGACCGAAACATTTTTCTTCTTTTCAATCTTAAAATCTATTTCCCTATTTCATTTATATCCTTTAATTTTCTACTAAGGCGTTTATTCTTATATTAACTGACCACCTTCAGATCTTCTTACCAGCCTCCTCTTAGATCAATTCAATTTTATTTCTAAGAATAAGAGTAATACATTACAACCCTTTAGTGAATATCTGTTATCTTTTCTTTAATTTTCATCCATATTATTAATATCATCATCTTATTCATCTCTTTATATCCTTTTCTATCCTGTATTCTAATAGAACCCTGGTTTTTCATTATCATCATCATAAGAGCGAATGTTTTTGTTTAGTTAAATAAGAAATAGAGGGTTAAATGAGAATTAGTATCCATTTCATTAATCATTCATCTTGAAGCTAAATTAACTTTACCCACTTTGTATATAACTTTTTCTAGATTTTTGCTTGTTTCAAATGTGTTTCTTAATTCACTTAATTCACTCCAATCGACAACAATTTAATATGCTCAGACATCAAATACACATATAGCGTGTTGAGTAATCAACCATCGTTTCTGTATAACTATCAAAACAGGTCTGCCCCACTTATCCTTTCCAAGTATAAACGTCCCCTGTATTTTATTTACTATTTACATTCCTCTCTTTCATTCATTCTCTCTCTTTCTCACTAACAACAACAACAAGGCCTCTTTGATGTAACATCTAAAACCAGTCATGATGAGGTTTTGCAATTTTCAAAACTAATTGTTGCTAATCAAGTCAACTCCTTAACTGTTACAAAAACAAAAACAGGACTTGCAATCATAGCTTATGTTTACTTCACTTTCAAACCTTTTTCTTTTGTTCTGTTGATTTTTTATTTATGCATTTGAATCTCATTCATCCACTTGGCGATTCTTATTTATTGTTATCGTTATTATCTCTTCGTTTGGCCTCTCTCTTCTCTCTCTCTATCTTCAAGCTTTTGTTTTAACCACTACCCTTTCTTCACACTCCATGACTCAACCTCCAAACACACACATACATGTACATGTATATTCACACTTTAAACTATATCATGACACGGCAATGAACACATATAAACATGATTTTCAACACTCGCCGATAATAATAATGATAACCTAGTGAGGGTAAATTATGTGTAAATTGACAATTGGGGTTTAATAGTTTATTGATGAAATTAGTGGGAAAAAAATTAATTGATTGATTCATTTTGTGGTTATAAACTGACCTGATTTATTGTTTTTTTTTATTTCTCATTAATCAATTTGTTTTTCCGTTCATCTTTTTCAGATACAGTCACACTCCACCTCAGACTCCTCATTTTGTACCTGGCCCCAATTATATGGCTAATGCACCACCACTTGGACCCCAGTCAACAAATGGTAGGTCTGTTAACCGGGACGAACAGTTATCCTTTTTAACACCTCCTCCTTCATATGAACAAGTTGGACAGCAAGGTCTTCAAGGACACCAAATGCAACATCACCATGGTCATCAACCTCTTGGGCAGCCACACTATGTTGTGAGTTATCGAAAGTGATAATATACTTTATATATTTATATTTATAATAATATTATTATACGTATATCACAAACATGAAAAACAACACAAGAAATTATGAAATTACGACATGAAATTATGAAGAAAAAAAAATTACTCGGTTATGATTAATTGTTAATCAAATGACAACTACAAAGGTTAACCTTTTAGCAACCCCACCGATCACCAATTCTGAATCCAATAAGAATCTCGAAACGATCTAAAAAGATTCAACATGAATGGTGACAATTTTTTTTTAAATCTCTACTCACATGTAGGAGTTTTATTTTTATTCTTTTTTTTTCCTTAATTAAAATCAATTTTTGTTTAATTTATTTCTTTTCAACCCACAATTTTCATTTGATTTCATTTTCTTTTAATTATTATCACAATTACTGCATCTACACCCATTTTTTATTTATACGAATTTCAACCAAACAAAAAAAATGATCTGATTTGGATTTTATGATGACCTCAAGTTAAACGGTTCACCTGAATGCAATTGACCATTGAAAGGGGAATGTGATTTTCATCATCATCATGTTGTTGTTGTTGATTGTGATGATGTTGATAATGATTAAGTGATGAAGCTGAAATGGAAACATTGACAATGGATCAATGAATAAAACTGTGATTCCAATGAAATGATGAGATGATACTAGTAATAGTAATGACGATTAGATTAGATGACCCAACACACTGTCCACAACCTTAGTGACCAAATGGAAAATAAGAAAACAAAAAGTGATTGTTTCTTGCTGAATAAAGAAATCACCCTGAATGATTTATCTTTTTTGTTCTATGGAATATCTTTACCATATCATCCTCATCATCACCAGCATCGTTATTTAACAAGAATAATATCAACATCATCATCATCATCATCTTACTCTCACTGTTCCCTTTTATTTGTTCATTTTTTCATCTTTTTTTATTTTGTTTTTGTTTTTTTCTTTTATCTGTATTAGAGGAACACATCATTTCCAACTTTCCATGCTTGATCCAGAAAAACACCAGAAAACTCTCAGTGATTTGAATTAGATGGATTTATATTGATTATCCTTTTGGTTTAATATTAAATGTGAGCTGTAAATATGTTAAATAATTTAACGAATGTGAACAAACTGTACAACAGATTAGTGTATTTATGTGTCAACAGAAAACTGTCAACATGAGATTTACTTGAATGTAAATTATATTCTCAATGTGTTAACATGATTCTCAAGTTTTATGATGAAATTTTGTGAGTCGAGTGAGAGATTTACAAAGGAGAAAGATAGAGAATTGAGAAAATGACAATTATTATTAAGGATTATCAAAAATCAAGGTAAATATTATTCTTCAATCACAACAATATCTTTTTTTTCTTTTCTCTTTTTCTTCACTTCATCTTCTCTCCATCATTCAGGCGGACAATGATTTGGTGATGAGAGCAACTCAGGCGACCAAATTTTAATCCTGTCGAAGAGCATCCCCATCATCTTGATCCTCATCCTTTTCTTTCCTTCTCTTTCTCTTTTTTCTCTCTTTCCTCCTCCTCATCATCTTCTCTTCAATTCATCCTGAGCATCATCATTATCATCATGGCGAAGTCAGAGCAGAAAAGAAGCAATAGAAAAGGAAGAAGAAAACAAATTCATTCTTCAAATGGAGTAACGAAAAAAGAAGAAGAAAAAAAGGTAAACAATCAATTCTATTTCTGTGTTAATCTTGTTTTCTATTCTCTCTCCATCCTCTTATTATTTTCATTTTATTTCTATTTTATTTAAATTAACTTAATTTTCTATTATTCTCTTTTCGCCATTTTTTTTTCTTTTCTATTTAGTTTAACATTTAATTCACTGTATAATCATTTTACATGTTAACCCACCAAACGATTTGAGAGAGAGAAAGACTTTGGATGCTTTGATAATGGTCGATGATGATGATAACTTTTCTATTCTCATTATGTTTACTATTATTATCATTTCCATCATCATCTTTATCATCATTATCAACATTTGAAACTATGTTTACATGTTTGTCCACGATTTTTGTTAAAAAAGAACCAGAATCCATAACAACTTTTCCTTTTCCTTTTTTCCACTTCCCATAATCTCCACTCCCAAAATCTTCCTCTTACAACATATCCCATAGTGAACATTTTCTCTTCCTCATCTTTCCTCCTTCTTTTCCTCCCAATTATTGATCTCTTCGTGTGCGCATCACTCTCATCAATCCATTCGCCAGCATCCTCATCACCCACTTCGCCCTCATCCTCATCTCTCTCTCTCTCTCTCTCTTTCCCTTTTTGTGCTTCTTTTTTCTTCTTTTCCTGATAACCTTTTTCCCTTATCACTAGAGGCACCTTTCATCATCATTATCATCTTAATCATTATCACATTCCACAAAAACTGTAAATTAGCATCATCATCACTTCATCACTATTTGGATACAATTGGAATCTCAGTAAATGCAAAAAAAAAGATAAATTAACTCAATGAACAAAATAGACTAGAAAATGATAGAAACATAAAGACAAAAATTAATCAGAAAAAAATATTATCATGATAATTTTTTTACCTTTTCAAAGCAAATAATTAATTGTATTTGTGTTAATTAACAATTTAATTGACAACACTGTTGAAACACAAATATCCAAACTGATGTCTATTGAAGAGGAGAGTTAATTGTCCACTAGATCAGTGATTAATTTTAACGTTCACAATCATCACAATTGATTTTCCACTAATTTAATAGGTAAGAATATTTGATTATCAAAGAGATTTGTAATTGCCATTCAAATTAACCAATTTAATCAATTGCTTAATCCAATTGTTTATCAATCTCAACTTTTTCCCTCACTTTTTTTGTTACGAACTCAAATCACAATCGATAAATGAAATTAATTATCCGACAATTAATTACTAATTAAATGATAACTAGTCTTTCTACTTGATTTCTTACAGTAAATTAACCATTAGAATATAGAATCTGTGTTAATTGTGAATCTCTTTAATCTAATCAAGATCATTATTTCTCACAGATTATTGTATCTTCTTCCTTAATCCAACTTAATCCAAGTTCATTTTTTTTTCATCTTCATTTTCTCATTCTCTTCCTAATAGTCATCCTTATCTCTTTCTCTATCATCATCATCATCACCTCAAATCCACCCACAAGTTAATGTCCATCTTGATCTAATCCCTGATGATCAATATCCAAAGGTAAGTATCAACATCTCAACTCATAATGATATTGATTAAATAATGAAAGAAATGATGAAAATACTATGTAATTAATTTGCTTTTTTATCTTCATCTCTTTCCACAGAGTAAACAATTAAATTCAATGATATTTATAGAAGATCCAAATTAAGTTGATTGTTTACATTTAAACTACTAGGAAAAGAGGAGATTCCCAACAAACAGGAAGGAAGACTAATCCACTACGTTGATTGTTTGTCATTGTAACCGTACAACTAATAGTTTACATGATCAACTGTAAATTTATTTGATTAACGTCATCCTCGTCTCTCTCTCTCTCTCTCATCACCATGATCACAATTGATGAACTTCCTGAATAAAATACACCTCAGATGGATACCTTTAGACACATTGACAGTACTTTGTTTACTTTGTGATGATTAGTTGTCAACATGAAAATATTTTCTTTCTCTTTTCTTCCTTCATCATCATTTACAATCAAGTAACCTGATGCTTTCATAGTTATCACCATCATCATCCTCATCATTTTCATCATCAATATCAATAATTGTAATAACGATAAACAATCATATTCACTACTGAATTTATGGATTACACATTGACACACATTTGGCTCAGTTACCGTCTTTCCTTTTCTTGTCTTCTGGTCAAGGAATCAAATTAAGTTATCGCCATCATCATCATCATCCTCATCATTAACTCAATTAATAACAATAATACACCATAATTGCCAATCTCACCCAACATCTTACCATCAACATGATCAAACTAATTTGATCAACAACACAAATACACTCACAGTAAAAGCAAATCACTTTCAGCTCATATTCATTGTTTGCCAAATCTTTTAATTTTAACAACAACAAACCATCATCATCATCATCATCATCATCTTCAAATCATTAAACTGGATTAATTAATTAATTATCAATGAAGAAGAAATTTTTTTTCGAATTCAAATTGTAGATTGAAAACTTTTCCCTTTTTGTTTATCACTAATTAACCAGAAAGAGAACCAGAAAAACCCAAATTCACCAGAAAATTAAACCAGATAAAGTTTTGATTGTTTATATAAAAGTTAAATTGTCTTGATAATTATCATCATCATCCATCGGCTGCTAATTAATGATCCAACAATTAAAATCCTAAATGAAATGTTTACATAATCTAAAACTAGAAAGTTAATGGTTACTATTAATTACGAACACGATTATTGCAATTAAGTAATTTGTTAATAGTAAAATTCATTTCTATCAATTATCAGCTTGGTAAATCAATCAATAGCTTGTAGTGTTTATCTAATCAATGATACTTTCAACAATCATTTGTTTATTAATCATCAATCAATAACCATCAATTCTTGTTATTAATAGTTAACATATTGAATTAAGGAAATATTTCCATGACAATTAACTTAATTATCATCTTGTTGATACCGTTAACAATTTCTAGTTAAAATTAATCATTAATAGATAATCAAATATTATGATGGTTAATTATTTTTTCTTAATTGTATTAAGTTGTTTAAGTTTATCACAAATTACAATTCATTTGATTAATTGTTAGCTGATTTAGTTGATTTTCTTGTTAACTATGATTCAAATAAATTCATTGTTATTGAGTAACGGGCAATATTTAGTGTTGTGAGTTAATTGTGATCATAATCAATCCAATGAACAGTAAATTAATGTGGTGATTAATATTGATTAGTGTGATATTTGGCTTCTTTTAGTTAATATTTGGCTTCCCTTGCAACCCAATTGATAACTCTTGCATTTGCTTGACAATCAGTTAATCAGTCAACAAGATTAGTTTGTTTAACTTATGAAAACCTCAATAATTTTTTATCAACACAGTGGTAGTCTTTAATTGTGATTAAATCTTCGTGTCCAATTAACTCAAATCATAAACGGATTAGATGAAAATCTATCCTAATCCATTTTACAGTCTAAATAACAATCAAAGTATTGTTAATTTAGGAGCAATTATCCAACCAAAGACTTTGAGTTTGCAACCACTTTCTTAATCATCGTGCAGTTAATGATAATCAAGTAAAGATAACTTTTGATATCTAATCAGTTGACCATTTCAAGACTCAAATGAGTGGACAATACTTATTATCATACCTCTGGGTTAACTGTATCTCTCATTGATTGTATTCAATGTATTCGTTAGAAATCAACTAATTGTCCTAATATCAATAGCAATTGAATAGCATTTCAGTAATCAAATTTTGATGAAGAAATCAAGAAATTCATTTCAAAGAATAATTTAAAAAGGTTGTTAACTCCTAATAATTACGTTCTTAACAATTAATAATCAAATGACGAAAATGATCAAGAAACAAAATCGACAATTTAATCCAATACGAATACGATTCTATTAATATCCAGTCTGAGTAACACTTCAAACATGACAACAACTTTGCCTTTGTGCCCTCAAGGCTCTCAACTGACCACTCAGATTTTTTTTCCCTTAATAGTGACAATCACTTTGAGTTTACATATTGGTTAATCATCCGTAGTGATTAAAGTTAATTGAGAGTAATCATGTTGGTGGAAGAAGAGAGTGATAAAAATGATAAGTTATCAATTGAGTGTCAAAACGCAAAAGATTAATAAACGACGAGATTAAAGAAAATGTTCAACGAGTCTAATTTTTACTCGAATCTTGATCAATATTAATATCAAATAGTTGCAGAACTTTAATTGCAATAGTAACAATCAATTAATCTCACAGCTTTCAGGTTGTTGCTGTTCTCTCCTCGATTCTTTCAATCCATTGTTTGATTTTGGTCAAATTGATATTCACAAGTAAGCTATCCTTAATTTCACTTCAATATTTATACAATTTACAAAGCGATCGGGTCTAATTACCTTTAATTAATTTCGAAACTTCAAATCGCAAAAATCGCGATTTTAATTCAGAAAGAAGTAAAAGTTTGTATTCTATTCCAAGAGATGGCGACACATGTAACATTTTCTTCAACCCGATTGGCGCTTTTTCTTTATGTTTTGCTTTAATTGTGATCTAATTACTTGGTTTAATTTAACTTCTAATTAATAATTAGCGAGGAAAGGCAGTTATTTAATTTTCCTCAAGGTTAACCAGTAGAGTTAATTTGGTAAGATGACTTGTTTTAATATCTTTTGACGGTCAATTTGAAAATCTGGTTGGTCTTATAAACAATAATCTAAATCTACTGTTGCTTTTGTTATGTAAGTATTGTATTAATTTAATTGTGTTAATCATAATTTAAATTGTTCTCAACCTAAAGGTGACATTGTTTTAGAAACAGGACAATACTGCCCATTGTTGAGGTAAATTGAAAAGAACGGTAAATATGACCAGTTAATTGTAATTACGTTTTTATCTGTTTGAATATAGAAAAACAATATTAAAAATTTTTCTTCTTCTCTCCCTTAAAGGTAACACTTTATCTACATGGTATGTGGCACATACACTCACACACACCCAAACATGAATTAGATTTTGATTTAGATTGTTTTGAATTAATATAAATTTTTCTCTTTCTCTTACAGTTGCTTCTGCTGCTATTGTTAATACTATTATCAAGAAATTTCTCACGATGCTGATCGCGATGATTAAGTTATATTATTTTAAAGAGTAGAGAGAAAGAGAGAGAGAGCGAGATGAAAAAACGATCAACTGGATTGTTGTGATTTGATTGAAAGGTAGGTCATTCATCAACTCAATATCTACTCTAAACATCATTTGCATCTCTTTCCATCATCCATCTTGTTTTTTTTGCTTTTTTTTCTTTTATTATCATTTATATATTTATATGAACTCTTTTGTTTATAATCCTTTCCTTTATTTTCTCACTTTGTGTCAGGTTGGTCAACAGTTTGGGAATGGAAAAGGTCATAAGGCAGTAACACATTCTTTGATGATCACTGGTCACACTATCGTCAAAAACAACAAATCAACAAGTTAATAAATTGACAAATGCTAGTCAATCCATTTACTTCAACTGTTTGGAACCATTTTACGATTTTCATTTTACATTTAAATTTACTCGTCAATGTTTTTAAGCGTGTTACAAGGCCTTCTGGTTATTGTATCACCATCATCACCACCACCACCAACAACAACAACAACAACATCAACATCATCATGACTATCATCATTATCTTCTTATTCACCATCAACACGATCTCTCTTCCTTCAATTTCTACTCCTCGTCAACTCGTTTGGTTGGATTAGGCAGCAAAAGCAACAACAGAAAACAAGCAAAAAAAAACAGGCTTGTTTTCAATCTCATCTTCAATCAATATTCAATATGAACGAGATTATAAATAATACTTTTTCATGAGGTTTATTTAGATTGTTAACTTGTATAATATGCATCGTGAACATCGTGAAACATCAACAAGCCCGTTTTTTTTTGCTTTTTCTTGTTTAACCCTTAAAATAATGTTACCAAACTGACTAAGTACATTTTCAGGTATTAACTCTTTCTAATTCTCTTTCTTTCTCAGTCGTTCTTTCTTTAGATTGGATTCTCTTCCTGCGAAGATGATCTCATCGATGTTACCTGTTGATAACCTGGAATGAGCCAAAAAAGCGAGTGAAAAGAGAGAGAGGATCTGAAGGAAAAATGTTTCGCATCAGATACAAACAATATCAAAATGAGAATCACCAAAAGTAAAGAGTTGGAGTAAACATATTTGGCTATGTTTCTATTAATGATGATTACTTTTTGATGATCATCATGTAATCATAACCATGATAATCATTAATATTATCATTAAAAAAAATGAGTTAAATCAAGACAGGAAGGGAATTATTATAATATACCCATGGAAATGGTGTAAAAATGATTTGGAAAGCTGAAATATTATTATCGTTCTTGATGATATTTTCCATGAGCTGATTTTTACTTGGGATTTGATCAACAAAGATGACGATTCAGACAGTGAAACTGAAAATTTATTAAATCAAAATTTTTGTCACCAATTTTCATGGAAAATATTTTGGCCAAAAATCACACACAAAAAGCAGAGTTATACTCTAGTGTCACGCGACTTTATATTGGACTGACGAGATGAATACATTGAGAGAAGAGACAGAAAATCAGAAAAAAAGTTGAATGAACAGATTAGTTGAAGATGAAAATTCATCATAATCTCATATCATCAACATCCACCATCACCTTCATCAAAAAAAAAGAAACATCAAAGATCAACATGGTTACATTTATCTGGTTGGAAAAAGTAAAACATTTTTTCATCATCAACATAAACATGAACATCACCTAATCATCTAAATGGAAGCCAAAAGATGCCAAGTAAAAAAATGAATAGAAATTAATTCCTGAAGAGATGAGAGAAGAGGAAAATTCTCATGTGAAAAAAGGCCTGTCAACAGGGTTACTTTTTTTCTCTTAAACTTTTTCTCTTCCCTATCATTTTATATACATTTTTAAGCTTCTTATTCATGAATTTGATTCTGTTTCACAATCATCATGTTTCTGTCCTCTCTGCGTCTTTCACCCTTCATGTTGCTCCATGATAATCAGCAGAAATAAATAACAAAAGCACCAAGAAGAAGGAAAAAAATTAAAGACATATAACGGCTTGAGTTTTAATGTTCTTTTCTTTCATCATCATAACTCTCTCTCTCTCTCTCTCTCTCTCTCTCTCTCTCTCTCGTATTAATCTTTTTCTTCAGGTAAAATTCATGGCAAATGAAACAAAACACAATCGAGATAAACAATCAACGAGCAAAACTGGCTGCCTAATAACCTGATGGTCCTCAAATTTAATTAAAGCAACATCCGGTTGTCAGGTTTCCGGTCAGTCATGCAATTAAAGTGTTCGTGTTTCCTTTGCTGGGAGCTATTTCAGTTATTATCTTCTCTCTTTCTCTATCATCCCACCCTCTTTCCTTGTATCTCCCGCACTTCTTACTTCATCAATGGTTTTTCGTTGCAATGAGCAAGCAGATAAATAACATCATGAGCCAGATTGGAGTTAATGCAAACGAGATAATGGACACCAAGGAGATGATGATGCCTGATGAAGAAGCAAAAATAAATTAAAAATGAAAATTATACTGAACCACCTCAAAGAATCAACAGGAAAATGAGAGAAACCTTGAACCAATCGATTTTAAATTGAACGGAGGCTCTTTCCATCCATTGGGACATTCCCTTTGCTATATTTAAGTAGCGTAGTTAATATTGACCAACTTGTTGATCTGACGGCGTTACGTGTATAATATATTTATGTTCATCTTTTCCTACCTTTTTTTCACTGAAAAAGCTGAAAACCACTTCTCTTTTATCAGTAAACCCCCGGAGGCATTTCACACACACACATATACATTTAACAGTAACGAAACTAAATGAGAGAGAAAAACAGAAGGACTATGAAAATTCAATGAGAGAGAAAGAGAGAGAACCTCAGATACTCTCTCTCTCTCTTAAATATAAGTTCTTTTTTCCGTAAATTTCCCGGCAAAACTTTTTCTCTTAAAATTTACTTCGTTGTTGCTGTTTAATTACTTGGTCGCCATGTTGTTGTTTATTTTCAAAAGAATCGAAATAGTTTCCAGATCCATTGGAATAGATTCCATGAAATTTCATCTCCATGAATTACCCCCTGACTCTACTGTTGATGCTAATACGATAATAATGGTTCACTTATCCTGAATTGTTGAAGACTAATAAATAAATTAATTTATATTCTTGGAAGGTCATTGGTGACAAAAGGAGCGACAGATGATGATGATTATTGCTGCTGTTATTGTTATACAGAATTAGATTGATGAATGGAACAAGAATTTCCTTTGAAATGGAATCATCAACATCACCATGATGATGAATTTTTTTTAAACTTTTTTTTCTGTAAAAGTAAAAATAATCAACTATAAAATCAAGTCTACCAAAAGATATCCTGTTAATTACAGTCAATTGAAGTCTCTCAGATAAACATTACATGATTGTAAAAAGCACCAAGAAGGAGGAGGACGTTTTTTATGTGGTTGGCTGTTTGTAAGGGAAAGTGTTTTCCAGTTTTGTGTATAATAATTTGTTGATGATGATGATAATCAACATGATCAACATCATGCTGATGATGATGGAGACAGTCAAGAAAAATAGTCAAAGGAAAAGTGATTTGAAAACTTTTAAGCGGAGGAGTGACAAGTTTTTACCAGGAAAAAACATATCCAACTAACCAAGTTAATAAGCTGAAATTGCGAAAGTAACATCAACATGATGATGATGATCAACATGATCAGAATCAGAATCAGAATCATCAAGAAAGGAGCAGATGATGAAAATAAAACAACAACATAAGGGAAAGGACATGATGATTATGAAGATTCAATATAATATAATATTAACTTTTGATTATCCAACAACAACAACAACAACAACAGATCGCCCACTGAATATTATTTCATCCCTTGGCTCATATTCACACAACCACACACATACAACACACGCACTACACTTACATGATACATAATTGTAATCAAGTAAAGGATGGAAAAGTAATCAACAATTAACAAACAAAACGAAAATGAAATTATATAAATGATGAAAAGTCATGATGAGAAAGCAACAGGAATGGTGACTTTTTCAACGTCATCCCCTGTGTGTCCTCCTGAGCTAATATCCTAAATATATTTAGTGAATTTTATATTTGGAATCTGATTAAATATCAACTATCATAACAATCAAATGGACAATTAGGTATTTAGTATCATTCATTATTATTCAATATTTGATTGTCAATCTAAAACTGTAATCTTACAAACACACACACACACTCACATACACACAAACAATTTAACAACAATCAACAAACAGAAATCATTTTGTTGTTTTGTCTGATGTTTCATTTTCATTCTTGATTATGATTGATGGTTTTGATAGATTCATCATGATGATAATCAATTCCATAATGAAAAACACTCTCTATCCACATCAATACATGATAATAAATATAACAATCAAATGAAAATTTAACACCACTCCAAGCTATTAACTGATTATTATCAATTAACTAATGGTTACACTATTACCTGGCTAATATACAAAATTAAAATATTAACACTAAAAATGAGTAAAAATTTTTTCTCCGGCGATTTAATTTATATCAATCATAACAATTAACTCTTACATTGATTAACCGCTATCGTTTTTTTTTCAATCTACGTGAGTGAAAACTTTAATAATAACTTATCATAAATCAGTAAATTAACTAATAGTAACAATTTAAATTATTCAGAACAAGGTCTAATTAACTCTTTCATTTACTTTCACAATCAAATTTGATTGTTTTACTTTTTTTTTACTCGATTCTTTGATTGTTTTCAATTGATTACTAATCATAATCATTGATAATAACAATCATTGTTTATTTTTATTTGTATTTTCTTCACTGTTAATTTGATTTAATTTCTTACCCTCAACCAACTGAACAATTAATTTTAATTGTTACTGTATTTCCAATTGAGTTTTCTAATCAACTGGTGGTTAATTGTTTCAAATTGGTCACTATTATTATTATTATTGTAAATTAACCAATTAAATTGTTGCTTATTTATTGTTTATTATCATAACTGTGGATAATTAACCATTGCCAACACTAATTATTTAACTGAATGTTAATTAACTAATTCAGTGTATAATGTGATTAATGATATTCTGCCTTAATTATTAACAATGAATTAATTGTTCACTGATGAACCAATTATAATTTTCACATTAATGAGATTCATTGATTTGAAATAATTTTTTTTTTCTGACTTTTCTTGATCATGATTAGTACAATTTTAATTAATTAATTGTTGAATAAATTTCATCTGCAGACATTGATTAATTAATTGCTGTCTAGTTTACACAATTAACAATGAAATCTTTTCATTTCAACCGAATTAACTAATTAATTAATGAAGCAGAAATTAATTTCTTCATCAACTTTGTGATTAGAAAAGCTTTCATTTGAATGTAACAATTTTGATTGATTGTTGATTATCATTTTTGATTGTGATCGTTGTTTGGTTACAATTAATTAATGTAAACAGAGCAGAGTTAATTATATTGTTTATAATTTCAAGTTTTGATTGTTATCATCAAGGATCCGTTGATTTTATTGCTTTAATTGAATAACAACAATCAAGTTAATCACTTGAAATAATTTTTGTCAACAGATTGGTTTTGTTTGTTGCATTAACCTTAACCGATTTGATGATCAATTGAAACAATTGATTAGTTTGAAAAGTTGATTAACTTTTCAAGTTAATTAACTTGAATTTCCGTTCTCATCTTAATCACAATTATAAATCTTGAGCCATCAATTGATGATTGAAATCAGTTAATTAACTAACATGATACCCTAACCAATGGTAACCATTAAGATTGATAAACTTTTCCAATGACAATTATTTAATTGCTTCAATGATGATTTGTTTCTTATCCAATTATTTAACTGATTAGTTAACCAATCAAGAGACTGTTTTTGTTGATTGTATCAATAATACTGGTTAACAATTAGTTGCTTATTAACATTTAATCATTTACATCCGTTTCTCATTAATCTGATAAAATATAATTATAATTGTGCTCAGCAATTTAATCAACAATTTAAACAAAGCCAAGGTTAAATTGTTATTATATTATTATTTTAACGTTTAATAATCATTACGATAATCAGAATGATTAAAAAAGTTAATCCATCAAAGGTTGATAAGATATTACAATGAATATATTATATATTTGTATCATTAAAGTAAACCAAATTAACCAACAATTAACAATCAACAATCAGAACAGAAAATAAAACAGACCAGTCCAACAATCAACAACAAAAAATTAACCAACTAATCACAATTAGCACACACACACACACACACATACAAAATGCTAATCCAATTAAAGTGAACAATTTAATCAAAACCTAATAAAATGTCCAAGTAAATTTTTAATACAATTTGAAAGCCATTAAATTACAAACAATTAAATGCTAATCCAGAAAATTGATTCATTAATTTTCATGAACGAAAAAAAAAATCTCAACAATCAAACAATTAACATACTCACAAACAATATTAAAGCTCAACGGCAATAATCACAATCATAATAAAGGTAAATTTCAATGATGATAATGATGATAATTATGATGATTACAATTAAAATGAGAATATGATAAATTAATTGTTAATTTACTCTCTTTTTTTTTCTTGATTCATCTCTCGGTCTTTTTGTTTTATTTAGGAAATGAATTAACCAGCCAAAGGATTAAACTTGAATTAAAATGGCAAATGAAATGACCTTCAACAAGTTGATGATGATTTAATCAACAACAATCAACAATGATAACAATTTATTGTTATATATTTAAACATAATGTGAATATATTTTTACAATTGAAGGTTCTTTCAGGTCAATTGTGAGTTCGTTCAACCATTTGGATCATCGCCTTTGCCATCAACAGTTTGTTCAGTCAGTCGCTTTCATTTGACCTGAAAAACTCGTTTACTGTACATTTAATTGTAGTTAGTTAGTTAATTTACGTGAATTAGATTGTTTGTAAAAATTAACTAACAATCAACTCACACACACAACCAAACATACAACAAGTAACAATCATCTAAATTCAAACAATTAACTTACACGGACAAAGTTTTTGCTCTTAATCCTCTCCAACATTAATCATCTCCATGGATCATGATACTAATTAATAATCTAGAGATGATGATGATTAATTCATCGTATATTATATTTAATTGTTATGATTAGTAACTAATTTTGTACTTTAATGTTTAAACAATTGTCACTAAAATAAATAAATGATTAACTTTTTTACCATCATTAATATTAAATTGGTTAATTAGTTTGCTTATTATTGATTGTTTATTATTTCTTGGTAAATATTAACCTGTTAATTTAAATTGTTGCACCTAGTTAATTAAATTAGAAGACGAGAGCTTGATTGTTCAGTTGATTGTTTTGTATTTTTTTCAACCAATTTACTAACAATAATAATAACAATCTGTTCAAACAATTAACAACTTCAAATAATAATAACAACAATCAGATGATGATTATTATCACTTTACAATTGAATTGAATTGAATTGAATTGAATTTAAATTGATTGAAAACATTGTTAACCTTCAAAAAGTTGAATCTATGAAAAATTTTGATCATTTACTTAATTGTATCTTAACAATAAACTTGATTTAATAATTGTAAACAACTGATGGTTAATTAATTGCGAAACAATTGTTTCATTGAGTTTTTTTCAATCCGTTAATTGTTTTGAAAGGTTAAAATAAATACGAAATATTAACCAATTGATTTTACAATAAGACTAATTTACTTTAATTAAGATGGAAAACAAAGTTAATTGATTACACAGTTTAATAATAATTGTCAGTTATCATCGTTATCAACAATTTAGGTTGCTAATTAAATTGACAAGTTGATTGTTGTTGTTGTTGTTGTTTCTGGTTAACTGATAATCAAAATTGATCAACTGTTTGTTGTTGTTTTGTTTCAAAATTTGATTTGACATTGACCTAAAATTGAATGATTAAAATAGTAACAAAAATAGACTACAACTCATCCTTATCTTCATCCTCATCCCAATCATCATAATCATCATAATCATCATCATCATCCTTGAATTGATTTAGTTAATGAATGAAATAAGGATTAACCTTGCACACATGTAAAAGTAAACTAGAAACCACCAGAAAGGTTAATCCATTAAGACGATGGATAAACATGTGGCGAATTAGATTTAGCTAATCAATGGGAAACAATTAGTTTATTGTTACAACAATTCTCGCCGATAATTCCGACTCCGGTGCTGATTAAGAAGGAGAAGAAAAAACCATCCTCTCTCTCACACAATTTCTGTCTCTCCTTAGGCTTTTAAATCCATAAGCTTAACGGATTAACCCAAATTCTGGTTCCAAATTAGGTATTTCTTTTATGATTATATGGACCATTATATTGGTAAATTGTATTGTAACAATTTAAATTTTTCTTTTTTTTCTGGTGAGAATGAAATTGTTGTTATATTTACCAAACTGATTTAACACTTAACCAACAATGTTTGATTGTTGATTAAGTCCAAATAGTTAAGTGAAAGAAGTAAAAAAAATGTAAACATTGAAGTGAAAAAAAAAGTTTTCTCCTTGTAAATTACCATGAGAAAAATGAGAATCAGTTAATCAACAATATCTAAATTGTTTTACTAATCACTGTCGGAAATTATTATTAGATTAATTTCCTAGAAAATTATATTCTAATTATAGTAAAACTATAATTTCATTGATTAGTTTAATAATAATCAGCGGAAAAGTAATCATACCATGAAAATGAAATGAAGAAAAAAAAAGTTTGATTAGTAAGGGATAATCAATTGATTCTTATGTTGATTAACATCCCAAATGTTATATATTAAGGTTATTATGATTATTTGATCATGTGGAACGATATTTATTATCAGTTTCTCTTTCTTTCTCTCTTTCTTATCATCTCTGTCTTTATCATCATCATCTTCTTGTGCCTTAGATTGAATCACTGGGCGAAAACACAACGTGATTAAGTTTATCTCTCTCTCTCTCTCTCTTTCTCTCTCTTTCGGGAATTTTCACCCTCAGGGTAAAGTTTAGGGACTAGGACTCTGAAAATAAGATGATGATGAGAAAGAAGATGAGGATGATAAAAGATGATGATGATGATGAAGAGGAAGATAACAAGGGCTAAGTTAAGAGACACACTTCGCTCTAGGAGTAACCAGTTTTTTTTACCTTGATAAGGTTAAGATGATGATGATGATCATCATCATCATCTTTATCATCATTAAAGAAAGAGGATAAAAAGAAAGTAAAATGCTTTATTTGGATGACCTTTTCATCTTCCTCATCCTCATCATCTCTTTGTTGTGTAAGGTTAAGATTTTCGGTTAACAATTGAAAAGAAAACTGTATTTCTATGGTTAACCAGAATTTTTTCAATTCTAATTGTTTAACTTTTCCAATTTTATTTTATTTTGATAATTTTTCTCCTCATTTTCTAATGTGATTAAATTGTGACTTGTACGTTTACAGTTATCATTATGATGAGTATTAAGATTAGTTAATTGTGATGCTTTGATTGTAACAATCGACTGAACAATTTGATTCCGTCTTAATCAATATCTTATCATGAAGTAGTTGAAAAGACTGACATAAGAAAGACTAACAATTTATTTCTTAATCATGATAATTTTAAAACCATCAGTTGATTTAACAACTGATCATTATTATTAAGGGATTTTAATCATGATAGAAAAAAAAATTGAGAAACTTTGATCATCTTCATGATGAATTTAACAATAAATTATTATAATCATTGAACCGGCAGTTATCACGATGATGATGATGATTAAAATACCAATAATCAGTAACGAGTTAAACCAATCCCTTAATTGTGATCGAAATCTAAATTATGACAATGAGCTGAGATATTGAACAAGTCGAGTTCTAACCTACATTCGAGAAGAAAAAAAATTCGTCGATGAACTTTTTCTTCCTCGTTCACCTTTTCGTCTAAACAGAAACAACAAACTCCAAGTTGAACTTTTCTTTCTTTCTCTTTCTTTTTCATAAATCGATAAAATTACATGGGCATGAACTCTCTCAGTCTCTCTCTCTCTCTCTCTCTCCTGTGGAGTTCATACTTGGAAATAGAATACTAGGTCAAATTGTTACAATCGATAAATTGTAATTAGAATGATAATCAGTTAAATTGTTGACGATTGTTGTTGGTTGAAAAAAGATTCAATTTAACCTTAAGAGTTGATGTTAAAGATTAAGATTATAATGATAATAATAACAAAGCAAAGGTCAACGGTAGATGATGATGATGATAAAATGAAGGGTCAACCAACTTCCGGATGAAAATAATCATCTTAAGCATATCCTTTATAACATTAGCATCTTCATCATCAAATGACAACAATCAGTGAACCAAAATATAAGATGGAAAAGACAATTTAATCAAGAAAGAATCAAAGAAATTGTTGACACCGTTTTTTTCTCATCATCAATAAGGTATTCTCAAGATGATGAGGATGATGTTTGATAGAGAGAGAGAGAGAGAGAGAGAGAGAGAGAGAGAGAGAGAGAGAGAGAGAGAGAGAGAGAGAGAGAGAGAGATTATATTTATCATCTTCATCGTTTTGATATAAATAATTTTCCATTGTAAACATTAAACCATTTCAACTGATTGAATTGCGAAACGATAATTAATTTGATAAGTTAATTAATCGGCGGAGAAAAAAAATTGAACATTTAAAGCGAAGATAAAATTGGAAGCGACATCTTTGTAATGGTAGAGAAAGAAAGAGAGATGATCGAGTGGAGAGAGAGAGAGAGAGAGAGAGAGAAATAAGCTCACTCTTTGGACACGATGATAAAGAGAGAAAGAAAGAAAGGAAAAGAGAGAAGAAAAGAAAAGAGAAATAAAGAAGAAAGAGACTAGAGAAAGAAAGATAAAGAAGAAAAAATTGAGGGAGAATTTGAGTGAAGAAAGAGAAAGAAGAAGAAAAAAAGAAGCAGAAACAGAAGAAGAAAAAGAGAAAGAGAAGAAGAGAAAATAGAAAGAGAAAGAAAGAGAATCGAATGAGTGAGATGATGGGAGAGTCTTGGGTAAGCTCTTTCTTTCTCTTCATTTCTCTTCAAGCTGTTACTCAAACCTGGTTGGTTTTTTTTTCTTTTCTCATCATCATCATATTTTCTTCTCTTCTTTGTTTTAATCTTCTTCTTCTGTGTGTGTAAATGATACACACAGTGAGACCCACCGTCTTATCTCCAATGCCCTCGACTTCACCCGCCGGTGGAGGAGGTGCCAATGGATTATCCACCATTAATCCACACAAGGAATTGTTTGATGCTTGTCGGATTGGTAACATTATGAAAGTGAAAAAATTGATCAACAAATCGAAATTGGAAAATATTAATTGTCGTGATTCTCAAGGGCGCAATTCAACACCCCTTCATCTGGCAGCGGGTTATAACAACATCGAAGTGGCCGAGTACCTTTTAAACAAAGGTGCTGATGTCAATGCACCCGACAAAGGTGGACTCATACCTCTTCACAATGCAGCTTCTTATGGGTAAGTCTTTTTCCTCTCATTTTCTTTTCTGTTTTTGTTTTTTCTTTTTTTTCTTTATTCAGGTTGAAATATATTAGTGACCAGTAACATCTTTTATCTTCATCTTTTTTTACATCTTTTCCCTCCCTTTGGTTTTCTACTTAACTATTACCCTCTCCCTCACATTTCCTTCCTTGCTTAGTTTCTCTCTCTCTCTCTCTCTCTCTCTCTCTCTCTCATCTATCATCCTATTTCTTTTCCTTTCTTTCTTTCTCTCTTCATCTTTGAGCAGATGAAAATGAACTTAGATTAAGCTAAGATAGTAAAGATATTATCAGTTTGGTGAATGAAAATGATGGATAGAAAATTAGAAAAACAATAAATTACGTTTTATATTGTTACTCCATTTTGATTAAATCAATCTAATTAAACTCTCTTTCTCTTTGGTAATTGTTTCAATCAGATTTGTTTACAAAGCCACTCCAGTCTCTCTCTCTCTCTCTCTCTCTCTCATTTCTTTTAATCATCTTACTTTCATTGCGTAAAAATAACTAATATTGTTTTTTTATTACTTTTCTTTTTTTTCTCTTCATCTTCTATGATCTAATTTACTTCAATTATCAGTCATTTAGATATTGCAGCTTTACTATTGAAACACAATTCTCAAGTTAATGCAACCGATGCATGGGGATTCACACCGTTACATGAGGCTGCACAAAAAGGACGAACTCAATTGTGTGCCTTATTACTAAATCACGGTGCTAATCCACATTTAAAAAATAACGATGACCAAACAGCCCTTGACCTCGCAACAGCGGAGGATGTCCGTTGTCTCCTTATGGATGCAATGGCAACCAATGTATCAGTCACTTCAACTAAAACCTCTCCCATTTCAAAAGTAATCACTACCACTTGTACCTCCACCTCAACCACCACAGGCTCAGGCTTACACTCGTCAACACCCTCATCATTACCATCTTCATCTTTATCCACCACACCCACACCAAACGGATTAAACATCACAGAGGAAATCGGTGAAATTGTTATCAAAAATATAACCAATGATATTATCGACACCATTGTCAACAACAACGTTATTAACAATCTTGATAATGATTCCAAGACTAAGATTATCAATAATGTCGTTAATAACAACAACATCAATAACATCAACAACAACAACAACAATAATAATAACAACAACAACAACAATATCAATAATAATAATATCATCACCAGTCAAAATGATAAAGTGAATAATAATAATAATAATATCATCACTCTGAATGGTAAAAGTGCCAACGGTGTTATTAAAAACAAGACAATTGACGGAATCATCGCTGAAGTCAATGGTACTTGTATTAAAACCGTTGAACCGGTAAAAGGATCAGCTTCACCAACATCATCTTCGTCTTCATCTTTCTCATCATCGTCTACATCATCATCTCCAGTTTCCATGACTAAATTAGATTACAATGTGCCTTCCGCCCTTAACCTACTTATTTCTCAACGAAACTCTGCCAATGTCAATGGTGATGTTTCCTCATCCTCCAGTGGGTTAGGACACTCCTCCAAGGCTGATGGTGGAAATGGTAACAATGGTAACAATTTAAAGAAAACATTTCCCTCTCTGACTAACTACATGTTACCTGGCTCGACGCCACAAATTGCTATTAGCTCATTCTTGACTAACCTTGGACTTGAGTGTTTGATTGAACTTTTTGAAAGAGAACACATAACCAGTGATATTTTAGCAGAAATGGGTCACGAAGAGTTAAAACAGATCGGTGTTACCGCTTATGGCCATCGTCATCGTCTATTGAAAGGAATTGAAAAGTATCTTCTATCAAATCATTTATCCTCATCACCTCATAATCCTGAATGGTTTTTCATGTTACTCATTCCAGCCACTTCAGGAACCATTTTGATTGACCTATCATCCAATGATGCTGAATACAAGTTGGTTGAAGATGAGATGCAAAGTACCATTCGAGAACATAAAGATGGAGGTGCGGCTGGTGGTGTTTTCACCCGATATCACGTAATCAAAATTGAACGAATCAGTAATCGTAAACTTTGGGAAAGATATTTACATCGTCGCCAAGAGATTTGTGAAGAGAATCATTTATACGCCAATGAGAGGATGCTTTTCCATGGGTCACCTTTTATCAATGCCATTATTCAAAAAGGTTTCGATGAAAGGTATGCTTATATTGGCGGTATGTTCGGAGCGGGAATCTATTTCGCCGAGAATTCATCTAAAAGTAATCAATACGTTAATGGTATTATGGGTGGAAACGGATGTACTGCCCATAAGGATCGATCTTGTTACTCCTGTAAACGTCAATTACTCCTTTGCCGTGTTGCCCTTGGTAAATCATTTTACCATTTTAGTGCTCTTAAAATGGCCCACGCCCCACCAGGCCATCATTCCGTTGTGGGAAGGCCAAGCGGCGGTGGATTATCATACCCAGAATATGTTGTCTATAGAGGTGAACAAGCGTATCCTGAATACCTAATAACATACCAAATTGTCAAACCTTAATCAATCATTTTTCCATCTTTTAATCATCAATTCTTAAACACCAACAACAAAATTACATCCTAAAAACATCATTCTCATCATAATCATCAATTTTAATTCTCAAATGAATTAAAACAAGTTAAGCAAAATCTAATTAACAATTAATATATATTTATAAATAATTATTATAGTACTTTTATTGTAAATAGATTATATCAAATTTAAAGATTTATATAAATATGAATATATTATATATAAGTTATATACATATCACACATTCACATGAAGATTTATATATATATATTAATTGATTGTAATTAAAATCACCGAATGATTTTAATATTGATGACAATTGACAACTATTGATAATTAACCGCAAAAACCGCTTCAAGTATCTCACCTTGCGAGTTGATTTGTAGAGGTAAATAATATAATCCCCATTTGATTGTAATTGTTTTGTGCGATTTGATTGTTATAATTAATTGTATTTTCTTTTCTCTTCTTTTAATTAATAGGTAAAGCCAAGGACCTTTTGATTAAATTAATGATTAGACAACAAAAAATAATAACATTGCCATTGGAAATGACAAAAAAAGGGATTGGATTGAGATTAAAAATGATCCTGTTTACTATAAATAATGATTGATTGGTGATTACAGTTTGTCCTGATTACAATTTCATCAACATCATCCTGAAGGAGGAGGAGGAGGAGAAGGATGATGATAATAAGAAAGATGAGAAGGAAGAGGAAATATCAAGCTATCTGCCAATTCTGGATTCCAACGAAGTCATTGAAATGTTCATCTGTCAAATATCAATATCGTTGTTATCATAGTTTATATTCACTGTTTTCTTCTCTCCCTTGCCCTCTCTCTTTGCTCTTACCCACTGGATGCCAAAAGATGATATTGAAAGAGTGGCTAAACTGACAACTCTCTCTCTCTCTCTCTCTCTCTCTCTCTCTCTTTCTCTTTTATCGCTATTCCTAAATTTTCCTTCACTTTCCCTGGTGTATGAAAAAATATTTATCTTCAACTCTCGATTGATGCTGGTCAGCTCGTTGGCTTCATTTCTATTCTCTCTCTCTTTCTTTTACCCTGATATATTTTTTATCATCTCTTATTTCTTTTTCTTCTTAGTCTTCATCTTCTCTTTCTTTCTATCCTCCTCTTTTCTTCTCTTTCTTTTTCCTCTCTGGTCAATCCTAATACCTGCTTCTTTTGATTATAGCTGCTTCTCCTGCTGCTCACGGCTTGGTAGACAAGAATGCATTTTAGTAACAAAGTCAACAAGCACCTCTCTCTTTCTCTCTCTCTCTCTCCCTTTATCTTCCCTCGCTGTGTTCTCTCTTTCTCTTTCTCTCTCTCTTCTCATCTTCTAGTTTCTCCTCCCATCAATCATTGAAAAAAAATAACCTGTTCCTATGATGATGAGGAACACAAGCAGCAAAGCAACAGAAAAGTAAAAAACTAAGCAAAATAAACGCAAAGTAATGTGATGATGATGACGATGAAAGAGGAGACACTAGAAATGGTCCATTTTGTAAGAGTCCAAGAGAGAAAGAGAAACAAGTTAAAGAGTTTGTATTACCTGGACACACAAATTCCGCTTCCTTGCCTAATGATAATGAAACATTTCCTCTCTCGTTCATCATCATCATCATCATCTCTTTTTAGGTAAATTATCATTATCATAATTATCCAGGTTATAATAACCTAGACTCTAAATCATTATCATCTTAACCCTTTCACTTACTCAACTCACAATTTAAAAACTCTTCAATCACACAACTCACTCATGATGATGATCATCATCCCATTTGTTTCTAAAAAAAATTCTGATGATGACCAACATTCAATTCTTTCCCTTTTTCATTCGCTGAGCGAAGCAAAAGAAAGCAAAAAATAATTCTACCTGTAAATTTACCTCCATCTCCATCTCCATCATCATCTTTCCATTGTTTCCCCTTTCATCATCATCATCATCATCTTTTCTCTTCCTTCCTTCCTCCCTCTTCCACTCCAATATATAATATATATTATTATTATTATTATGATTAACTAAATTGTAAGCTTGTTGAACAAATTTATGATTTAACTAAATTGATCATAGACTTACACCATAGACACACCACAATATTCAACAACCACACACAAGAAAAAACCACAACCTACACAATTAATAAATTGGAAAAATTAAATTGTATTTTTTTGACAAAAGAGTAAAAAAGAAACTGTTTCTTTGTGAAATCTTAATTGTTACCACGATTTATTTAAAATGATTAACTTTCCATCGGAAAATCATCTGTGAAATTATTTCATTAACAATTAAACTGATTGAAAACGAGGAAACTAAAACAATTAAATTTGATTTCCAAGGTTAATCAACAATAGTTAATAAAAAAAAACTATTTAAAGGAAATCAGGGAATCGTTTACAAATGCGATTACGTAAAAAATTAATAATCAGATTGATTTACAATTAAAAATCAATGGTAATTGTTACTTGTTAGTCACGATCAATATTTTACCATCGCAATCAATTAAAAATTGCAAAGCAAAAGCAGCAAACAATTAACTAGATAAACAAGAAATTACAATTAATAGTAACACCTTAAAAGGAAATCACAATTATTGTCAATAAACATCAACAATTAATGGAACTAATTTCAATGACAAAGCAACAATTTAATTTTAATTGTTGTTCGGGCACAAAGTATCCAATGTGATTGTTTTTAATTGCCCGGGTAATTTTTAATTGTTGGAATTGGAAACTAAATATTTGAAGAGAAGAAGTTTTTTTTTGTTAATTGTTGATGTTACTCATTAATAGAGGAAAATGAGAAGTTGAATTTAATCAATAATGATTAATGATTTTGATTAAGATTAACCTTGTATTAACCTTGTAGGTGAATTAGTTACACTAATCACGATTGTAAATAATAAATTGTTATCAATGGTAATTACAATTAATATCAATTTTGTCATTAATTCATTTTTCCTCTTTTAATTGTTGTTATCTTTTTCATTTCTTTCAGTAATTAATTATGTTTCTTGATTAATCGGATTATAAACATTTCTATTTAATAGATTGCATGTTAATTGCTATTGATTTTTTTCAATTAACTTGGATAATTGTTATGATTTGATTGCTGTGCATATGATGCTCCAAGTTTTATATTTCCATTTCAATTATCAATTATTGATAATTAATCAATAAGACTTGTGACTCTTTGATGGGTTAATTGTTGGAAAGGATAATCAGTTGTTTGAATAATTGTCACTGAAAGCCTGTAATTAACAAAAGTTTCATATGATACATACAAATACTAATAACATGTTCATTGATTAATCATGATGAGTAAAAAAATTGCTTGATAATAGCAAATTATCAATTAATTGGTTAGTTAGCAATCATGATAATATGAAATAATGTCATTAATGTATGAAAGTGACAAAGTAACATAAGATTGTTACTTTGTTAATTAGTTTGACAAGTTAATTGGAAAAGGTTGAAGAGTTCAAATGGAAATGTTTAAATGGTAAATTAAACAACAGGTATATCTCACAGGTAGAGAAACATATTAAACGCCAGGAAATGTAAATCAAATCATAATTTGGACGCTAATTACAGTTACAACGCTCTAATTATGATGAATCCATTTCGATATTAATTAAAATCACTTCTCTTCCTCTTTCTTTCCTTCCAGCGGAAAATTGATAAAACAACAAAATTAAAGTCTTATAAATCACATAGAGGAAGAAGACGAAAAAATTAATATATTAATATAAGAATCTCAAGAGATGATAATCATCGTCATGAATCGAAAAGCAAATGGAAGATGAACAAAAGTCATGACTATTATTCTGGGTGAGTCCAAATTCACTGCAAAGGTAAAGAAGAAGAAGAAGAAGAAGAAAACAAAATATGAATAAAAGATCCATAAAAAAAAGAGATTGGATGTATAATTAAAAATCGTTTTCCTATGAAAGATGGAGAAAGAAAATAAGAGAGAAGAAGTAGTAAAAAGAGAGAAGAAACCAAAAAGATGAAGAAAAGGTCGATTGTAAAACTGTATGATGTTTTCTCCGAATGAATGAAGTTGAATGAATGAAAAAGCTTCACAAGTTACTAAACTTCACCTCAATTCTGTGAATACTTGTTGGCGCCACACTTATTGCTTTTTCTTTCTTCTAAGACTCTTTCTTTTCTTACCTTTCTTCATCTTCATCTTCTCCTTTTTTATCATCTTCTCTTGGTCGTTCTCTCCCATTTACCATTGCCTTTTATCATCCTCCTTGTTGTTGTTGTTGTTGTTGAATGGGTGGTTGAGAGAGAGAACCATTTTATCGGATGAAAACTCCCATTAAAATGAATGCAGCCCATTGATGGAACAATCTCAATGTAGATTTCTTTCTACTTTTCCCTGGTTCCTTTTGAGTCCTTTTTTCTTAAGAAAAATTGGATAGAAGAAAAAAAAGAAAATGATGATGATGATGATGAAGACGATGAAAAGAAAGTGAGATAGAAAAGGAAGAAAGGAAAGAAATGGATGATGAAGACAAATAACATCAATAGTAACCAGAGGCTAAAAGGAAAGTAACATCATAAGAAAAAAGAAAAAATCATAATAATAAAATAATAACAAACCTTGAATGATTCAAATGAAGTTGATTATGATGATTACTATGAATTGATGTCCTTTTTACGTTAATCGTCATCAAAATGTAAATTATAACTTGATTGTAATTTAATGTTTACAATTAACTATTATGTTGAATATCACAGAGACTTGAATCGTATTAAGATTTTGTTATTTCGACTTGAATTTTTTTCCCCTTTGATTCTAATCATTTTCTCCGTGATTGTAACAATTATCTGTAATTAAGACAACATTCATTAGTTAATTTGATTTAAATTAATACCTAGTACATGTTATTTAATTATAATTCAAGTAGATTTGATGTACTATCAAAATATCAACAAGAAAAAACAATCAACTTGATATTAAGTTTTCTTGTTTGTCTCTTGAAACTCAATCGATTTGTCTTTAATGGATTGATATTTGTTATTTTGATTAACCTTTCAACAATTAAAGTTAATCTCTTCAATCATTCATCATTTAAGATCTTCCATTTCATTTACTAGAAGTAAAAACGATTTAAAATCTCAATTTCTCTTCTTCTCATAAGTAATTTGATGACAATTGACAAATGATACGAAACATTGCAAGAGTAAAATGAACACTTTGATTGATCAAATTTCTCACAACTCAACTTACCTCAAACGATTTGATTGCCCGTAATTATTACTAATTATAAACATAATCATCAGCATTTTGTCATCTTTTTATCTTCGTCTGATATCTTGAGCCATCATTTGAATTATGATTGAGTAGATGAAGGTTAGAATCAAAGCTAAGGATAGAAAATGAAAAAAAAAGAGTAACAAGAATGAAATTGATCCTTTTACGTGGAGAAAAATTTTATCTTCATCTTATTATTATTAAATTAGTTGATATCTAATTACCATTCATCAGCATTTTCGTTTTTCTCATCAAAATTTAACCAAAACATAATTTAAACGTAATTCAATCATCATCCTAATCAACAGAACAATTTGTTTTCCTTTCAGCTCCTTGATCATTTTTCTGTGTATTTTGTTTGGTTATCCTTCATCTCTATGTGGTTATGTATTTTACTGTAATTGATGTTGATGATTTACTGATGGTGATTAAGTTGATTCAACAGATAAAGATTGATTGTTAATCATAGAGTGAAAATAACTATAGAGATCAAGGGTTAATCACAAAATCCATCAATGAAATTAATCTATTGAGAAACAAAGTGTCTTAGGCCTTGGATATTTTGTTTATCTCTCTCGCTCTTTTCCGATTTGTTTGACCACCATTTTAAAGATGAGGATGAAAAATAAGAAGAAGATGTTGTTGGTGATGAAGATGATGATGTGAAGAGTGATGAGGATGGAAAAGGAAAGAAGAAAAAAAGATTTAAATGAAAGATGAACCTGGAAGATAAAGAAAAATAAGAAGATAAAGTTAGAATGAGAGAAACAACAAAAGATAAGCTTTAAGTGTATGAACAAGTAGAAAAGGTTATCATATGATAAATCTCAGAGAAAGATGAATACATAAGACTTACCTTTAATCTTTCATCTTAATCATAATTATCTTTTACCGGTCATTAATTTTGTCTCAAATATCTAATGTTTGTGTTAAAACGAAACAATTAACATTCAAAACAAAAATCAAACTTGCAACTTTAATCAATCACTTGGTCCACTTTGATACAAGCAGCTCCATCCAATGGAGACCAGATTAATTAATGCTAAAAAAATCAACAGATTTAAACTTCAACAATTAGGAAAATTAGAAAACAATTAAATGATATTGAATTGTAACAATAGCAAAGAGATGAACAAAATTGATTAACTTACATTTGACATCATCAAATTTAACCAGTTGACATTGATAACTATTGAATTTTCCAATTGATGATTTAGAATGAAAGATAATCAGGTAGTTTGTTTCTTTCTAATTGTTATAAATTGCAAAACAAATTAAATCAGGTCGAGGTAAATACAATTGTAGAAGAAGATGAAAAGATTAAACTAACCATAGAAAAAAAGAACAAAAAAAAAAGGTTTATTGACACAACTCATTCTATTGAATCTCTTATTGTTAATCATGAAATGGTAAAAGTAGTAATCAAAACTTACCATTAATAGTAAACAATTTGAATTTTGAATGAACCTTGGCCTTGTTTCCGGAACAATTAACTAGATTATCAGGTAAGAATTAAAAAAAAAACAACAAGAGTTAATAGTTTCCAATGACAAAACGACACAGAATAAAAAATGAACCAAACAAGTTAATTGATGAGAACAAGAAAACAAATAAAAAACAATCAGAATGCTGATTGATTGTTGATGATTAATTAGAATTGAACAAGTGAAAGATGTTAATTTATCTGAGAATCAACCACAAGAATCAAGATGAAGAAAATGCTTGAGGTTAAAGAAGAAGAGAACTAATTGTTTTTAGAATTGGAAGGAAAAAGTAACTCATGTAAGTGATAAAAAGAGAAAAAAGAAAACCAAAAATTCGAATTCTCTTTTAGTTGGTTTGTTGACGTTTCTCTTTCTCTTGTTTCTATTAGTTGATTATCTGATTGTCGTTAATCGTCTCGTCGTCTAGTCTCCAGTCACCTTAATCCCTTTTTCTCCACTGACCGGGCCAACCTTAATTCTCAAAGCTTTTAAATTACTTGGACTTGTCTGTGTTTCTATCTGTTTACCTTATCGATTCTCTGTCTACCTCTTTCTTTTTTCTTCTTTTCTCTTTTAATTTTTTTTTTCTCACCAAAAAGTGTTTTCTTTTTACTCACTCGGCTTCATTTCTATTTTTCTCTTCCTTTCGTCATCAACAATTTTCTTTTTCTTCTTCTCTTTCTCTATCATCATTCTACCTAAAACTCCCTCTTTATCTCATCTTCATCTTCTTTCTGTTTTTCGTCATCTTCATCTTCTCCCAAACTCTGGGCTACTTGTTGTCTTTCCACTTGGAGTTGATTTGTTTTCCTCATCATCTCATCATCTCAACATCATCTCATCTTTTCCCTTGAAATTTTATCCCATATGTGTTATTGGTGCTCTTTTTTTTTGGTAATATCTTCGCATGGATGATAATCAACAATTGATGTTAAAAAGAGTAATAATATAATATCATATTATTAATAGAAGAAACTGTATAATTTAAAGTGTAAAAAATGGCCTCAATCTAATTCTGTCTTTTTTTTTACTTCTAATAATCAACATCATCTTTAAACTATTCTTTTTCTTTTTTCTTCTTCTCACCGTCATCATTTCTCATCTTCCTCAAAATATCATCAAAATTTTGCTTCTTCTTCTTCTTTTTAATCCTGTCTTCTTTTCTTCTCAGTGTGTATACTGGTTTACCTGGTCTCTTGTACTTTATTGATGACAAATCTTCTCTTTCTTTTGAGGTGGTGATTGAGAATAAATTCTTTTCTCTTCTTTTATTATCTCTTTTTTTGTTCTTTACATCAAACACCAGTAACAAGGTTAAAACGGTTAATTTGGTTAACTGTTTTTCTTTTCTTCTATTCTATTTTCTATTCCATTTGAATTGCAAACAAAAAGTAATCAAAGTGTATCCATCAATTTGTTGTGCTTCTTCTGGGTTTTATCCCATCACCATGTTACTTTTTTTATTCATCGTGTTATTATTGACCGAAGGAAGTTACCAGAAATGTTATGATGATGATTTCGTTTCCAATGGACATCATCTTTCAGATAGTCCATCTAATTATTCACGTTCCCTCATCTCTGGGTTACAAAAATTTTCTTTTGACATTTTACGTTCTCTTCATAACTTTGAATCTAAAGACTCATCGCCTGGATTAATATTAAGTCCATTCTCAATCTGGTCTGCTCTCCTTGTTTCCTACATGGGTGCTCGCCATGAGACTGACCGTGAGTTAAGGTCAGTATTGGGGTTGAACAATGTTCCCAAACATGCTGTTGGTATGGCCTATCAAGGGTTACGTTTTTGGTATCAATTGAAGAAAAATGTTTCCCTCGTATCAAAGGAACCATCTAAAAAGATGGCCTACTCGATTGCTAATAAGATTTTCATCAATGATGCACTTACACTTAATGATTGTGTCAAACAACATTTCGCAACGGAAGCCGCTTCGATGGATTTCACCTCAGATCCTGGATCAGCTCGTCAGGCTATCAATTCATGGATAGAAGAGGAAACTCATGGTAAAATTAAAGATCTTATTCCAGTTGGTGGTGTTACTCAGTGGACGACAATCATTATCGCCAATGCGCTCTATTTTCACGCTAAATGGTACAATCAGTTTGATTCAGCGAAAACTGAAGTTGGAACTTTCCATGTTACCCCTGCTGAGTCAATTAAAATTCCCTTCATGAAATTAACCGCCAATCTTATGTATGGTGTTAGTGAAACTCTTAGATGTACAGTATTGGAACTTCCATATGCTAATCAAGATTTCTCCATGTTAATCCTTCTTCCTGATCCATCGAAAGGTGTTGATTCGTTGATTCGTCAGTTGAAGCCCAGTCATTTGGATGATATTGTGTCCAACATGTTTGACGATGAAATTTCCGTCGTTTTACCAAAATTCAAAGCTGAACAAGAACTGGAACTTGCTGGTCCCTTGTACTCAATGGGAATTAAGAAATTGTTTGACCCACGATTTGCCGATTTATCCGGTTTCTTTCAACCAAATCCTCCAGCGTCTTCTTCACCTCCAACAGTTTCTAAAAATGTTAAAAGTAAAAATTCAACATATGATTTCAAATTGTCGACAAAAGGAGTCACAGTTAATTCAGTTGTACACAAAGTATTTATTTCAGTTAATGAAGAGGGAACTGAAGCTGCCGCGTCAACAGCTATTCTCATCGCCCGATCAGGTCGACCTGCTTTTCCAACGCGATTTGTTGTCAATCGACCTTTTCTCTTTCTAATTAGAGACACAGCAACAAATGTCATTCTTTTCATTGGAATCGTTCGAAGGCCTGGTGAATAATTAATCAGCTAATTGTTAATTAAAATGCTGCAATCACTTTTCACTCATCTTCGCCTTCATCATCATCTTGAAACCCATCAAACAATTACGACAAAAGATGACACCAACATCATTCATCAATAATCAACATGTACTTATCTTCATCAATCTTCATCATCATAACAATTACTTAATGATTGACTAATTTCTTGGTCAATCTACTGTAAATCTTAATTGTGATCCTACATATAAATACGTTAAAATTAAACCTTTACAAACGAAACTGCATGATTGTTATGGACAATTAAACTCATTGCAATTGAAATTTTCCATTTGTCCTTATGTAACTAAATTGTTTAATTAAGCTACTTTTGTAATTGACAATTAGTGACCACCCAACAATTTAGAGATTATGTAAAAAAAATTACCTTAATTATGTTTAATCTTATTGTTTTTGTAAAAGGTTAATCAGAAATCTCATTCCCACTATTTGTGTATTTCCAAGTAATTATTAATTATTAATCTCTCAAAAATTGTAATTGATTTAGAACAATTTGTTAATAACTGACGATTAATTAATTTGCAAATGTGAAATACTATTTATCAATTTTTGAAAACTTCCAAGTGATTACCTTAATTAAAAACAATCAACAAACATCAATATCGTTTCCCATTAATTTCAATGTTAAACATTTACCTTGATTTTAATCAGCTGTTAATAAGAAATCAGATCAACAATTAACCGCGCAGATGAAAAAACGAATCAACAATCAGCCCTGATACTTGGTAATCAAATGAATTAACTGATTACCCTTGAGTGAGTATGATGGTTAAATCAGAATTAGAATAGAGGAAAAAAAATGATCCCTTAATTAGCTACAAACAATTAAATCATTTTCTTTACAGATACAATTTGATTCTGTTGATTTGATCAACCAAATCGTTGATTAAGGTTGAATGGTCTGTAAAATTGAACAAAATCCAATCAAAGTGCTTTTTTCTTGATTGTAATACAATTACATCTTATTGTAGCAATCAAATTTACCTCAAGCTAATTAATGTTGGTAAATTGTTACCAATTAATCAAAATGACGAGAAACAGGTAACCGAAATTTGTTTTAATTGTTTGACAACAAACACTTGAATACATTTCCAATTGATACCAACACCTATCAAAGAATCATAATAATCCTGGTTTGTCCAGAAATCTTAATTGTTGACGTTAATTGTTGATGTTAATTGTTGATTTAATGACAAATTGTTCGGGAAAAAAGATTCTGGTTTTCTGGTTTCAGTGATTAAATGAAAGCCCAATGGAGTGTGGGGGTTTCATTTAGGAAACAATTCTGAGCTCAAGTTTAAGGGGAATTAAAAGGAAACAATTAACAAACAATCAAATAAAAGTAAATTAATCATTAATTAAGTTTCGTTTTAATTTTATTGACAACAATCAATAACTTCCAATGGATAAGTTTACATGTTTGTTTGAAGCTTCATGTTTGTACAATCAGTTTGTAAGAAAAATACATCAATTGGTGATTTTAATTTAGTTAATTGTTGATTGTTTGGACTCTTTGAGGGTTAATTGTTGTTTCCAAAGGCCCTTAGCGTCCCCACATCGGGGGTGAGGGATGACGGAAGCCAATTCCGCCGCCATAACCGTAATAAGGAAAGTAAAGCGAGTAGCCGATGCTGAAGGCGTTTGATGTTCCCATGGAGAGAATCACAATTAAGGAAACAATTGTTAACAATTTAACGACCTGTTTATGATGAGGATTTTAAGGGAAATCAATTTTAAGTTAATTGTTTAGAAAAATAGAGTTTTGTTTCGAGGGTAAATTACTTTTCCATTAGTCTTTCGGATAAAACTGATCATAAAAGATCAACAATCGTTGTGATTGACAATTCAATCAATTATATGGTCACAATTAACTTGGATTGTTTTACAATTAAGGGGAAACAAGGATCTATGGAGGACAATTAAATCTTTTACTTACCAAATTTTGAGAAATCATGATTAACTTGATCACTTTTAAGTTTCAATGGAATAAGTTTCAACTAATTTTCATTAACTGGACAATCAACAATTTACTGACCATTTATATACTTTTATTAGGATTTGCTTGACAAGTGGACTTGAACTGACCTCACCCAGGGAAACTAATTACAACAATTAATTAATATTTACATTAGTTTAATAGTCAACTAAATTACAGAAATTGTTTAATCAAAAGTGATGGTCAATTGTGTAACATCAAATTAATTGTACTGGTCATTTAAAGCATCATCCCCATAGGATATTGAAAAAATCCTAAGATTGTTCAAAATTAAAGCTAATTAACTAGTCAATTAAAAAATAATAATTTAATCAACTAAATTTCACCTGAAAAGTTAATTGTAACAATATGTTTATTATATTTGGGTGAACAATTCAACTCTAATTAAAATTGTTGACCTGTATCATTGATTATCATAAGGCTTTTAATTTAAATATTAAGAATAACATATTTATCAGTCTAATTAATTTACAATTTAACTAATCATCTAAACTGTTAATTTGTTTCTTATGATTAAAAAACAACAACAACAACAACAAAAGAGACAAAAATTAAGATTAACAATTAACTTTGGATTATTTATTCCTGGTTAACTGAATTCACAATTAACTGTTTAACTTGTCAAGCTTATCAATTGTTTCAATACAACAATTAATTGTTCTGTTAACCTTGTTAACAATTAAGCAACGAATTGAATATCTGACATGATGATTTCGTTTTTTTGATTTGGTTTCAAAAAAAAAAGATCAACAATTAACAAAACGGTTGATCGTTGCTAGAAAACCAATTGGACTATTTAAAGATGAATCGAATTGGTTAATTGTGATTGGAACCATTTCAAGTTCACTTTGGTTGATTGATGATACACAATAAATGTAAATAGAATCATTTGTTAATCATGATTAACTTTTTTTTGTTTTTATTTCATCTTGATTACACTCATGTGATAAATATTACGTTTTCAAACCGGGACTATTGTTGTGACTATGGCAAATTGACTTGAATACATTGAGATGTGATTTCCAAAAGGCCTAACTGATGAGGTCCCCCAAAGAATATTAATATTCACACATATTAGTTTTTTTTTCTTTCTTAAATCATTGAAATAACAAAACAAAACCAGGATAAAGAAAAAAAAACACATCATCTTGGAGAAAGCAGGAAAAATAGTAGAATATGATTAAGATTTTAAGTTACGATGTAATGAAGGTTCAACGTTACAAATAACCATATCTAGTAAATCTTGTATGACCTTATCTTTGGTACCGGCCACTTTTTTATGCATAGCATCCAATCTGGTTCGGGTTTCTTGTTCAATCTTTACTTGCTCGTCGTCCTTTGATCCCATGTGTTTCTTTTCATAGGCCGAGAAAGCATCTAACCTTTCTTTACGGAATTTCTCAATCTCAATGATCGCCTCTTCTTTTGCTTGTTTCAGTCTTCTTGCCTTTTTCCTTCTAGCCTCAGAGACCTGAATAAGAAAATGAACAAAAGAAACAAAAGAGAAATATGTACGTTTATAAGTATAATTATGTATATAGAATGAAGGTTAAATGGAAAAAGAATAAATTGAAAGATAAACAATCACTACTATTGGAGAAAATTAAATGTCAGAGAAAAAACATTTTCTTACCTTTTCAGCAGCTTTTTTCTCGGCATCAAGAAGCTTTCTGATTCCTTCTGATTGACTCGCCATTTTTGTAACTCTTTATACTTGGACAAGAGATCTAAGTAAATTTGGGACTAGAGATCAACTTGGGAATGTTAAGAAGGAGGAAGAGAAAATTAAAAACGCTAATTAGGTGTAAGAAATTTATTAACTTCTCAATGTCATTCACTGTCATCAAAACAACACCCAAATATTAACCAGAAAATTATAGAGTCGAATCGCATTACAGTGGCGACATCTCGTGAATTTTTCTTTCTTTTCTTCATGAGGGTTTGTTTACATTTTTGTTTTCTCGTTTCACTTTTTTTTTCTCAGTGATAATTAATTAATTTCTCAATTAACTAATCACAATATTTAACATTCTTTGTAATTGTAAGTAAAATTAATATTTTCGCATGTAACTCAAGGCTTTGTTTGCCTTAAAGGTTGGTGATTGATTCTAAATCGTTGGTTTTTTTTTGTTATTGTTTTGTTTTCTCTTTTAGGTTTGGTCTCGTTTCTGTTGTTGCTTTTTAATTGTTGTCATGGCGGGTTGGAAGACCGAAAGTCTCCGTGTTTTTGTGTACATTTTTTTCCCCATCGCCATGTTTAGCATCTACAATGAGCCTAAAATTTATGAGGCTACTTTGATGCCGTTTCGCAAGTTGCAAGTTGACACAGATAAACTTGAAAGAGAGGAACGAGATGCAATAATTAAAACATTGAATCGTCGGGCTTTAGATGAAGCTTTAAAGAAACGAGAAGATTAGTAAATTTAATGGTTTAATCGTCGCTGGTTTATGTACTTTTTTTTATATTAAGGTGCTACAAAAATTGATCCTACCGAGAGTAATTATAATTATAATTTTGACAATTTATTGTTAAGAAAATGTTTTAACCGTTAAAAAGGCCATTGAACCAACGGATGGATATTAATGATACTTCCTGTTTACTGTGGTACAATCAAAGAAGGAAATTAGACCTAAATTTTGGATTAATCAGTGGTCCCTGTTGTTCTAATATAAATTATCGTCATGATTATCTTATGAGTAAATTAACACCAATCTGTTAATTGGCCTCGTTTCACCTAAAGATTGAGGAATCACATGTTTATCAAAACAATACAAACCCTTACAATCATAAGCAACACTAAAAATAAAGTGATAAGCTAAATTATGTAAATTCAATTTAATTGTAAAGGGATTGTTGTGATAATTTTGCCCTTTTTTTACACACAATAGTGTTAAAAGCACACAAGTGATGTAAATATTAGCCTTAAATTAATAATTATAACTTGTTATCAACAAACAAACAAATTGATAATAGAAATTAATTTCATTTCTCTCTTCAGTAACCAAGGTAAGCTAGAGAATCAACTTGATTAGATCAAAATTTTCTAAACTAAATCAATTTAATCTTCAATCAGTCATTGATTCTAAAATTGGACAAATCAAAATGTTCAAACTTTCAACAATTTACTCTTTTACTTTGATTGTTTCCATAATTAGTTTACTAACTGTTCCAAGTTTTTGTCAACTTTTCACAAGAAGTCAAAATGGTGAGTTTAATTTTCTCGCTAATTAATGCAACAATTAACTTTGTCTTTTTCTTCAGTGTTCAACAATCTTTTATCACCGATGATCCCTCGATCAGAGTGTTACACTTCAGCTGACAATCGAGTGGGGTTATGTATGCCCAAAGCCGCGTGTTCGTCCACCGGTGGTATTGTCGCTGGAAATTGTGGCCTTTTAATGGCCTGTTGTATCTGTGAGTAAATCATTTATCCATCTAAGTCATTTCGATCTGTTTGTATTTTAATTTCTTTCGAATTCTTGTCTCAACTAGATCAAGGAACATGTCGTTCAGTGATTAGTGCCAATGAGAGTTATTTTGTATCGCCACAATATCCGACCCTTCAAACGGAACGTCTCAACCCACCGATGTGCATTTTCACCTTACACCGAAACAATTTGATCCAAAAGTATCCAATTTGTCAGATACGATTAGATTTTGATGAATTTTCATTGGCACCGCCAAGAAATGGTTCGTGTGGTTATCTAACTGATTCATTTGTTATTTCGGGAGCTTCTAATTTCAATTCAACTGGACTGCCCGCTAATGGCCTTTGTGGGGATCTGACCGGTCAACATGTTTACATTGACGTTGATCCCGCCGAGATTAATGAACCTTTGTTACTTGTTGTCAATACCGCTAATGAGGAAATGTATAACCGTAAATGGAGCATCAGAATTCAACAGATTCCTTGTCAATCGCCATTTCGAGCGCCCTCCGGGTGTCTTCAGTATTACACCTCAACTTCGGGGACAGTTGAGTCACTAAATTACCGAGGGATGCCTCGATCTCGACCTTACAATCAACAACAAGGTTCAGTTAGCTCTTCGATCACTTCGCTACTTTTACCGACTCAAAGTCCAAACTATTTCCACAATATGAACTATGGTATTTGTATCGCTCAAGCTCCTCGAAGTTGTGGTATCCGTTGGACTTCAGCCGATTTTGATTTTGGTGGTTTTCGTAAATCACAATCGGGTGTTGGTTACCAAAATCCAAACATTGTCAGCTCTGGATGTACAGTTAATCGAGGTCAATCGGACGGCGGCGATTATGTCGTCATACCTTCGGGATCAGCTGATGGATTAACAATGACTCAAGATCGATTCTGTGGTCAAAGATTAGCTTCGGTTGATGGTTCATCTCTTTCGACCCCAATCACCAGTAAGTAACCAAATTAAATTTTCTAATCAACACTAAATTCAATCAACAAACTGATCATAATTAAAACTAATCTCTCTTGACTTTTTCTTCCCTAAGGTTACAGTAAACCTTTCGTACTATACGTTCACAGCGATGACACTGATGACCTTGTCTTCACTGGACCAACGAATCAAAAAGGTTTCGCCTTAAAATATGAACAAATCACTTGCTCGTAATTAAGAAAAAAACAATTAATAATCACAATCGAAATGATTAACAAATTTGTACAACATTTATGTTTCTTTATTTTAAGAAAACAATAAAGAGCTGAAAAGTGATCTTACCTTTCCACTAAATTGTTACGATTTATCTAAATGATTACCAAATCAATAGAAAGGTAAACAATTAACTAATTGACAATTAGAATTGTTGATAGATAAATGAATCTTCAATTAACCGCCACTGGCAAACGAATGATGAAATCACATGTTTACTTTTTCTCTCTCAAAATAAAAACAATTTTGTCAAAATTTTCTCAATTGAGACAATTTTACTCCCAATGTTTTGACTTTTACACTAATCAAGTGATTGATTTTACAATAATCAGTTAATCATGTCATCAACGGTTCTGCCAGTGGTTCGTAATTTGTTAAAGAGGAGAGTTGAGAATGGCAACTTTGATAAGATATTAGAAAAGGTAATTGTCTCTTTAATTGTTGGAGTGTTTTCAATTTCTCATCTTAATTGTTTCGATTGTCTGATTCTCGATTAGGTTACTATTGTCAAGGCGGGTGGAGGAAATTTAACCGCCGAGGTTGTTATCGACAAGGAACACTCGAACCGAAGTGGTGGACTTCATGGTGCATTTATCGCTACTCTAGTCGATGTTATGTCGACTTTGGCTTTGGCCTCATCGGAGGTCGAACTGATTTCTGGGGATGTAGCTGATTTCTCAGAATCAGCCTCAGCTTCCGTCGCTTTAAATGTCACCTACATTCGTCCGATGACCATTGGTCAAACCTTACTAATCGAGTGTAGTACATTGAATCGAGGACGAACCATGGCCTATTTGAATGTCGATCTGCTTAATAAGGACGAGGGCAAATTAATTGCTCGAGGAACTCATTCAAAAATGTTATTTAATAAGTCAAAATGATCAAAGTATTAGTGTAATTATGATCAACTTGTTCAGGCTGAGTTAATTGTCCACTGATTAGATGATGATCAAGGAAGTTATTTCATTCAATTTGAATGTGAATCAATTAATTGCTAGTGAAGTTTTCACAAGAGCAATTCAAATTGTCTTGAAAATATTATATTAATAAGTGTTTTAATTACCTTGATATCGTAATTGTAGTTTTAAAATGCGTTTATATTACAATTTATATTCTGTAATCAAATGAAAATAATTTAATAAACAGATTAAAGTCTCGACAATTGAGGAAAATGTAAAGTTAATTGTGCAAATTAATTATCGCTCGTTGTTTTAATTCAATTGACATGTTTGTTATCACTTAGTTGATTTAATCACTACGACAATCAAATGAGATTTTTCTTTAATCATCTTAACTTAAATGTTAATTACGATCACATTTCTTGTTACCGATTATCAATGATAACTTTTAATTGTGAAAAAAAAGTTCACTAATTACTTATCGACCAACAATCAGTTCAGATGAACGAGTCAATTTACTTCCGCTATTTAATTTTATTAATAGTTTATTATCATTACTTTGCCTTTAAATAGCCTAATCACAATCTAAACTTGATTGTAGTCTTATCTTAATCATCACCTTTATTCAGGTTAACCAATCTGATTGACCGGTTCAATATTTCATCTTTCACTTTCATTTCTCTTTCATCTTCATCTTCATCTTTATCCTCATCCTCATCATCATCATCATCATCATCTTCCTCCTCCTCATCACCATTAACAGCATCTTCATCATAACCCAATCAATTTGATTCCATTTTTGACCCATTTGAGTTGATCGCAATCACTTTAATACGAAAGGCTAATTGTGTTTCTTTCGAGAGTCAATTTGATTTTCTCATCATATTCGTTCATTTAATCAACCCAATCAGTTAGTTGATCAAAAATTAACTGGTCAGTTTTTAGTGTTTCATTTACTGTGTCGTTACTGTGACGATTAAATTGTGCTGTCAAATCATGAATTACCAACGAATCCTTTTCCTAATGATCATTGTATCAGTTTTAATTATGATTTTCTTTGTAGATGACAGTTCAACAGCGATTACCAGGAAGATGCGTCGACGAAAAAAGTTAATTGCTGCAACCAAAGCGTTAATTTTACCTTATTTAAAGGCAAATATTGCCAAAGGAGGTAAAGTCATTTACAGCGCACCAACAATTAAGTTTGAAGATTCAATTTACATTGGTTAACCATCTTCAACACAATCACCATAACCAATAAATCAAAAATGGGAATTAGTGATTAAAACCCAAAAAATCAACAATCAGATTCGAAATCAGCCTTATATTGATTTTAATTGTAAATTTCTCCAAACTAATCATCTCGTTCATCTCATTAGATAATTGTTTCTACAACTCTTATTATCAATTAATTGTTTTCTTTCCTGAAACTCACCAATTTAAAATAAATTCTCATCAAAAATTTGTAAAAATTTTTTCTTCTATTTGATTGTAAACTAAAAACAATAAAACGAAACCATTTTGACCACAATTGATTTTCATTCTAATTAAATATTAGATCAAATCACATTTTCTATGAAAATGATTGACACAAATTCACTTTAATAGTAAATCAAAGTTTCTTCAATTAAGCGCCAAAAATGAGTCGATGTGAGAAAATCACATGTTCATATCATATGATTTTCTGTGAATTTTGTTTATTTACATTTTCTTTTCTTTTTTGTTTTGTTTTGTTTATTTAATTGTTTTCTATTTAATTTTGATTTAAATTTTTAATTATCCTAGAAAAATGTCTTCTCTTAATTTGTTTCGTTTTCTATTGAGAAGTGACTCTGTTCACAATTTAGATCGGGTTCTGGTTAAAGTGAATGTCGGTTATTTTGTTAATTCATATAAAAGGTTTTCCAGTGAATCAAAACATCGTAAACGTTTTTACAAAGATGTCTCAGTAATTAATTCTGATGATTTATATGAGATTTGTTTAGATGGTAAAAGGATAAAGACACCATTTAATAAACTGGTTCAAGTGAAATCTCAACAATTAGCTTTGATGGTTGCCAATGAATGGAAATGTCAACTGGATACGATTAAAAGTTACGAGATGCATTTAACCAATTTAACCAATTGTGCCATAGATAATCCTGAGAATCACACCAAAGAGACTTTAGCTAATTCAATATTGGAATTTTTAGCCACCGATACGATTTGTTTCCGTCTTCGAGAACCCGTTGATTTGTACAAATTACAAATCACTCGCTGGGATCCAATGATTGATTGGCTTTCAACTCGATACAATTGTCAGGTTCCATTGACGGAGGACGTTTTCCTCCCTCCAATCCCACCGGTAACCCAATCGACTCTCCATCGACACCTTCTTTCATATAACCAATGGTCTCTTCATGGTATCTATTCAATCACCGAATCACTTAAATCAGTTATCCTGACATTGGCGTTAATTGATAAAAAGATCTCAGTTAATGAAGCAGTTAGTCTATCAAGGCTCGAACTTGAATATCAAACATCAATCTGGGGAAACGTTGAATGGGCCCATACAATTGAATTAATGATGACTCGAGCTCGAGTCTCAGCTGCTTTGTTATTTGTATTCACTAATTCAGAATCATTTAAATCAATCACCAAATCGAAAACATCATCTTACTAAATTGTTCTAAGTCCAAATTAATGTTAGTTATCAAATCGATTCAGACTAATCAAAAACAAATTGACAATCGACTAGTTATAAATCAACTTGAATTGGAAACTAATAATCATACATATTTCCACTGTTCACTCAACAGTCTAATGTAAGTAACAATTAAATTAAAATCTCTCATTAATAACCTTCCCTTTTAATTGTTATTGTTTTTTCCTATTGTTTTCTTGTTCCCTGTTTACAATTATAGATTGGATTCTTAATCACAACACCTTTAATCATGATGATGATGATCATCTTTCGATTGGATTAATGAATTACCTTCATCTTCTTGGATGGTTAATGATTAGTGTTAATTTGAATGATGTTTATTAACTCAAGGCTATTAAATTAAATTGGAAATCAAATGAGAGAGTCAACAATTAACCATATTCACCATATGATTTACACAAAAGGCCTTTTATTGTCTTGGTAATTAAATCGCAAGGACAATTTAAATATCCCAATGGAGATTAACCAACATCATCTTAGAGTTGATTGAAAATGAGAAACATTATTTAACCATTACAATTAATGTTTTACTCAATTAAGATGATTACTACAAACAATTAACCATGACGGATAGTGTATCGATGAAAACAAAACCATATACACTTATTACAATTAACAATTAAGGGAACTACAAAATCATGAGTGTAAATTATTTTCGGTTAATCAGTTAATTGTTTCTATTTCTCTCTCACACAATTAACTTTAATTCCAGGTAATGATTAACTTCCATTGTAATTGTTTTATTTTCTTTTTCTTTTTTTATTTAATTTGATTTGATTTTCGATTGTTTAACTTTCTCATCAATGATTATGGTTCCTCCACAATTACAATCATAATAATAAACAATTAACTTTAAACAATTAACGATTAATGCCTAGAGGTGAAACAATTTCTTACTTTCTCTCTATTCATCCAAACAATTAAATCGTACAATTATTATTATCTAATTAATTTAATTAACTAACTAATTGTATAGATGAAAAATTTTAATTTCTCATCACCTTTCCGGTTAATCAATGATCAATTAAAAGCAATCAATGATTCATCATTTATTATTGATTGTTAGCTTATCATTATCGACCTTAAACAATTTACTCCAAGTTTAATCGTATTTGAGTTAATTGTTATTGATCAATTAACAACAAACTAAATTATTTACATATTAAAACACGGAAATGAAACTTAAATTATTGCAAACAATTCAAGGTAAGTGTGATTATTGGTTAAATTGTCACAATCAATTCAGTTGTAAGGGTAAGCAAATTGACATAATCCAGGTTAATGTACAAAATGATTAACTAATAGCTATCAATAATTAAGTAAATCAAGTAAAAGGCTAATCAATACAATAGTTCAGGTAATTTAGTTAAACAATCAATAAATAATTACAATAATTATGATGATAATTAAATATTGATGAGTTTATCCTTTTGGTTAGTTTATTAGAAACAAAAGAAAAGAGAACAAAAAAATTAACGAAAATTAACTAATTGTTGTCAACCTTAATCACTAAATGATCACCTTTAATCACTTAATTACAATCCAAACAAATTGTCCCCTTTTGGTTTGGTATAATCAACCAAACTTGACTTAATTAACCAACCAGAACAATTTGTTTAAATATGAATGGTTTCCAATGAAAATAAATCAGTTACAATTTGGTTACTCAACAATCAACAACAACAACAATTTAAATTATTATTTAAACACCAACACCAACAATCAACGAAAATGGTTTCAAAAAGTTTCATTATTTGTGCTCTTTTAATCACAATTGCATTGATCATGGAGGTTCAAGCTGGAGGTAAGTGATTAACTAATTGTCATTTTCTTAATTGTTTAACTAACTTTCAATTCTGATCATTGATAGACAAAGGATCCAACATTATCCTCGGCGGTGGTCCTGGTGGTGGGCGACTTGTTTTATCAACGGTAATTAACTGACCATTTATTAGATTGTGATGAGTGTTTATCATTTGGACTATTAGTTGATTTAATTGTAATTTTCTTGTTAATTGTTTACAGGGTAAGAAAGGAAAAGGATCAAACATAATTAGCCAAGGAGGATTCGGAGGTGGTGATGTTATTTTGTCCACCGGGAAAAAGGGCAAAGGGTCAAACATTATCCTGACCCGAAGAGCAACTGTTATTTCTGGTCGTCGATAATCAATTTTAAATAGTCACTAATTTATTGATTGTTCATCTTCATCATCATTGTATTTAAAGTTAATTGTTAAGCGAGTCTTACAATTCATTCATCACAAATGTCCAAGGTTTTAACTTCATGTTATCGTTTATTTATTTGTTCAATTAAATAATTGTTTTCTAATTCTAACAATCAATTTTGTCCATTTTATTATTATTGAAACAATTAATTTCTATTATTATTATCATTTGATTGTTAAGCTTTTTTATTACTTCTGTCAAATTAGTATTTCAATGATTTGGAGGCAAATTTTGTTTTTCTCATGTGTTATTATTAATATGATGGTTGATTGTTAATTGTTGTTGTTGATTAGATCAAACAATTTGGTCAATTTCAAGGATGAAAATTAAACGTTCAAACAATTTGTCAACAATTAACTAAATATTTCCTTATTTATGTTTGGATGATTACTATTATAAAAAACAATCAGAAAAAATCAATTGATTTTAATGATTTGAGGAATTAAGGTAAATCTTGTTAATTGTTTACACTCTCTGTCAACTCCACCTTGATTAACAAATAACAACAACAATCAAATTACACTTGGAGTATATTAAATTGTGTTTAATCAAAGGGATAAAAAAAGAGTATGAAATATACATTTAATTGTTGTTAATGATGGATAATGTTGATTACTATTAAATAGATTACATTATTTGTTACCTTCCTGTTTTTTGTTCAGCAATTGATGTTATCTGTTGTTGTTGTTGTGATTTTGATTGTTGATTGTTGCAGTTATTTCATTATTATTAACTGATTGTTGTACTCAAATTATTTCAGAACCCAATTTAAGTTTGATAACAATGGGCTGGTCCATGATAATTTATCAAAATCAACTGATCATGATTCATGGAAACAGAATCACAATCACAATGGTTGGTAAAAATTCATGTTCAGGTGAATTAAATACTTTGGTCAGCAAATGATTAAGAGGGAAAAAAGTTAATCAAAATATTCAATATTCAAAAGAATCAAAATCAATTGATAGATAATCGAGTTAATTGTTGTTATTAATTATCGAGAATATTAGAAAAGATATATTTTTATAGACATAAATTTCAGAACAATTAATTATTATCGGTTTGATTGTTTTGATCTAAAAGAAACTCTAATCAGTTTAATTTGTGTTACTGATCATTTTCACCTAAATTTGATTAATTATTAAGGCCTAATTTTAGGGCAATAATGATTTAGATTAGTTAGTCGTTAATTGTATCAAAATATTGTAAACAAATTAACTAACCATTTAATTTGTTTGATTGACCTTGTGTAGTTAATGAGCCATTTAGACAGAGATTGGGTTGAATTAATAATCATCCATTAAAAAGTTAATTGTAATAATATAAGTCCAAAATTAACCTAAGCACAATTAATACTCGTTAAGTATAACTAATAATTTTCCAATGATTTACTTAATTTACTACAATTAATGATGTAAAATTTGATTGTTTCAATTTAAAGAATCATTAGAAATTAGATTGTTTTTACTTTCTTTTAAACAATTAACCATTCAGTTTATTAATCAACACTTGATTGTTTTGCTTATATTAATAGATTAATCAGTACAAATTAATGACTAATCTAATTAATTGATTGTTATGTTTATTTCTAATTCTTATGATTTAATTATAACCCACAAATCATGGGCTTAAATAAGTGAGAAACTATAAATTGTCACAATCGACCAAACAATCAGCTCATTTCAAGTTCAACAATCGAATCAATTTTTCGAGTTAATTTATTGATTTTATTTATTTATTTATCATAAATTCACAATCGGTTTTGATTAGTGGAAATGAGATTCAATGTAAGTACAATTAGAATTTTTTTCGGATTCAAATCATCAAAAGTTTTACAATCAATTTAAATTAATGAAGAAAAATCCATTGGAAAAGTCTGATTAGTTGTGAATTGTTTCAATTAGTTTTCCAATGGATATTAATTGTGTTCCTTTGTTTAACAATTAACATTTAATTTCAGTGTTACCAGCAACTTAATCTTCTCTATTCTTTAATTGTGATGATTAATTAATTGTTTTCGATTTTTCTTTTCAGTTGATTATCTTAATTCATGCTTTTCTTTTCTCTGTGATTATAATCCTAAGTCAAAGTATTCCCGTTCCAGTGCCATTGCCCTTACCTGTCCCTCTGCCGTTACCTTTACCTTTACCTGTGCCACTGCCTCTGCCTCTTCCTGTGCCTGTGCCCGATCCAGCGGGTGGTTTAAGGGCTGTTGGGGCAGTGGCTGGACTTGTGGGTGGTGTGGCTAGTGGATTAGCCGGTGGACTTGCCGGAGGATTAGCTGGTGGATTAACAGGAGCGCTTATTGCGAAAAAGAAAAAGAAAGATGATAAACATAAAGAAAAGGAGAAAGAGAAAGAGAAAGAAAAGATGAAAGAGGGTAAGAAGATGAAGAAGATGATGAAAAAGGCTAAAAAAATGTCGAAAAAAGAGAAGAAAGAAAAAGGTCATGGAAGTGATTACATGCATGGTGGTTATTCTGATGATGATGATGGTGGTTTTAGTCTTGATGGTGAACAAAATTTTGCTAATCAAAATTCTGATCAAAGTGTTAACTCTGATAACGCCAGTGGGTCACAATTAGACCAAAGTACTAATCATAATGACGTCACATCAGCATTCGATGGACCTTCAAGTGATCACAATGGTCTTGATTCTGATGATCATGGTAATTCAGATCAGTTGTCTTCTCATGGTCAGCCAATTACTTCAGATCAGAACCACCATAGTTTTTCAGGAGATCAAAGTTCATCTCAAGCTGAAGGCTCGACAACAAGTGAAAATCCTCAAAATACTCAAAGTTCAGCATTGAACTCACAAAATATCCCCGCTGATCATGAGGCTCCTAACGACCAGAACTTACTGCCGTTTACCGAATCAACTAATCCAAATGACCAAGGGACATCCACAGAAATTACTTCACATGATAATCAAGGAAATAGTAACAATCAACTAGATTTCCCTTCCCAGAATAATGATTATCAACATCCCAGTGAACCCCAGGGTCAAGGGTCATCGCAATATTAAATATGATTTATAAGAAACCAATTGAAATGTCACTTATATGTTTCTAATCTTGAAAATAGTTTTTTTTATTATTGATTATTACAATTAAATGATGATAATAGAGAAATTGATTTGATGAAAAATTGTAAATTAAATTTGATTGTAATGTTATTATTTATAATACTTTTGTTTTGTCATTTTTTTCTTGCCTTACAAAATGATTTCATCGTTGTGGTCACTTTTATGCAACGACGATCGGGCCTGGTCAGCGCTGAAAACAAAATAAACGCTCACGAAGTGAGAGAGAGAGAGAGACGCACACATATAAGTACATGGTAATTAGAAAAAAAAAACAAAAGTTAATTAGAATTAATTATAAATCAAGGTTGTGGTTGCTGTTGAATGGGTTCGTAGATCTCTTTGTTGGGCACCCGTTGGGTTCGTAGGGATGAGGCCAAAAAGTAAGCACCAATCACAAGGTAGACCAAAGAAATCGCCGTTAATACGAGGAAAAAGACCCAATTAAACCAAACTTTGGGAACTGATTGTAAGGGTATTGAGGTTGTTGCATTGATCATAAATCCAGTTGACCAGTTGATTGTTGAATCGCCACGAAGATTTGGATCGAACACAATTCGAGACCAGTTATCTCCTTTCAAGCCGAAAACACTTTCAATTGTATGATAATTATACAACAATTGGAAACACAATGAGGTTGGTGCTAATTTACCTCCCGAAGTAATTAGTAAATCATCTCGAGACATTGAACAAAGATTAAGTGATTGGTTATAATAATTCTCGTAATCGATTGTGTGATTGGCATTGGTCATTTTAAGCACAGTCACTGGGTAAAGAAGATCAGCAACCGCCGTGTAAACGGTATTTTCTGGTGCAAGAGCGGGAGGTGAGTAACATGTGGATGGATTATCTGAACATTTCGACTTGTCCGTGAGTAAATCTGAGATCAATTTGGAGCAAGTCGATCCATCACCTTTACCCATAAGAGTGAACTCTTTGTTTGATTCAGTCAAAGATTTGGTTAAATGTTGAATTAGACAAGGATCATGGGGAGAGATTAAGTCAAGCGTGTTGATTGTTTGATTAACACCAATGGGTAAACACGGATCACCCACCGTAGTCTCACTAGAACCAGAGATCAACTCAACAAGGTACCGAAGTCGACCCTTATCCGACCCAAGGCAGGAATATTTTTCCCATAGAGTGTGATTATTACCAAACAATGTAACGTTGACAAGTGATGATTTGATTTGATCAGAAGTGATTAAGGATGAATTGGTTACCTCGAATGAGATTGACGATCCAGTGAAAGATAATTCAATGACTCCCGTGTGTTTAATTGTTGTCACTCCAGTTGATTCAGGGAAATAGTTTCGAGCCTCAAGTGAATTAACTGCAATCCATGGGAATACCGAACCAGCCTGATCGTTAATCACTTGAACTGGTTGAACATTTAACTTTGTTGCATTAGTTAAATACTCAATCGATGATTGGATTAGTGAGGCAACTTCACGGCCATTTGATGAATTGAGTAACATTAATGGTCCGGAAACAGTGAAAAACAATTGACTAGTTGACGATGATTGTTGATCATCATCAAGTGATCCAATTACCCGAGACAAACAAGGTTGATATACCGTAGATAGATCAGTTGAATTGGACAGGTAATCAGTTAAATCACTTGAGATACAAGTTTCCGCTAATTCAGCAAGTCCAGTGCTGTTCAAACGACCGACTGGCCAACGGTAAAGACTTATGGTCACATTTGGATTACCAGAATCCACTAATACACCATACTGATTAAAAGGAACAATTTAACTTAGGTTAATATCAAATTGTGAATGTAATCAAATTAGCCCAAGAAAATTAGCTGATTATCACTTACCTGATAATGAGTTTTGTGATTAAAAATGGCATAAGTTATTGCTGAGATGGTGAATATGATTAATCCAGTTGTGATGAAGATTATTGATTTAACTCTTGGATTAAGGGCCATTTTGATTATGACCCAAGGTTGATTATCAGGCACACTACAGATAATAAATACACAATTAAAGTTTATCTCCAACAATTAACGTTAATAAACAAATAATCTGTTGGTGGTGTGATGGAGCACAGGAGGGATAATTAATCCAATCACAATAACGATAAAACGTTAATCGCTCAAATTAAGATTAAACTGTTAAGTTATGAAGAAGAAGAAGAAAAAGATTCCCTGTTGTAAATGATTAAGTTCCAATGATAGAATAGTCAGTTAATTTAGAAACAACGACGATCAAATTACGAAGTTAACAATTGTAATAATTTAAAGAGAAAACGGTTAATTGTTTGGCTGATTGTGGACCTGAAAACGATGTTTAATATGAGAAATCAATGGAAATCAAAGGAAGGAGAGAAAAAAACTCTTCACTTCTCCGATATTAAGAAGAGAAAAAAACAAGTGAGATGAAGAGAGAGAAGATGAAGTTTAGAATAGAAAGACAAAAAGGTAAAGAGAGAGAGAGAGAGAAAGATGATGAAGATGAGAAGATGATAGAAAAAAGAAAGAGAAAAGAAAGAGATGGAAAGAGAGAGGAAGATCCACCAGAACCAGATCCCGAATGCTACTTGAAAATTCATCCACGCCCTCAGATCGACCCACCTCTTCCCTTTATCATCATCATCTTCTCATCTTCTCTTTCTTTTCAAGCCTTTCCCCATATTCCATGGGTTAATGATGATGATGAATGTCTCTCTCTCTCTCTCTCTCTTTGCCTGACTGATTGTTCTCATTCACTGATTTCTATTGCGTGAAGAAAATTCCCTTTCATCTGAACTTATGAAGAGAAAAAAATTAGAGAAAACCAAGAGACAGAGAAAAAAAGAGAACTTTTTTATTCTCTTTAAAATTCTACCTTTAAAAACTCACTTTTAATCGCAATCAACATCAACAATTAACTTTTCCACCTGAAATCTAATCATCTTTATCTATGTTCTTAATAACAGTTACCTTAATGTGAGGTTTAAGTTTCATTGGGCTGATTTTATCTCGAAGATTAAAAATATAATTTAATCTCATTGAACAGATTAACTTGTGGTCAATGTTGATGACCCATTGAAATTACCTGTTGGTCAAGGGAGAGCAGGAGCAAATACTGAGCAATTTGGTCTTTGAAAAGTTTAAATTGTTAATTGTTGTTGGAAAGAAACTTAAAACCTCACCCTGATTTCTATGGGTGATTCAATTATATTGATCAAAAGTTAATTGTTGATGTTACTTGTTTACTATTTTTACAATTGTCAATCAATTTAATTGACAGTTAGTTCCGATCACTTGTCTTTACATTGATATTAATACAATTTAGCAAATTCACCATCATCTTATTATAATAATTAACACAAACAATTTACACTTTTCATTTATATTGATAAACAATCAAACCAATGACAATTAAAATGATTCAATTGATTTAATATTTTAAATCATTATTACAACAATTAATTTTCATATCGTAAGGTTTGTATTCACCTTAAAGGTAAATGATGTTGATTGTAAATCTTTGATTGTTTTTCAATCAACTAATTGGATTGATGTTTAATTCAGTTGCCACAATTTAACCTTACCTGGTTGTTACCTTGATTTAATCACCAATGAACAATTTAAAATTTGCTCAAACACTCAAATTGTTGTATTAATACAATAACAATTGAATTAAATGTGATCAAAATAAATTAACTTCAATTATGGTAATGACATATTTTGATTGTTGTTTTTGTTGTCAGACCTTTTTAATTGTAACAATCAAAAAGTTTAACCAGCAAAATATATTGATAAATTTTTTCACCAAATGTGAACTTTAATTGTTTACAATTCACAATAAATTGTAATTAAAACAATTTAATCAAAGTTTTTTAAACTTTCTCGTGATTTGTGTGTATGTTGATTAACTTTAATTGTTAAGATGATGATCTAAAATGATTTAAATTACCTCACCATTAATCAGGGAAATAAAAATTATATCATTTATGATTAATTACAATCAATTTAATCAACAATAATAGTTAACTAATTAATGGGTTGGTTTGAAGAAATGAAAATCAGATCAACATGAAAATTTAATTGTAATCCAAATGTTTCCAACAATTAACATTAAAATTGAAAGAAATTTAATTACAATTAAAACAAAGAATAAATTAATTTAATTGTACAATTAACTTGATCAACGATTTCAAACTATTCAAATGAAATTAACAGTTACATTAACAATTCAATTTGATGGATTAAACTTTTCTTTCAATTAGTTGATTATTTTTGATTCAGTTAAGAATCGAATCAATCTTGTCAATTATTGAAAGTTAATTAACTTTTTCTAATTTTAATTTGGACAATTGATTTTTAAACCAACGAAAGAAGAGAAAATTAATCCAAATTATCAAACAATCACAATTAGATCATAAGAATTAAAGTTAATCATAAATGAGAAATTAAAGTTGATCAGAAAAAAAATCTTCGCTTGATTTACCTTTGATTCCTTGATTAAAGTTAACTATTTGAGCTTAAATTGTGATAATCAAAATCTTAATCATCATTATCCTCCCACTCTTGGTAATACTTATAATCATGTCCATTGTTAAATGTATTAGTTAACCATAATCAATTGGTTTAACAAGATTGTTATTGTTACGAACAACAATCAGCTAATCCAGTTTTGTTTAAGTAATAAAATGATTCTGATCTAAATTGTGTTTGATGAGCTATTAATAGTTAGTTAATTGTGAAAAATTAAAAGTGTTTCCTATTGTATCATAATCAAAGATTAGCTTTATATTAATATCATCATTTTGGAAAACATAATCTGTAACAATTTATTATCATGATTAACTGATTGTTGTCAGTGAAAAAAATTAAAAAGAGAAATGAAAATGTAACAATTTAACTGATTGTTGGTTAACAATAGTCAACAGGTAGATTTTCATGTTGTTTATAATCATCATCATGTACAATGTTAATGTTGAGTGTTAATTGTAAGTGATTTAAATGGTTCTGTTGATAATCAAGGATATAATAAGTGTAACAATCAAAGTCTGAAAAACATGATTTCAATTTACAATCTCAGGTAAATTAGATTAACTTTTCTGATGGATTTGAGTTAATCCGTTGGCCTCGTGACATTTAACAAGATGAATAGTTAACACGTTAAAGCAATTAATTCAACACTTTGTCGGTCATCATACTAATCATCATCATCATCATTAACTAATTGAATTGGGAACACTAATCATTAATTCACTTCTATTACCATCATCATCATATATTCCTGATTGTTGATTGTTATCAAAATTCAAATTTCTGATTGTAATTTTTTTCTGATGCTGATGCTGCTGCTCTCAAATGACAATACAATTTGATTGTGAATAGAAAGAAATCTAGTTAATCATAACAATTAAGTCTGAAAATAATAAATATACAAATATAATAGTTGAACTAAAAGTTTACATACAAAAAGATGATCAACTGAATAAATATTGTTGAGAAGAAGCTAATTGTTGATTCTAAATTTAGTTTGGATTGTTTTCAATCGGGTGTTAATATCCATTGGCTCATATTCATCCATCATGGAATCACCATGTATCTGAATCTTTTTTTCTTCTTCATATTAAAAGGAATCATTAGATTCATCGTTATTTGAATGAGTTTTTCTCATGAGAAAAATATTCTCCCATTAAAAAAACTCTATTCTAATAGTAACTCTATGACACTTCCTTTTTTACCTGATGTCTTCTTATGTCAACAATGACAAGGGAGAGACAAATACGAGAGAGAGAGAGAGAGAGAGAGAGAGAGAGAGATGATGATGATGATGATGATGATGATGATGATGCTGGATGAAGATGAACTTACCTTGATGAGGTCAAGCTCTTGTGGATAAAAATGTAAAGGTAACTTTTTTTTCATCTTCTTTCAACAGGTTAATCTGTTTGGGCTTAACAATGATTACACAACTATAAGGATTACCTGATGATTTAATGATGTAAATCATAAGAAACAATGGAGAACAGGTTTAATTAAAAATGGATTAATTTATTTTTACGATTGTTAAAACTGTTCCCTTTTTAAATTACTTCTTATCACCATTATGGTTTAATGGTTTAATCTCATTCACCACACACAACATACACACACACACATGATACAAGATGATTAAGTTGATGATTTAAAGACAGACACCGTTATGTTCACGATAAGTTAATTTTACTCTTGATCATTTAACGTTGGTTGATTCGTTGACAATGGCCTTTAATTGACCTTCACGTACCTTTGACTTTTGATTTGTTTGTTTGGTATAAATGGATAATCTAATCCAACGAGAGAGAGAGAGAGAGTTAATCTCCTTTTTTTCTGCAATTTTCAATTAATTTTAATTCTTGTGTTTTCTTAGTGAACCGGAATTAATTGTCTTGCTATCAAATATCATTGGTAATGGTGAGAAATATCATTTAACTGGATGATCACTTGAATTCATTAATGATCATTGAGTGAATTAACTTTATCCATGTTGCTAATGATTAAATATGATGTTAAATTAAGTGACTATTTGATATTTTACTTCCTCATTTACAATGTAAAAATTGATTATCATCATTAACTTAATGATGATGTCAACTGGAAATCATCATCTTCTATTAGCTAATGATTTGCCCTCCCAATGGGTCAGTTTCCATGAGTTTTTTGATCCTCGAACTGACCGAGGAGGATATTCACCTTGTTTGATTAACTGAACCTCTGGTATTACAATTAGAGGTTTAATTAGTTTTTACTTTAATTAATGGAAAACAAGCTGATCCATACTGATAGTTAATGATTGAGGGTGATATTAAATGCTGTGTTGTGTGTATGGTGGGTGGTTCAGTTGATTGTTGTGAATACATTATGTTTGGAGGAGGCAAGAATATGAAATAACAGAGTAATCATGATATTAATTGAGTTTATTTCATGATTCTTGATTTAGTATCCGTTGAGTTTCCTGGTTATGGATGTAAAATGTTATATTGTGGACGACAAGTTATTCTCACGACGTTGACAAGTTATACAACTGAATTAATGTTAATCATAACTGATAATGACGATAATCATCATGATTATCATCTTTCCAAAATTTTCTCTATTAAAGTAAGAAAAAAAGTTTTTTCTTCCGAACGAAAATTTTACCTGGTGAGATGTACCGTTTTCTGGTCTTGTAGTTTCATCTTAATCATCATCATCCCTCATCTTCATCTTAATCACAATTGTTGTTCTCATGATGAGATTAATCAACAAGCTCTCACAGCATCTCTCTCTTTAAATCCAAGGCTATTTGAAGGTCATTTCCTGGGCATTTCTCTCTCTCTCTCTCTCTCTCTCTCTCTCTCTCTCTCTCTCTCTCTACTCTATTTCTTGACCATTAACACGAATCTTCATCTTCATCATCATCTTTTTTTCATTATTATCTTAA